CAGCCTCCCACAACGAACAACAAGCCGACTCTCCGAACAAAGAAGCGTGGTACTAGTAGGCAGCCTCTTACCTTACCAGCACCAATCGACGTATAGCGACTAGATCCAGCCCAGAGAACAATCTCGACAAGCGAGAGTCTCAATCGCTGCATGCCACAACGCGTCCAAGTCTCGACAAAACAGCGCGCTCTTCAATCTTAGAACTGCCGTTTCTCGATTATGCAACGGCTGTCTTGTGACAAATTCCACTGCAAAACCGCTCTGTACTATTAAGCCGCCAATGTTCAATCGATTTCACAAAAAGCCCAGCTACGGACAAGCTCCGAGCTACGATTACGGCCTAGGAGACCAGCATCATCCCATCTACGAAGCGCCGACGCACTTGTCTGAGCCTGGTCCAGGTGGTGCTTTCCCGTCGCGATCAGAGTCTCGACGACCAGGGCCTGGGGCTGGTTCGTCAAGCTTTGGCACGACGGCGCCGGGTGCCGACAAGGGTATGTGCGCCTCCAACCTGTATTTCGGTCTTCATATGGCATGAAACTCCCAGCCGGCGGAGCTGTGAAGGGCTTCGATGCGGGTAATAGCATCCACAGATTCGTTTTGCTAACGTCGCTTCTCCTTAGGATACTCTGTCAACACAACACCGCCCGCGCCGTACCACAACGGAAGCTACAACTTCCCTCGCTCGCAGTCATCAGCAAGCTCTGTGAGGTCCGGTCTCAGCAACAGCAACGTCTCGCGCAGGGTTGGAGGAATCGATAATAACGTCATGGCCACGCCGGCGGACCGCAGCCGCACGCGGCGCGAGCGTACCTTTGTCGGCAGCGAGTGTGCAGTTTGCGAAGAACCTTTGGAACATACACTGAGGGGCGAGCGGGTGCTCCAGTTCTCTTGCAGCCACGTCTCTCACGAAGCCTGTTTCTACGAATTTATCCGCGAGATCGACTCGCAGTATTGTCCGACATGCGATGCTCCGCTGCATCTTGATACCAGCCGCGGCGGGAACGTCATTGATATTGGTCAGTCGCTGGGTGGTTTGACAGGAAGATATCTGGCAACTAATACAGATGCAGAGAAAATCGGCAACATGGTGCGCTCTATTGGGGATCCGAGGTCCATGCAGACCCCAACGCCTACGTGGGACGCCCAGACCGTTCGCCCACCCAGCGTGGAGAGTGGCCAGCGTCGTCACCAGCAGCAGCAGCAGCAACAGCAACAGCAGCAACAGCAGCAGCAGTCCCACGTCGGTGGCAGAGACAGTGCGCCTCGAGGGAGCGTACGCGACAGTCGCGAAACACAATCGACAGGGGATCGATATGGTTCCCGCCATGGTCGGAGCGACAGCGATGTCACCGGTGTGACGGGCATGGGTTCCTCCGTGAGCTATCCCGAGACAACGCAGAGCGGTCCTCCGCGCCGGCACGACTATGACTTGCAGGCCATGGAGACGTCACCTGGCAGTCCTCGCACTATCACGCGCAATCCGATCCCGGCACCCAGTGTCACAGTACGGTCCGAGTTTCCAAGCCTCAACCGGTCTCGGCAGCAGCAGACTTTGACCTGTCTCGTTACCATTGAGGTCCCCGACAGCAAATGGAGGCCTGACCCTGAGGACCTTGGCGCAGTAGCGCCACAGGCGCCTCTTCAGGTCGGTCTGGGTCGCATGGATGAAGTGGCTACACAGCGCCCGCCATCGCCTGCCCGAAGTGCACCCAAGTTCTATCCATACGAGTCCGCCGAGGTTTTGGAGGAAATGACAGAGAGCCTCCGCAACAGGGTCGACAACTGGCACGGTCTCGACTTTAGTCGCTTCGGCAAGTTGCGCTTATACGGCACGCTGCGCGTCGGAAAGGACAAGATCAACTGGCAGGAGCTCGAGTGCTTCCTCTTTGCTGAAATGCTCATTTGTGTGAAGGAGAAGAAGATACCACAGCAGTGGGATGAGAATGGCCACCCTCGCAAAGCTCGCTGCACACTCAAAGGATCCATCCTGATCAAAAAGCATCTTAACGAGGTCACAGAGACGGGGAGTGTCGACGAAAACGTCTTAACTCTGGGGTTGTCGGTTGCCGAGCTGCCCCAATTTCACCTTCGCTTCGAGAACCGCAATCAGCTCAAGCTGTGGCAACAGGCTCTCTTGGACCTCAACTCGATTGAGACCTCGCCTGTTCGCAGCCCCGATTACGAGCGCGACATGTCTGAGAATGACGAGGACGCCGACTGGCAACGCACTCGGCCGCAACGCGTCTCATCTGTGGCTTCTTCTTGGGGTGCTGGCAAGTCCGTCACCACTGCCCCCACCGAGTACACAAGCACCTTTTCTAGGAACCCCCCGATTCCTAGCTCGGTCCATGTTCCGATCGACGTCGTGGTCGTTGTGCCTATTTCATCGTCTATGCAGGGCGTCAAGATCAACTTGGTTCGCGATGCTCTTAAATTCATGGTCAACGCACTTGGCGAGCGAGATCGCATGGGCCTCGTCACCTTCGGCTCGGGCGGCGGCGGTGTTCCCATAGTTGGTATGACCACCAAGGCATGGCCAGGTTGGAGCAACATCTTGGGTTCGATCAAGCCGGTCGGACAGAAGAGCCATCGCGCCGATGTTGTTGAGGGTGCCAACGTCGCCATGGACCTGCTGATGCAGCGCAAGCACAACAATCCCATCGCCTCCATTATGCTCATCAGCGACGCGTCGACCTCCGATGCTGATAGCGTTGACTTTGTTGTTTCTCGCGCCGAAGCTGCTAAAATCACAATCCATTCGTTCGGCTTGGGCATGACCCACAAGCCCGATACGATGATTGAGCTATCAACTCGTACCAAGGCCTCGTACACCTACGTCAAGGACTGGATGATGCTACGGGAGTGCTTGGCAGGCTGCTTGGGTTCAATGCAGACGCTCTCACACCAGAACGTGAAGCTCAAGCTCAAGCTTCCCGAGGGCTCCCCTGCCAAGTTTCACAAGATCAGCGGCGCGCTCCAAATCACAAAGCGTGCCACTGGCCGCGATGCAGAGGCCGCGCTGGGCGATCTTCGTTTTGGCGACAAGCGGGACATTCTCGTTCAGCTGGTCGTGCTGCCAGACAACATTTCACACGAACAGCTGCCCCAGGACCCCTGGGATAACATCGTCTCTGGTCTGGAGGCACTGGGCGGCCCCATGGATAACGACAATGAGCGGACGCTATCTGTGGAAGAAGTCCCTTTGATCCAGGCTGATCTGTCATGGGGAGACATTCTCCGCGACGGCGCTGCAATGCAGATGCCACGATCATCACTACTAGCTATCACTATGCTGCCTGCCACATCTGGACAAAAGAAATCCTGGCAAGGGTCGCCCCCCATCCCGCCCTATCCGCATGTCGTTCAGCGGCGCATGGAACTCCTCACGTCCGACATGCTTACCAGAGCACTGACCCTCGTAAGCCGGGGCCAGCACGAGCGCGCACACACTCTGCTGAACGAAACCCGCTCCATTCTCAAGGGACTCGGCAAGGGAGGTCTGCCACCTGTACCACAACCCGCCAACAAGTCCGGACCTTCGACTCCTCATCCCACAAGCACGGAGGCATCGTCCCCCGATCCGTCAGGCACGCCTGATCGCAAGCGCAGCCCATCGCCTCCTTCTTCTACACCTGCGGGTAGCAACGGCAATGGACAACACGCCCAATTGCCCAGCAGCCGCTCCAACGACGGACTTGGCCTGGGCTCGGGCATAGATGCCAAGACTGTCGCCGCCCTGGATCAAGAGCTCGAGGCCAGTCTTGAATGGATCAACCACCCGGCCGTATTTGGTCGCGACAGCCGTAAGGCTGTGCTACAAGCGATTGGCGTCATTGCTTCTCAGCGGGCTTTCACATTCCGCACCCCTGTCGAGAGCCTCTGGGCAGGTCGCGTCGGGGGCGTCAGGCGCCTCACAGAGAAAAGCAGGGAATGGCGCGAGGGCGGCGGCGAGGGCGGCGGCATCGTCGAGGAAACATGAATATACGCACGTCGCGGCACGTCGACTTCTCGACCAATTTCTTGATATTGAGCAAGGCGATGGGGTCACGTACTTTCCGGCGCTCGCTCACGATGGAACTGCATAGGCGTCGTCTGGCGAAACACGCAATATGCATTAATTTTGGTTTGCAAAGATCTTCGGCCTTTGATTTCGCTGTTTCTGTTCTTTCTTTTGGGCCATCTCTCGCTCAGTGCAACTGTTGCCAACCAGTTCATCGTTTTCAAACCTTGCGTTTCTCTTCTCTCATACCCTTCACGACGGCCTCATATCAAGAGTTGTGCGCCTTTTTGCTCAAAGTCAACACGCTTTGTGTTCGCTCATTCTCTGCTTTCAACGTTACGCATTTCAGTTATCGTTATTTTATCTCGGGTGCAAGATGAGGGCATGGTCGACGTTATCAGGTTACGTTCTGGGACTTTTGGAAAGTGATATATGGGTCATGGGACCTACAATGAGCGGGAACATGTATGCAATGCTATATCAGGAAATCATGTGCACTCCGGGACCTTTGCCAAAAGGCCCGGCAGGGATCTCATGTTGAGGAGGATACGGAGAACGCGACATCACTGTTGCTTCTTAGCAGACAGAAACACGCGCATGAATGATATAAGAGATTCTATGTGGTCGCACTGGCGGCCTCCACTTGTTGAATATCAGTTCTCAATTGTGTCTGTGTGTACGTACCCAATAGACATGAATGGCAAAGACCACACGATCTGTCAGATGGAACACAAGTGCGTGAGTAGCGTGCTGCGTTTCGCGTTGCTTGCGTAATATGTCACCCTGGACATGCACGACAACATTCCTTCTTCTCGCAAAAGGACAGCAGAACATGACTGGCTTCGACTCTTGCTTTTTATTTTTGGTCATTGTCAGTGTTGGGCGTGGCTGACTGACGTCCTTGACTCCAATATTATCTGTGTCAGTCACAGTGCAGATAATCTCCCCTCACGCTTCGCACATCCCCTTGGCCCAATTTTGTTCAGATCGTCGTCGCTTAGTCCTCATCCCAGTTCTTACAAAGAGTCTGTGGTTAGCCTTTCCATCGATCTGCATGTGATAGGGGGTTCAGAGGTGCAGTGCTCACAGGGTTGGGGCCGGGGGGCTTGGGCCCTCCAGCTTGTTTCGCGACAATAATCTGGTCAACAGAGAGGACTGTGCGTGCGGCTTCCGTGGCCAACTTGATGGCCCAGTACTTCGACACCATAAGGTCGAGAATACCCTCCTCTTTCGCATCGAGGATACCGGTGTCGTCATCGTTCTGTGTCCCAATTAGCATCGTTCTTGATCGACATTGTGGGGGGTGTTTCATGTAGCGTACGTCAACGTCAACACCTGTGTCCCAGTCTTCGCTCTTATGGTGCGCGGCATACAGCCTGCTCAGCACCTCGGTGGCATCAAGGCCGCAGCTCTCGGCAAGGGTGCGGGGCACAACCTCGAAAGCCTCTGCATACTTCTTGATGGCGTATTGGCTGAGACCGGGCGTCTTCTCGCCAAATGCCGTTATCCTCTCGACCAACTGGGTCTCTGTGGCACCAGCGCCAGGCACAAGACGGGGATCACGAGTAATGGCCTTGACAACGTTGACACCGTCGTCCACGGCACGCTCAATGTCGTCGAGGTGGTTCTGGGTGGCGCCGCGGAGCACCAACGTAGCTGTGCGGGTGACCTCGTCCTCCTGGCGGAAGACTGTGACGCGGTCACCACCAATCTCAAGGGTCTCGACAACGTCGATGCTGCCCATCTCGTCGGGCATGGGGGCACCTAACCGCGCCAGAGGCGTGGCGCCGACGACGCGGCACACTCTGCGCAGCTCGAACTTGCTGAGGATCTTGATGCACAGGATGCCGAAGCGGTTCAGGTAGTGCATGGCCAGATCACCCACGCGGTCGCCGACAATGACCGCCCGCACGCCCGAGTCGTAAATCTCCTTGATGGAGGACTCGAGTTGCGACTCCTCGCCCTGTGTGAAATCCATCATCTCCTTTGCGTTGTGCAGCAGGACCGTTCCCTTGGTCTCGGTCTGGCTGCTGTCGATGGGGCATGTGTAGACGGCGACCTTGGCCTTGTTGACCTTCTTGATGGAACTATCCGGCTCCTTGGGGAAGACCATGCCCTTGACCACCTTGCTCTGCTCCAGGCTGCCGCCCATAATCTTGACGACGCGGACATTGTCCACGCTGAAGTTGAGGGGGTTCTTGGGCAGGACAGCCAGCACAGCCTCGGCAACCAGATCGGCGAGGAAGTCCTCGTTGCCGTTCTGCTTGCTCGCGACGACCGTCCTGATGGCCTTGCTCAGCTCCTCCTGGTCCCGGAGATCCTCCACCTTGTCTACTGTGAGCTCCTCTAAGGTCTCGAGGGCAAATTTCTGTGCCTTCTCGTAGCCAATGACAATGTCGGAGGCCTTTAGGCCCATGCGTAGCAGATCTTCCGCCTTGCGCAGCAGCTCGCCGGCCAGGATGATCACCAGGTTCGTCGCGTCGCCCATCTCGGACTCTTGCTGTTGGGAGGCCATGACGAGCAGCTTTGCGGCGGGGTGGACGACTTCGAGCTCGCGAAGGATGGTGGCGGCATCGGATGTGAGGATCATTTTCTGCAGGTGGTTGATGATGATCTTGTTGCGACCATACGGACCGAGGGACGTCAGGACTGTGGACGAGATGGCACGGCAGGCCTCGACATTGCGCATGACGGCGCCATCTTCGGCATCGTAGCTATGATAGTGGTGGTTAGCATCGTCGTGACCCCTATCTTGGGAGCTGCCAACGTTCGATGGTGGGGTGGACTCCCGGGGAAAAGAATAGAACTAGAACTTACTTGTTGTAGCCGCCTTTGAACAGGCCGGCGTTGGGCGCGTTGGGAATGTTGAGAGACATGTTTGCTGTATGCGAATGACAGTTATACAGCAAAATGAATGAGGATGGGTGTCTCCAGCTTCTTGGAAATCAACCTGGACTGGAGCTGCCTGTTGGATCACCGCTCTTAGAAAATCTTAGGCTGTGTGGTTCGATGTGCCCCACTACTGCTAGTGACCGTGACGGCGGACAGCGCCCCTCCGGGCTGAGTTGATCCGCTCCGGCTGGGGTGGCTTTAATACCAAAGGAAGTGGACTTTGAGGACGCGATTCTCTTTTACATGGGCATGATAACAAGATGAAGTGGGTGTTCCAGGTTGTGAGAGATGAATGAATAGAATATTTTCACTGCGAGATTGGCAGGCGACAGTCAGGAAATTGACGTGCTGCTGGAGGTATAGTTGCTGATACTGGGCTACTTCCGGTACATCGGTGTGCAGGTGCCACTGGAGGTACCTGGTTAACGCCGCCGCCAACTTTAAGTTCCATTCGCAGGAGAACGTCAGCCTCAGTCGCGTCCAGGCCTTCCTTTTCTGTACATTTTCCAGCGTCATTACATCGTTAGAACAGTATTTGATAAGTCGCTCGCTTTCACCGTTGAACCAGTCGAGCATTGTCGATTGAGTCTCCATTGGCCCACCGACAAAGATATATCATCCGATCAACGACAAACATCCATTCCCATTGCGGGCCTGAGCGCACCGAGTCCTGCTACCCGTGGTCTCCCTTGAGTTCAGTTCAGAGTTCAGAGACACTCTTGAATCAGCTTAGTGCCCGCCATGGCGCCCCAATCTGGTGAGTCGAGTCGCGTCGCTTTACATTGACTTTTCTTGCTGCATCGTACGACCTCGAAGCTTCATCCCCCTAGCTCCCACCCCCAAGCTGCATCCATCGATCGGCCTCGGCAACCGTCGCATCATGCCACCCAAGCGCAAGTACTCAGAACTTGGCACCGCTGACAAGACTGCTGCATCTACAGCCCACGCGGTGCCCCCGACTCTCCCGCCCTCTGTCGAAGAAGCCTATCGTCGGAAATGCGTCCAGCTCAAAAGTCGTACCAAGGAGGTTGAAGAGGCCAACGACGCCGCGCGCCTCCGGCTCGCCAGATCGAAGCGCCAGATTGAACGTCTCCGCATCGAGCGCGCCTTTCTGCTTGAGCAGCTTGCCAAGCGCACAAGCACCAATGTCGAAGACTCGGAGGGAAGCCCCAGTCCACCACCCACGGTATGCCACGAGACCCCCCTCTCCTTGTAGTGACCAGTCCCTCCATCGTGTTCCGCACGGTATTCTCCAGTCCGTCTCGCTACTGCAACAGTTGCCTGTTTTTCCTGCGCGAGAAGCTTTTACAGTATTGATCAAAGCGCCTTTTCCGCGTCTACTAGGAACAGCAAATGTCATTCGCGGACGACAGAAACCTCAACAGTACACTCAATGACGCGGATGCTAACCCCCGAAAGCCAAAAGAGAAGCCACTCCGTATGAAGCGCGGCAATCGCAAAGCAGGCGAAGACGACGAAGCAATCGCCTACCGCTGGGATGCGACCACGGCAGCGCCCGAAGAGATCCAGGCTTTCGAGCAATACCTCGACGCGAACCGCGCCTCGGAAGGCGCTGAGCAAGAATCGGAAGAGAAGCTGATCAAGACATGGGAAGAGGATTCGGCAATGAGAAATAAGCTCGTGGAGGAAGTCTTAGCCAAGCGCAAGGCGGCAGATGCCGAAGAAGGCCAGTCCCAGGCTGAGGAGCAGTCCAGAGAACCCGAGGTGAAGTCGGAGTCACAGACCGCCACGGGGATGGCTGAGAAAGAAGCGTCTGAAGCGGCGGCAGATGTCGGCAAGACCGAGGCTGAGGCTAAAGACGAGGACATTGAGATGGCGGACGACGACGCGAGCGCAAGAAAAACACCAGACGCAGGGGCCGAATAATGTGACAATATCCTGGAGCAGGCAGGTAGTGTGGACGGGGAGGGAATTGGTCTTGACCACGGGTGATTGGGATCAAAAGGTTCATTAATTGCGAGGCGTTTATGGTGGTAACGGACATTTGATACAATAGATCGAATGCAATTCGCCAAAAAAAAAAAAAAAAAAAAAAAAAAAAAAAAAAACCAGTGTACCTGCGCCGTACAGCCTCGCTTTCTACAGTCCTCTCTGATATCGAACATACAAATTGAAGGCATCGAGATACCTCTGGGCCTGCCGGCTGTTGTGTCCTGTCCCATTCCACCATGGGCGGTCATGACCTGGGGACCATTACTCCCCAGCGTATAGATCTACCACGATGTTGACGGCTGCGACAACAATCTCGGCAGCAATCAACACAATCACTAATTCTGTTAGCGACGGACACTATCCCGCACAGGCAAGCTTGACTCACCAATCCACTCTAGCTTCTCGCCATGACCATGGCTCAGCTGGTCCTTCAAGACAGCCAACAGATCGGCAATCACGTCTAAGCGCTCAGTGAGAAGGCCGACACGCTGATCCATCTCCAAGTAACTCCTCACGGCTTGGTAGACGGGCTCGAGTTGGGGCTCCACCCAGAAAAGCTCGGGCGTGTCGAGCACAGAACCGTTAAGATGGATGTTGATACGTAGGATGAACAGCTCGCCAATCTGCATGTTGATTTGGGAGCGAGTCAGAGCGATTTTACCGGTCAAGGCAATCTGTGTTGGGATGTCCTTGCAGGTATCAACCGTTGATGCGATCAACTCTTCAAAAAGGGAGGTCTGTCGGACACACTTGTCAGCCGGATCTCTCAAAAGAATGCACGAGCATGCGCTCACCTTGACGCTCTGAGCTAAGGCGTGCGATATCGCCAGCTTCGTCATATAGTTGTTCTTGTCTCGAAGAGTGATAAAGTCATTGTAGATACGCGCCTGGTACTCATGCGTGTAGTAGAAGTTGAAGTGCTCCGTCTCCACGTCGTCGGGCGCGAGTTTCTCAAGCTCAAACTTGGCAATGTCTTTGAGGAACCTCTTTTCCTGGATCTCTGTCATGCCCCATATAACTACCACGCCGTAGTCGAAGAGAAAGACCTCGGGAGTGTGGACCGTGATGTCCAGGTCTGGTATGGTTTCTGTGACGGGGCGCTCATCATCGACTATGCTGGGTCCCAGAAGCGTATCGCCATGGAGTGGCCCAACGTCGACATCGATAGCGCTTTGATCCGCATAATCACTCTCATCTGGCGCATCCGGGTGGCCGTCCATGAAGGTTTCGCGACGCTGTTGCTCGTCCTCTATTGAGTCGCCGCCCGTTGAATGCCTCCTCTCGTATACTTGCACTGGGTCCGGGCGAGGTTCTGCCGACAGTGGTACAGGCGGCGGCGGGGGCAGCGGACGGGTCTGGGGTGTCTTGCCGTAACTATAAGGCGTGTAGATGCACTCGTCGATGAGCTTGGGGTTCGCGCCCCTGTTCTTGCCGCGCCCCTTTAGAAACCGCTGCAGCCCTTCCATCTCATACCGGTTGGCGGTACAGTATGCGGTGACACGCGGTAGTCTGTCACGGTCTGCTTTACCCAGCCTGGCAGCGTCCCTCCTGGCAGTGGGATCTTTGATGCGCGTGTATTGAGAGTAGACATCGCGACCGCTCTCCTCGTCGGTGTTATCCTCGTCGAGCTCGGGATTGGGGAGGAGTTTAAGTTTCTCAGTCTTCTTTGTACTTCGCTGTGCGCCCTGCTTCGGCCCAATGTGTAGAGTCGCTGAAGCTGGTACAGCACTGTGACTATTTCTCCTCCGTAGTTTACTGTTGAAATTTGACAACACTGGCGGACCTCCGGAGCCAACAGCCACGTTGGTTGTTCCAGGTACTTGTTGCCCTGATTTGGGTTGCGCTCGACTCGACTCGGGTTCGATGGTTCGGGTGACGGGATTGGCGCTGAATGTGACGTTCCGAGGACCCTTGGGACGAGGACTCCCCGAGTTCATTAGCAGCGGCGTGTTTTCGCTTGCATCAGAAGACGTGGCCACGCCTGCGTTTGGACTGGAGTGGTGTCGATCCATGACGGTGGAATTTGAAGCTGAGACCTTTCGGACGCTCTGGTGTGAAAGAAAGAATTCAATTGGCACCAGGCATGCTGATCATAGACCCTCGCGTTAAAACAGTGAAATGCTTGTTGAGGATGCCACCGAAGCGTTCCAGAAAAAAACAAGCGACTGAAAGCAGAGTTTCCGCAAGGTAGTAAGGGTGGTAGCCAAAGACATGGATGGTTTGAACTTTGGAGTTTGGGGGATGACGTTCGCTCCACTTCGGCTGCAGCTGCACGGATTAGCCTAGCACGTTGTTGGGCTGGCACTGGGCTAGGCGAGAGTGAGCCTGAGTTCGTGATCATGGCGGTTCATCGATGGTCCACAAAACGTCAAATCCGGACACCATGATAATCCAACCATCATTGTCACACCGCGAACTACGTAGTGTACTTGTACTTCGCTTCGATACAAATGAGGCTTAGGGTACGCTAGACATCCAACAGTTCTACCGCTGAACGATCAAGTCTGATGTGGCAGGTGTAAGTCACTTTAAGCACGCGAAAAATTCCAGAGGTCCTTTTTGGCGTGTCAGTTACAGGTTATGTACTCTGCTCTTATATTGGCCGCCACTGGCGCGGTCAACCGTTCTCACACATGGAGAAGCAGCCGTGTCGGCAGCATAAATTCTCAACGAAATGAGGACACTCGGAAGAACTGAACCCAAATGTGTATTGCCAAAGCTGTATAAGACTAATGTCTTTCACAGCTGAAGCTGAAGGAGAGAGTTTCTTTCTGTGCCTCCACGCCTTCGCTTCTCGTTGGCTTCCACTGACGGTTGGCTTTGGATACAAATTTACGGCGATAGTGCTCAGGCAAGTATGCGCGTTTCCGTCTTGAATCCTGCCTTGTTAACGCGATCGACCAGAGGCTGCTTAAGACACGCTGGCGTATAGAAACCTCCTTCAAGCTGGACATCCTCTTCCAGGAGCGTCAAAGCGCCCTGAGCAAGTAGCAGTCCAGTCACTGGTCGTCAGCACGTCATTCTTACTGATTGGACGGGCGAACTTACAATAGTACATACTGCCGCCCTCGAATCTCGCCTTGACGTACGCCTTCTTGCTTGAGTTGGAATCTGCTTTGGGCACATCCGGATGCGCAAAGCCACGGTACTCGATGGACTCCTTGTGGTGTCCTGATTTCTCAGGCCCTTGCCCCGGCTGATAAACGAACATCTTGACCAGGGATCTGACTGGAGGCACAATGGCCAGCATCAGACCTCCGAAAAGGAGCGCCCAGTGGATTCCGACACCAGCGAGCCAGCTCTTGGCGGTATAGTACTCGGCAAACCTAAAGTTTGGTCCGTACTGCTGGCTCTGAAGGCTAGGGGTGGTTGCAAAAAGGCCCCATGATCGCTCAACCTGGGTGGCATCTGTGGAACCCGCAGGCGAAGTTGTCAGAGATCCCAGTTCTGGGACGTAGTGCGACCCAAAGATCGTTTGAAGGATGCCACTGGGCTTCCTTGACGGTTCTGTGTGTTTGATGGGAGAAAGAGCGTACGGCCCTGTTGCAGCTCGAACCTCTCCGAGTGAGAACTTCTCAAAGATGCTCAGCACTGTGGCGAGAGTGCCACCGGACGGGGCAGAACTGTGCTCATGGTCAGTCTCTCCATCCCAATCAGGTAGCTGCCAGGTTTCTTACTTCAATTCGGCAATGGTCAGGGTGACATCCTTGCAGGTAGAACCCGTCTCCTTGCGCACCGACTGAGCCAGGAGATACGCGCACAAATCGGCCGGCGCCGACTCGATACCGAACTGAGGAAACAGAAGAGCACCGCTCGCTTGTGCCGATTTCTCGTATTTCTCAATCATACTGCGAACCCATGGGAACTCGCCTGTGCAATCGAGATAATGTGTTCCTGTCTCAGCACAAACCTTGACGACCTTCTCTCCATAGATGCAATAAGGCCCGACAGTGGTGATGAGAATATGCGTCTTCTTCGCTAGCTCCACGAGCTGCTCTTCATTGTTGGTATCAGCCAGCTCGATGCCTGTTCGTTGCCAGTCAGCAAGAAGAGGCCTAATTCGCACCGTATGATACGGCACCGTGATCTGACATGTATACCTGGAGCTTGCCTGTCTGCATTGAGCTGCTTGCATTGCTCGACCACAGCCTGGAGCTTATTAGGCGAGCGGCCAGCGAGAGCCCATTTGAGATTCGTCGGTAGATGAGTAACGATATGTTCGGCTGTCAATTGGCCAGTGTAGCCTATTCAATGGGGTGAGTCACTTGCTGCCGCAATGAAGCTGGAGTCGAGTTCCTTACCACTAGCGCCGAGGACAACAAGGTCATACTGGCGGCCGTGCTCTTTGAAAGGCATCTTGTACAGGGTAAAAGCGCGATACCGAAATGGAATTGGATCAATAAAGCAGCCTCGAGGCGGTGGAATTTGAGCAAGTTGAGAATGCGAAGACCTTCCTCAAGTGAGTTGTATGAAGTACATGTACCCCAGAGCCGTGAGGCGAATCCGCAACTCCGTCATCGCTGGTCAATGAGCCGAGGCGTTTCACCCATTGTCAGAAGGGATCTGCAAGCTCCAAAGACATCTGATAACGCGCGAGCATCTCAAGTGAATCACGGACTTTGCCTATTGATTCACTGGCGACGCGTGCTTGAGCACCAAAGCTCATCATATTTTAACATGGTTCCAGTTCATCGGAGCTTCACGACGGCCACCAATCAAGGCGGTCACAGCTTGATATGTACGGATGGTAGAAGTGCTATACAAGACGCATAGATGCCCCATGACGCGCGCTACCCATTCTCAAGTCCTCTGAAAGCAGCAATCGCTAATAGCCGAACACATATGCGCGTGAGCGTGATCGTGACGTTATGGTGTTGCCGATGACGAAGGCCAGTGAGCTGAATTAGTCGAAACTCATCTCAAGGCGTCACGTGATCAATGACAGAACTAGAGTGCGAGTGCAAGTGCAGTCTTGCCTTAGTCATCAACACTCACCAGCATTTTGACAGTTTCCCCCACTCACGTGCTTGCCCTAAGCAAAATTCACAACTCCCACCCCGAGGACATTTTCGGGCGGCATCCAGCAACTACCGCCCTCCCACGATCACTTCAATCCTCGTCGCCAACACACCACAAATCAGTCAAGATGACCAAGCGCACAAAGAAGGTCGGTGTCACGTACGTATCACTACTCCTCAAATGATGAATTATAAACTGACAATGCTGCAGCGGTAAATATGGTACCCGGTAAGTCTTACCACGGCCGCCTCCCACAATCCCTCAAGCCGTCTGCGATCCTCGAAACGAATTGCGACTGCACAGCACAACGCCGAACGAACCGATTCAAGCTATGCGATGTATAAATCTGGAATGCTATCGTCGAATTATCGGTCTTGGACAGCACTCTAGTACACCGGCACGACCGATTTGTTTCGACGACACCAGACGAGTGATGATGGACGCTTTGGAAGGCCGACCCAACTAACACGCCCTCCAGTTACGGTGCCTCCCTGCGTAAGCAGGTAAAGAAGATGGAAATCACTCAGCACGCCAAGTACACCTGCACCTTCTGCGGCAAGGTCACCGTCCGCCGCCAGGCTGTCGGTATCTGGGACTGCAAGGGCTGCAAGCGCGTTGTCGCTGGTGGTGCCTACACCGTCTCGTACGTGGCCTCTTTGACCGGACTTGCTGTCTGCACATGCACTGACCCTTCACTGTAGCACTCCTGCCGCCGCTGCCACCCGCTCGACGCTCCGCCGTCTCCGGGAGATCGCTGAGGTCTAAACCTCTTGTCGTTTTCAGCATGGAGGGGAACTAGGGCGCGAAAGAGCATTTCGAATTTCGGCTTCACTTTTCGGAACGGTGTCCTGGGGGTAGTAAACGGAATGGAATGGTTTTTCATTCAAGGATTGACTCGTGCCTTCGCATACTACGAGTGCTTATGACGATTGGACGTTGGGACCCTATTCGCCCAACGAGACGAACTAGACGCTGGTCGATAGGCAAATGCGAAAAGAAATTCATGACACCCAAGGAATCTACGGGAAACTGCGCTCAGATAATGTTACCGGTCGCTAAACATGTCCCAGGCCACCCGGGTCGTGCCTGGTCAGAGGCTTCGTGGCAGATTTGTGTCCGCGATTGCCGAGCAAGATCTCTTGAATGCTCTCGAGAGGTGTCGGACGCTGCATCCCACCGATCTTGCGTCTCGCTGTATTTCGAGTTTGCAAAGCAGTCATTCTGTCAGCGAAGTTCCTAGAATGCTGGACATGAGAAGGGAATGCGTTAGACAATTCCTAATTTGACTCATTGTGCTGAGGAAACGCACCAACGCGATGACGCTGCCTCTGCCACTCAGCGCACTTGCGTCGATACCTTGGAAGTCGTTTGAGTTTTTCACGCGTGATAGCATACGACAGGCTTTGAGGGTGGTGCACGATACATGGGCCCAGCAAGGATGGGGACAAGTTGGCGGTGTGATGGTTGCCGAGCTAATCAATGACAGTACGATTGTCGCTGTGTTGTCAGGGTCGGAGCATCTATTCACTAACTAACTAGAAGGTTAAATTGAAAGATTGAAGCATGCCATACTCGCGTTGCAGGATAAAGGATCTACTATTTCTCAAGGTTTGCGCATGCGACTTGGCAAGCCCCAATGCGCTGAGCTCATTGCGAGGCTGGTCACGATGGTCGGACGAATGTCTCGTGCCTTGGCTGATCCCGATTTGGCGCGGGCGCTGTGGTGACTGAAAATGGTCACACGTGCATCTCAGCAATAGTAAAGTCAGCAGCAGAGCGTGCGTAACTAAATTGGAGATAGTACCTTGCTTGACGACCTTCATCGATGTCTTACAGGCGTCACTTTGCCGCCTCACCAGGGATTGAGACTACACTCTGCAGATTTGTGCCGACTCACCTGAGTGCTTTACACAGATCAGGATACCGCCCAATCTCGTCAGTCTCCGCAACCTTTGTCTGCTGCGTACGGTACACTCAATAAGTGCTCACTATTCGTACTCGGCTTGCCTCCAACTGCCCTGGGTTCCAATCGAAGGGTGGAAGCACTGTGCGCCTGAAAAGACACCCCATAACGATCAAAGGCACCTGTATTGGTGGGAAGAGTTTCACAACGCGGTACGAGTCCCCCACAACCCATTCTACATGTACGTTTAAAAAAAGTTGACAAAGTGAAAGAAGCTGTTCTGACGTGGAGATTAGAAGATCACCTTATCGTGTCACGCAGGCGTGTCGCTGTCAGGCACTACACGTACAAGTACAGGTACGAATCCAGTCGGCTCAAGGGCCAGGCAGCCCACCTGGAATCCAAAGGTACAGCGCGGCTGGCGGTAGCGAGCCAGGGACTGAGCTGGACTGGACCCCGCTACTTTTCCTTCTTCGTTGTTCCCTTCGGTGTCTTGCTAGCCACCAGACCTCCCCAATCCCCGTCAACTATCAGCAGCGCGAGTGCCCAGTGTCACCCATTACTGGGCCGTTGCTTCGAGTCAGCAGCACCTCTGGCTGGTCTCTGAGGAGACTCCCGGTCTATCCAGGACTCATCCTCTTTTCTTCCTCTTTCAAACTTTCGAAATCGGTGTTACTGACTGCCCTTGTCAGCCAGGCCCGAAAAAAAAAAGGTTCCACCACTTGACGCCAGCGCAACAGCCCCCCAAGCAAGCGCTGCACCTTCCGCCTGAGGACCACTTCGACCGACATCAACTGACGCCAGACACGATCATTTCCGCCCATTGTTGCCTATCACTTTCAAACTGCATCAGCGTGCGGATCTCTGGCTTGGCAACTTCACAGAGTCACCAGTGCCATAACGTATCGGAACGTCGAGCTACCAGTTCACATGTTTCCTTTAAGATACCAGCTCTACCATTTTAATCGGCATCATGTCTGAGCCAGAACAGTGCATTATATGCCTGGACTCGCTTCCACTCCCGCGATCCTCGGGTCCGGCCTTAGTGACCGACGGCGTGCTCCAAGTACCACCTACCACTGTCGACGCGGAAAACAACAACAAACAAGAAAATGACGAAGCTGCAAATCACCTCAATGTTGTCGCGGCCCTTGACGGATGCGAGCACATTATTCATGATGCGTGCATCCGGTCCTGGGCGCAAAAGACAAACACCTGCCCCATCTGCAGGAACATCTTCCACATAGTCCGTGTCTTCAATGGCGTTGACGGTAGGTTCAACCACAGTCCATCCACAGCTATACCATGGACTAACTCTAAGTTTCCACCAGGGACGGCCATCTCCCAATACGAAGTCGAAGACAAGAAGCAAATCGCCGAGTTCGATATCCAGCAGTGGCTAGGCGAGAATGCGGAAGAAGAGCCCGAGCAGAGCAACCCGTGCCCTATCTGCAATTCTGCGGAGCAGGAAAACGTCCTCCTCCTATGCGACAGCTGCGATGCTGCCTACCACACACACTGCGTAGGGTTGGACGATATCCCAGACGGAGACTGGTACTGCATGGAGTGTCGACATGCATTTCAGCTGAGTGATGAGTCTGGAGACTTCGCCAACGAGTCGCAGCCCAGCCGTCGTCGTCGAACCGCACGATCACAGCCTCGGAACGGGCGAGGCTACCACGTTCGAACTCGAGCACGCCTTCGAAGAGCCCGTCAGCAGGCGCGAAATGTTGAGTGGCAAGGACCGTGGGGTCAATTTGCTGGCCGTTTATACGACCTTGCTGAAGTAGACCTGGACAATTTCGACGACGAGGACGAGGAGATGGGCCAATATCGTCAGTTCCAACAGTTGGATCGGCGAGAAGTAGAGCGTTGGCGACAGCGATTCGACATAGCCCAGCGTTGGGGTGCGCAAGACGCGTTCGCACATAACATCCCTCCGGCGATAAGCGAACATCTCCAGCCCGCACCTCCACCACCACCACCTCAAGAGACCAGAGATGAAAGGCGAGCTTGGGGCGCATTCGAGCTTGCGCGTGCAGCAGAGGAAGGCAGCACAGCTTCAAGATCACGGAAGCGCAAGACCCGCTCCATCACCGCTTCTCCGGCCGAGCCTACACAAGAGCCAGAGCGCAAGCTAAAGCGTCCACGGACCAGACGGTTGGCCACAACCCATGCCGAGGGATCAGGCTCAGGCTCAGCACCGTCGCCAATCCCAGGTCCGTCGACCACGCCAGCCGCTGACGCGACTACCAACGGCCATGGCACCATCGTGAACGGATCGTCGGCACGGCCTGAAGGTACAGGACCGGCTTTGGTGTCATCATTATTGAAGGAGCTCGAGCCCAGCTCTACGTCGGATGATGAGACGTCCACAATCGTCCCCGGTCGATTCGTCCGCACGGGCGCTTCATCGCCAGTTCTCTCCCCTTCGCCATCCAATCCAGGCACTCCTCGCGCGTTGTCAATGAGCCCGCCACCCTTCCAAGGTCGACCATCATCTCCGACCTTATCGCTTAGCACGCACATCGAGCCGAGGTTTGCGCCTGCTCCCTACTCCCCTGCGGCAGCTCGAAAACACGCCAATGGTCATGGCAGCGGTAGCGGCAGCGGAAGTGGAAGCGGCAGCGAGGGAAGTGATTCGGACAGTCGGTCAAATCGGCAACGTCGGGGACGTAGACCTGAAATCCAGCAACACCGCCCGCGACACGCAAGGCAAACGCAGCAGGCCGCCGCTGCTGAACATTCACCAACCAGAGGGAGCGTGATCACGCAAGAAGAAAAGAAGAGCATCAACGACATTGTCAAAAGCGCGCTCCGGCCCCATTGGCACGCACAAAGACTCAACACCGACCAATATGCGTCCATTAATCGAGACGTTTCGCGAAAATTATACGAAGAGGTTCGTGATGCGAATTCGCTAGACGAGGATACTCGACGGATGTGGGAATCGAAGGCTTCTTCTGAGGTCGAGCGAGCTCTCCTAAAGCTGAACAGCGAGCCGACTTGACGTATACAACATTGGGATCTTGGAATTTATGTAACCGAAAGATTGGGCGTTTCAGGGCATCGAGTGACGGCGCTCGAGATGGTTTGATACCCAGCATGTAATAGCGAATCCGACTTGTTGTTATTTTTGTTTTGCATTGGCACACAGCGCGAGGAACCATGATGGAACAGGAGGAGTCGTGGATATCATCACAAGCCGTAGGTATAGCTATGGCAGCTGTTCGGATTTTACGTATATATCTGGACATGTCGAAATGTCTGCATCGTGTGGTAGACAAATCAATAGAACATTCGAACACATCTTGAATCTTCTGTGACTAAAAAAGGGTTTAGCCTTCCGTTCTACACCAAGATGAGGGATGAATCGCTCGAATTCCGCGTATTGAGACCATGTCATCTTCGTGTTCTTGACAAGAACTGGCTCTGCTGCGACGGCATGAGCGTGGAGGCATCATGATGACAGCGCGGTAGATTCGTATCACCCTGTGTCGCATTGACCAGCATGTGAGACCGGACCACAGCAACGAAGTCAGGTCGAGCGAGAATGTCAGCAGTAACTATCTAACAGAGCCGAGTAGGAGAACTAAAGGCGCCGCTAGCGAAAAAAGACTGCTCTGGGCTTCAATCTCGGCACTCGTAAATGATCAGGACGTTCTGGAGGTGGAACAGGTCTTGACGATAAGGAAAATGGTGCCTTGAAAGGAAGAAAAAGGGAAAAAGAGAGGGGGATCGAAGCGGCCGCAGACTTTGTGCACAATTCTACGTGGGCCTCAGGCAAGGCCAGTCAGCCGTGTCGAAGTGATTAGTCAGCGTTTTTTGCGGACGTCGAGGAGCCACCCCTGGCCCGGGCCGTGATGCTGCGGCTGGAGAAAAAGTTCAGACGCGACGGCGGATGTGAATTCGTGCTGCTCGAGCAATCGCACAGGACAACAGCAGTCAGGTTTCATGTCAACCATGGCAGCTTCGAGTAGGGGCAGCCAAGCCCTGAGACTTACAGTCTTCTGTGAGAGAACATCTTCTCCCCAGGCATTGAAGCGGTTGCTAACTCATCCTGCCAACAGCCTCGCCGAACGTGTGCACTCGTTGCGCAACGACACGATTCTACTCAGCGCCAGCAGCCGCGACATCGCCCGCGGAACCGACCATACCCCAGTCGACTCAGGTGCCTCCGCCACCGTCACCAGCTGTTACGTCTCCTGGTGCATACGATGTTCGCTCTGGGCTGATCCTCACCCGCGCTCCTCTGCTTACTCGCAAACTGCATCCTTTCGAAAATACATTCTTCTTCTACCAGAAGCGTCTGGAGGAGCGATTGAATAGCGCTTTCATCCCCAGCATCTACTTCCGTCCCGACACGCCAAGACGCATGGAATGGGACTTGAAGATCAAGGAGCGTGAGGGGACGGTCGCCAAGGAGCTGGGTGCCTACAAGGGCAAGGGCGCAGATGCGTGGCAGGACGAGCTGCGAGTCGGGGACGAGTTGAGCTCAGAGAGCCACATGATCAAAAGCCTGCTCAAGGACGCGGAAACGAGGATCAGCGAGGACGCGGAGATCATCCCCGAGGCCGACGTGACGCCAGTGACGCTGCCCAACGGGCGAGAGACCGAGGCAGACAAGAAGGGCGATGTGAAGAGGCTGGATCGCGCGCTTGACCGAACGCTCTACCTGGTGGTCAAGGGCAAGGATGGCTGGGGTTTCCCTGCTGACGTCGTGCCAGAGGGCGAGAACTTGCACACGGTAAGACGCCCCGTACCATTGGGCCAAAGCCTTTGATCGTTTGCATGATTGTCAAGCAAGGCTAATATTTATTCTAGAATGCCCAGAGGGTTCTCGACCAGGCTGCAGGCGTCAACATGAACACCTGGATCGTCGGCCGTGTGCCTGTAGCTCACGTCGTCAGGCAACCCGTCACTAAGGCTGACGGCTCCGTAGAGTCCAAGGGGCAGAAGACATTCTTGCTCAAGGGGCGTATCATGGCCGGGCAGGCTGATCTGAAGGGCAATCCTCTTGGCTACACGGACTTCAAGTGGCTGACCAGGGAGGAGGTTGAGAAGGAATTGCCAGCGGGGTACCTGAAGGGTATCAGGAACATGATGGGCGAGCGCTAAGCGGCTGGCTCTGGGCTAGCATGTCAGGGGCTGCTGTATTACAATGTAGAATTACGACATGTGTACACTTTTTTTGTATGAACACCACGCATGGGTGGGGGTTAGAAACGAAGACCTGTTTTCTGCGCTTCGCAGGATTGGCGGCAATCCAGTCTTTGGTTCAACTGATGAGTACTCGTAGGGATGCATTGAGAGTGGAACGGCAAAAGACTCGGATCGGACACAACTGAACTCTGTGGGGTCGGGAGCTGGCGGCGTAAGAGCGAGCACGCAATTGCTGACTGCACAGTCTGTCGGCAAGTTGTTGGCTTCGCTAGCCGATGGTGATTGCCGCCTGCAGCTGTCTCCAAAATACGTGCTGCCATTGGAGACGCAGAGAAATCGCTACAGGTGAGGTGTCCTCAACATGCTGACGTAGGTGCTCATTGCCTTCCAGGTATTGTTACGTCTTGGCCAACCCAAACCTGTGCGGATGTAGAACCGTTAACTCCACGCTTACTTGGAGTACTGAGTTAGTATCAGTGGATGGACCACGATTAGGGGACCAAGGGGTATCGACTAGAAGAGGCACGTGGCGCAAAACAATGCGTCCAATTGCTCTCATGGCTCGCGCCTAATTCCTTGAGGCCCCTCGATTCGTTCATGCCGACGACCGACTCAGGTCTCTCCTGACTCAGCCGTGATTTGTGGGAGTTGCGATTACCTGACCCCCCATGGTCAGTGCACCTGACACCTATCACTAGAAACGTGGGGCTGATTTTGGTCGATAAGGCCTATCGGCTATCGATAAAGGCAATTTAGGACTACTTTCGAACTAGCTTCAAACTACTTTGAAACTAATTAAAGCTTTGTTTTAATTTATATAGCTTAAACTAAGTTATAATGGAGGGCTAGGTTAGGGATATTTAGGGTCAAGGTCAGGCTTTAGGGTCGTAATATAAGGTATGTATTTATTATAGGGTAGGCTAAGCACTAGGTATCAGGTGTCAGGTTAGGTAGTAACAACTGACGGGTGTCAGGTTGTCTGTAGACTCGACCTGAGTGTCTCTCCTGGCTCAGCCGTGAATATTATCTCAATGTCACTTTTTACATGCGTGGTTTTCGCCAAAAAGCTACAATGCCCCGCCTCCAGTCCCTCCTCACTGCTCTGACTGAACTGAATCCCGTCCTCAACCGTGACCCCACCTTGGGAAGGCCGCCCCGCGCTAGCTCAGGTACTTAATTATCGCCCTCAGTTTTCTTTTCTTGCGTGATCCGTCTTTTGATAAATACCTCTCTCAGCCCCAGTCCAAACCCCTTTCGATTCTCCTCTCCACGTACACGAAGACGCGGATTCAGACAATTACTCGACCAATTCCCACGAGTTTATACACAAATACCGTCACAATGACTGCCCAAAGTCTTGCCGGTGTGCAAAAGTTCGAGAACAGCTTCCTGTTCACCGTAGGTTGAGCCGAAACTTTTTTTTGGCCGACATCAAGCGCTGACCACTTTCACAGTCCGAGTCTGTCGGCGAGGGCCACCCCGACAAGATCGCTGATCAGGTCTCTGACGCCATCCTCGATGCCTGCCTGCGCGAGGATCCGCTGTCCAAGGTGGCTTGCGAGACTGCCACCAAGACTGGTATGATCATGGTCTTTGGCGAGATCACCACCACCGCCCGCCTCGACTACCAGAAGGTCGTCCGTGATGCCATCAAGGACATTGGCTACGATGACTCTGAGAAGGGCTTCGATTACAAGACCTGCAACCTGCTCGTTGCCATTGAGCAGCAGTCTCCTGATATCGCTCAGGGTCTTCACTACGAGAAGGCGCTCGAGCAGCTCGGTGCCGGTGACCAGGGTATCATGTTCGGCTATGCTACCGACGAGACCCCCGAGCTCTTCCCCCTGACCCTTCTCTTCGCTCACAAGCTCAACTCTGCCATGTCCGCTGCCCGCCGCGACGGCTCCCTTCCCTGGTTGCGCCCTGACACCAAGACCCAGGTCACTGTTGAGTACCAGAAGGATGGCGGCGCCGTCGTTCCCAAGCGCGTCCACACCGTTGTCGTCTCTGCTCAGCACAGCCCGGACATTACCACCGAGCAGCTCCGTGAGGAGATCACGGAGAAGATCGTCAAGAAGACGATCCCCGCGAAGTACCTTGATGAGGACACTGTGTACCACGTGAGTTCACCCCCGCTTGCATCGTCGGCGAAACGAGACTAATTCCCTTTGCAGATCCAGCCCTCTGGCCTCTTCATCATTGGTGGTCCCCAGGGTGACGCCGGTCTGACTGGCCGTAAAATCATTGTGGACACCTACGGTGGCTGGGGTGCCCACGGTGGTGGTGCCTTCTCTGGCAAGGACTTCTCCAAGGTCGACCGCTCTGCTGCCTACCTCGCCCGCTGGGTCGCCAAGTCGCTGGTCAACGCCAAGCTCGCTCGCCGTGCCCTCGTCCAGTTCTCCTACGCCATTGGTGTCGCCGAGCCCCTCTCCATCTACGTCGACACCTACGGCACCTCTGACAAGAGCTCGGCCGAGCTCGTCGAGATCATTAACAAGAACTTTGATCTTCGCCCCGGTGTCATTGTCCGTGAGCTGAACCTCGACCGTCCCATCTACCTGCAGACCGCCAAGAACGGTCACTTTGGCACCAACCAGAGCTTCACCTGGGAGCAGCCCAAGGAGCTCAAGTTCTGAATGAGCTAAGGGTGGTGAGTGGAAGACGCATTCAACAAGTCTTGCCACGCCCAACACGAGAAAAATGTCGCAGGAGCGCTGATGATGTGACCGTAAACGGTTCGCATCGGAAAGCCTTCCTCCGTCTTGACCTCGCTAATAATCGCACCTGAGTGATGACGGGCCACGGCCCGCGGTTCTCAACGAAACCTTGGTAACGAGCTTGCAGTGGGCGCTCGGAAGATGGCTGCCCGGCAGTTTTCCAGATAAAACGGCACGCGCTCCATTACCTACCCTCACGATACCCCTTGTCTTGTGCGACAGTGGCGAACGTCGATTCGCGCGAAGTCGGGGGGTTGCGGAAGGGGTCGGACCTGGGACGAGGTTGCAAGGGACATCTTGAAACTGGCCAAAAGGGGGATGTCATACTAGGAGGGTCAGCAAGCAGACATCTCGACAAAGAGATGTGTTTGCTGAAAACTTCCCTCCAGTTTCCTTGATCTTGAGAAATTAGAGGAGCAGGTGGCTGATGGTTCTCTATACTTCTTGTGCTTGTTACAGCTGCGCATATAGAAATATAGACATATTAACAGCGAAACAAAAGACAACTTGCTATACTCAGCCATGATTCTACCGCATGCGTGTTCTTCTGTTGCCGATGGTTTATTCATCGCTGGTCGTGTTAACTGAACAGCGTTCCTCAACCCGTCGTCCCCTTCTTTGACTGAGACGACCAAAGAGTCGTTAGGATAATGACTACCCTGTAGGGCCGTTCGAGTGCCGTCTCGGCAGTGTGTAACATTGAGATATGTCTGTATATACGGTACTTGATGAATGATATCTCATTTATAAGTTTTATGAATTGCAATCTGAAACGGAGTATTTGAGACTTGATCGCACTGATATGCATGATGTGCACCGGAACGTTTTCATCAACGGCCATGCCCGTCCCCGAGTGACAACATACCTATTCTCCTGACCAGAACCTGCCTTCTACATCTATCTGGACAGCCCTTTTCGACAAAATTGTGTTTATTGCAACAATAAACCATAATAAACTGAAGCATCAGAAGCTAGGCTGTCCAGATGCGTGACCGTACGGACAGGCCGATTGGCGCGTCCGGAGTCCGGACGCTGAACAATCAGGGCGTCGACAAGGTTTACCACCAGATGTTTCGTCAGGGACCTGCGACGTTTTCGGGACTCTGACGCAGACCCAAGCAGCCTCGTTGCTTCTTTGGTCGTGCAATGAAAGCCGTTTCCCAAAAAAACATCGTCGCCTTCTCCAGACAAAGTATTTCACACTGTGGGCTACCGCCAAACTGAAGGACTCTACCGTTGTTAGTCTCTGCCCGACCCTCAGTTCTAAGGCGCGCCCGGACCGTGCCGCGCGACTATCCAACGACTTCTCAAGTCAAGTCAGTCAATTCATCTTGGGGCGATGAGAAGAAGCATTTTGGACCTTATGATGGCATGGGATCAATTGCTTGCAGACGTGCCACCTGTGGGCTTAATTAGTACGTTACTCGCCTGATACCCTATCGCTGTGGGTTGTTCTCGTCTCGAATTCAGGCAAGAGATGCGTTGGTTCTGTAGAGACCGCCCAAGCCGTCGAGACCGCGCGAAATGTAATTAATTACTTGGGTATTTGAGTTGACTCGAGGTCCCGAGGATGCTGTGACCTCGGAGAGAGCGACATGACGAGTGCATTCACATTTACATTTGTCGTCATGACGTGCATAGGTTGAATGTCCGCGTCACTGGGTTGTCGCGATCTTGATTAATGATCTACCGCAGCAGATCGAGTAACGAGAAATTATTAATCATAACACGCATGGTTGTCTCGGAAAGGGCGGCGGGCTGTCACTGAACTGAACTGCCTTGTACAGTTGTACTAACCAGCAACGTTCATCTCCGAACCTGGGGGAGACAGCTCAGCATCCAGCCAGCCTCAACTTCAAGGTGAGGCAAGCAGGGATCAGCCTCGCTCGAGTCATTGAAGCTGCGTCGAGCCTGCTGAAGCCTGACCAGGAGCAGCAGACTGACTTGAGGCAGTGCTTTGACATTGGCGTGCCCTTCTCACCCGTACTGAAGTGGCTGATCAGCAGGCATGCATAGGGTCTGAGCCCGCAGAGTAGATGGGTTTCGCGCACCGAGGTCGGGAGAAGCAATGCATCAATCAGTTGCTCAGGCACTGGTGGAGGTGGAAGTCGAAGACGGCCCACGGGAAGATGCCGTCCTAGACGAGACCAATCAGAGGGCACGGTCCGCGTTGAGACACCGGCGTGCCTGAAAATCATGCAGGGCGGGGACAGGGCATTCATTATTAATATTTCCCGCTTGGTGCTCCGTAGCTCAGCTGCCAGGGCCAGGAACACGCACAAAACAAGTGCAGCTTTCATGAGCACATAAGCGTCCAGTCCAATCGCGCCCGGCCCATCTCGATGGAGACCTATCCCACTAATTATTTGACATTGGCACGAGCATACTTGGTATGATGACGATTTGTTGACAATCACATCTCAGATCTGGCAATTGTTGCGTCTCGATCGATCCGGGAGTCCGGGACCCAGCCTGACCACAAGGTCCGCGACGTCTAAGCCGACGAAGATTAATCACGCTCAAGATTTTCTTTTCCATGACCCCCGCGCGCCTGCCTTTGACAGGTTGATCAGCAAGTGAACAACATGGCAAAAGTGGGTGCGGACCACCTCTCCGCTGGGGTGAGCCCACATCACCATCCCATGAGGACTGAGCCACTGAGCAACGTAACTGATGATGCTCCTGCACTCGAGATCATAAATTGCATCTATTGCTTCTATCGCTCATGGGCTGCTTTGGGTCGATGCGCCGGGCGAATCAAGAGGAGTAAACGCTTGTCCGCAGCAGAGGAAGCAACCCTCGCTCGCTCGCTCGCTCACTCCATGAAAGCCACAGGACGGCTGCCATCGCCCTGCCTTGGTTCAATTTCACCACGGAGCCATCCTGCCACTGAGAGCAGAGGGCCACAGAGCCAAAGTTTCACATGCCTTCCCCACCTGCCCGGCTCTCTTCCCCTGCGGATCGCATCACCTGCAGCCTGCAGGCATGAACCTGGTCGTGTCATGCTCTGGCCTCTGGCAGTTTCGTGCCTGGCAGCTGGGGCGTGCCAACTTGAACCAGTCCACATCGCGCATGAAAGAGACTGCGTTGTATTATTTTAGTACCGGTAGTATTGTTTTTTTTTGCCCTGTTCGTCGTTTCCGAGGTGGATACTGCTACCTCTATCCTCTTACAAGTGTCCCTCTTCCTCCTGCTCGACTGTGACATGAAGCGTTGACCGACCCTCTCTCGCCTTTGACTGGCAACCACTCGACTCTTATTCCACTCGTTTGATATCTTGCAGGATCACGCTCATTGATCACCAGCTTCTGACTGATCACATATCCAGATTCAGGTCTCTGGTCGGGTCTTATATGACCTCTTGTGTCTTATTGCACCCCACACTGTCTCTCGACCACACAGCAAGCCACTTCCGTTGGCCACCCGCGACATCTCTCACGATCCCCATCGTTGCTCAAGACACTCCGCTTCGATTGTTCATCAGTAGAAGCATTCTACTTCAACTCTCCCTTGACCAACAAACATACCGGCTTTCTTGACAATCCACTCGTTGGCTGCGCCAACAAGACGTCCAACATCTTACTGCTTTTGGTGTTGCTTCACATCTTTCTATCACATCGAGAAACCTAGGAAGATCATCTTTCTGTCACCCCCTATCAGTGCAGACATCCTGCGGATCTCGCCGCACAAGGTGTGAGCGCAGAGACAGCGAATCGAACGCTCGACAACAGTTCGTGGAGGCATGAAGCGAGCTCTTCCTTTGGGGCTGGGCGTCTTGGCCCTGGTCACTACCATTGCGCTCATATGCGATGGCATTGTTCTGGCCGTTCAGACGACGAAAGGATCCTCGGTATGGGCTACATCAATCATCGCCACCATACTCGAGGCCATCGTCCTGAGCATGCTGGCATGGTTCGTTTTGACGACCTGTTCACAAGCGCTCGCGACCCTCCTCCGACGCTCATCGCCAAGACGTCTCGCCGCCTCATTCACTCTCGCAGGTATTGCTTGTCTCTTTGCGTCAGCCATGGTCATCGCTACCATCGTTTGTCTGAGCAACGAACCCGGAGCTGTCGGCCCTCACAGGTCTAGCCAAGCTCAACTCGGTGCCACTGCCACCATTCTCGCCGTTGCGGTCGCCTGTCAACTGGGCTTCCTTGCTGCGCACTACTTCCTTTGCCGACGGACCGACAATCAAGACGACGCAGCCGCGCACAACGATGCCGAGCTTCGTTCATCGCCAACCTCACGGCTCAAGTCGGTCCCGTACAGTCGCACCCGGCCTTCCCTCGCCAAAAATCAAGAGACAGATTCCAAGAGTTCGATGGAGAGTGGATTCACGGAGGAGCTCAAGGCAGGCTATCAAGGCGTCTCGTCTCCCCGGCCTTCCTTGTCACCTTCTTTGCACCACGCCTCTTCAAAGACAAAACTAGCACCGTTGCCGGAGAAGCAGCGCCCTCAGTCGCTGGAAACGGTACGCCAGAGGCCCAGTGCTGACGGGTCGGACAAATCATCATTGTACAGTCGGCATACACAAGACCTGCCATCGCCTGGCCTCGTCAAGCCGCGTCTCCTCGAGACGATACCGGCCAGCCCGACCGTGGCCAATGACCCTGCCATGAGCCTTGCCGCAGACCTCGAACCCCCTCCTCCCATCATGCAACGCAGCCGCAGTTTCAGCCCCGTTGGCGAGGAGCGCAGATCACGACAACGGACCCAGTCACCAGCACCCTCCGCCGAAGAAGCCAACATCCACCCCTTGTTCCGATCAGATTCGCCAACGCCGCCACCGTTGGCATCGTCCGGGACTAGCGTCGTAGCGTCTCCGGACGCCGGCAAGATAATTCCTCACCGCCCAAGCATGCAGTCTATGCGGCGCCTACGCAGCAGTAGCTCAGCATCCACATTGAGTCCCCTTAGTCGCCGAAATTCTCTCGAGGCACCAAGCATCAAGAAGCCTCGGGATGAGCAGGGCAGTATCCTTGAAGTGGATGAGGAGAGCGCGGCGGACACGGATGTCGAGATCCTCCCTCCGATCCCCGACTTTGTGATGGGCGCAGGCAACCGACACAGCTTGACGCGCTACAACAGCAAAAAGTCAGAGCACGAGCAGAGCTGAGCTCTGAGCTCCTTCTTTTCTTTCTGTTGGGCGGCAGTCGTAGGTTAGGAAACCGACCTGCCGCTTTCTTGTTTTCCTTCATTTCGAGCAAGGCGTCACGAGGTGTGCATAGACTAGGACTAGACGATACACATGAACGACTCATAGACATATACAAGCATATACTACCTTCACAGACGTCTTTCCCACACACATTCCTGGGCTAGGTAGGTCTGCACGCTCGCAAAGACGCTGCTCATCTCCAGCTCCATGGTTGTCGGTCCCAATTATGGAAGCGACTCAAAGCTCCTATTTGGCGGGCCTGACAGGGCAGTACATAATGTCCCAAAAGGCTCAGTACAGCAGTTTTCAGGTTTACCTGAGACCATTGACCAGGATCTTCACATCATCGTCCAGACGAAGGGTGGTATAATCCCTCCAGCGGAGCGTGTCTTGCTCTGCGTCCTCCAAGCGCATATCGAAGCGTCGAAAGAGGTTTGCGAGGAAGACATAGGCCTCCATGTAGGAGAGATTCATGCCGGGACACACCCGTGGACCCTTGCTGAACGGGACCAGGTTCTTCTTGTACGTCGCCGCGTCGTCGCCTAGCCATCTCTCGGGGTTGAAGACGTCGGGCTCGGGGTAGAGGTTAGGGTTGTGATGTATCATGCGCTGTGCCGTCGAGACGGAGGTCTGCGAAGAAAAGCATACAGTATTAGCGCAATACTATCTCTGTGCCAGGTGCATTTGAAGAGCAGGTCAGTACGTACCCCTTCCGGGAGGAAGTGTTTGCCGTATGTGGTTCCCCCGGCCGGCACAACGCGCGTTAGAATGCCGGACGCCGCAGACGATATGCGTAGGGTCTCAGTGATAACAGCAGTCTGTAATTGTCAGAAATGTGCTATCATAGACTGGCTGGCGCTTTGGGCTTGGTGTTCGACTGACCAGATAGGGCAAGTTGGCCAGGTTTTGGTATTCCATCAACCCATCCTCATTTGTTTCCACCTCGCTGAGTTCGTCTAGCAGCCTTCTTTGGATATCGGGGTTCTTCAGGATGCACCACACGCCAAAGGTGATGGTCGTCACCGTGGTCTCGGTACCGGCGATGACGAGGGAAAACGTCTCGTCCACCAGGCTCTTGGTGCTGCGGTGCGGCTCGGCTTCGAGGATGGCGTCGAAGACGGTCTGGCGACCAGTCTCATCGGAGAAGATGCCCTTCTCCTGCTGTCTCTGACGGACCTCGGTGACCCACTCGGCACATTTCTATTGAAAGGGGGGACTGTTAGTCGTGACAAGGCATATGATGTGGTCTCGGGACCTGCTCACACTGCGAAACTCCACAAAGCCTGGGGCCAAGCGTGCCATGACCGGGTTGGGGAACGACTGCAATGTAGTGCCCAGGATAGGGAAGTGCTTCATGAGAGCAAAGTTGCCGGTCAGAGAGACCAGCGAGTCGACCAAGGCGGAGGTCTCTTCTGACCCTTGGATGCAGTTCATGTCCTTGCCGAAACACAACTTCATCATAATATCCATCTGCACAAAGCCCACGCGTCAGTATATACACTCGTGAGATAGAGTAGAAACAGATCACTGCATGGCTGTACCGAAAAGTTGGACTCCAACCTGTTTAGGCGCAAGGGAAGCCCCGACTCATATGCTTCTTCCACCTTTCCCAAGGCAGCCTTGATGATTTGGAGGAGGCTCGGCGAGAACTGTCTCATGGAAGCGGGAGAGAACATGGGACTGATGATGGCGCGGCGAGCCTTATGCGCCGGGGGGTCCAGAACGAACGGTAGTGCGTCGAGGTCGCCTGCAACCTTGGATAAGGCTGGCTCTTTGGAAAACTTGGTTCCTGTAGAAAAGACCCTTGTTCAGATGTATGAGTGACCGTGACATGTGCCCCTTGGGGTTTTCATTGTGCCCAACTTACAAGTGATAAAACTCCACGTCATTGACGTGAACTCTGTTTGGACTCATGCGGACAATAGGACCTGACCACCCGAGATCTCGTCAGAAAAAATGTCCGTGTGACCTTGGAGATAAACAAAAGAAAGCAGAGTCCCGAACCGTATTGGGCATGTAGTCGAGGATACTCCTTGAGGTAGTGCCCGTCAAGGATGACATCCTCGTAGAACTCATACCAACTTGTTGCCGCCGCCAACTTGGGACCCGGCACGTTTCTGAGTGGGTGTAGAAAGAGACGGTAAAACACGAGGCAGAGGCTATAGGTTATGAGCCCTGCCAAAGCCAGGACCAAAAGATGGGCGGCCTTGGTCCAGGGGGCCATGGCTGGCCAGCTCTGCAAGATGAGGCTAGGGCTGAACATGGCCATGCGTGGAACGGTGGATGATGAAAGGCGTGGTTAAGGTAAACTGCGCTTTGGACGGCGGGTGAGATGAAGCAACGTCGAGATCCTCCTAGGAGGACCGCCCTTTTAAGAGGACAGCGATCGCACCCCATGTTGGTTCGCTTTCTCTACAAATGGCAATGTTCCGAAATGACAAGTTGTCAATATATCGGCGTTCTGGTCATGCAAGTCTCACTGTAAGTCTTAAAAAGGCAGCCTTCCGGTCTGTGCGTGGAGTAGTCTGGTGAAAAGACTGTTTCTCTTCTTGCCTGTGACTTTGATCCCACACAGACTCGTCGTGCTCCTTATCGACGTGTGTAAAGAGCATACTGCGATGTCTTCTTCGAGCTGATCAGTTCACTCTTCCAGCCCAGGAGAGACTAGAGCTTGCAACTGCTGACGAAATGCCATGCACAGTTCCAATGACACAGTATCCTACCAGAAAGACGTCGTAATCGGGATTGCACAAAGCACCTTGACCGTTGCAATGAAAACGTCGGTGCAATGCTACGCTGTGTTGGCAAGACGTGTCTGCGTGGGGGAAGTGGCTGATCAGGCAAAGTATTGACGGCGTGCTTGCTTTTGGCGAGCTGGCCCAGAGCTCAGCTGCAGACGGATGCGACGCCAGATTTCGGCTCGGTGTAAAAGGACTCGACCACGATTGGTAGACGCAGCGCTAATTATAGGCAGGCGTACATGAGTGAACAATTCCGAGCTGTGTTCACTCGCACGAATGTCCATTGTTCATCCATTGATGCAAGTGCAGGCTGTCCCGGCGACCCCTATTCTGAGGTATTCACTATTTACCTGCAGCCTGCCGTTGACCGGCCTACTCGACCTACGTCAGGTGCGGGGTGGGCACGTTAGAGTAACGTAGTGAGCACTGGGACTGTGCCAGTGCCAGCCGAACATGACGCCTGTGAATCCCACCTGCACGTTCTGAAGCAAGCAACTGTGCGCCGTCCACTGCTCCCCCTCTAGCAAATCTCCAACTTCAGCTATCAAGCGGCCCAGCCGCCGCATGCGTGCCTTCCATAGTCTGCGTGGCATGTGATCCCCGTCCTCTTCAGAGTCCGTGTCATTGCCAACCATCCGCTCCCTGGGTCGGAGATGGGCTGAAAACTCACCATCTTGCATCTTCAGGCTTTCGAGGAGCTTCGCGCACATGTTTATAAGTAGCATGACATTTTGCGACCGCCACGAACACCCATGGCAGTGCACCAGCGCCTCGCAGCTCGCCATGGCTGTCGTTTGACATTGCACGAAATCATCCGTCATGGCCTCCTTGGACGAGATGTCGATGACAAGACCCTCCCATGCCTCCAGAGGCGAGGTCAGACACAGACAGCAGAAAGGACTGCTGTGGTCGACGACAGGCCTGGTGCCTTGGGCTGTATCGGCTCCAAAAAATGCCGCCTCTGAACCTGTGATGGCCCTGGAGGCAGGCGAGACATTATGGGAAGGAGAGCGATCGATTTGATATTGATGGCTCCCCGAGGTGTCCCTGGACTGTCCGGAGGTTGTTTGCGCCATGTAATCCTCAATCCTCCATATTTGTTCAGGGGTGCCGGTGAGGTCAGGTATTGCGACGGTGGTGTTCAGAGACGTGTCGGGCTGCGGACTGATGCCAGCGGTGTTGGGAAGAGCCGACTGAGGACTATTCGGGCTGCCAGCTGCTGGTTCGAGCATAGGCCAAGTTGTTCCCGTAGGGCAGGCCTTAGCCTGGGGACTGTCCAGCTTGTCCGGAGAAGCGTCATCGGGAATGTCCTTGCGCGTGTGAGGAGACGGCATGACCACACTTGATCGAGATGTTCGGCTTAGTCGCCGCCGCCCTTTCACAGACCCAATGACAAGCCCATCATCGTCCTCGCACCCATACTGGCAGGTCAAACTTCGTTTTCGACAGTTGCGGCAGCCGGCGAGCTCGCTGCTACACCGGATCTAGGCGCAGCCAATATCAGCACAAGTTCCGGAAAGCCGAGCGCGTACGATAAATAAGGGTGGCCTGCGGATTCAAAGGCGCGTCCTCACCTTTCTGGTGCGACAAGGGTTGCACGAGGATCGCCGAGACCTTCCGTTTGGTGGACGTTCAAACGGCGGTCCTGTGGGCAGCACGACATAGGAGTTGCTGTCTTGCTTCCAGGTGTTGAACATGACGCGACCAAACGAGAGACTTCCTGCGGAGCCCGGACATAGAAACAGGAGCTACGTAGCTGGCTTTAAGCTCTGGAGAAAGGCACGAGGGGATCCATGCCCTTCGGGGGCTTTTCCCGAACCTCGTCCTAGCCGTGGGATGTTGCATGAACCTTGTACAGTAGGAGGGGTGTTGGTGACGAGGTACATGCTTACTTGCATATGGGCAACCACCATGGACTGTCAGGCGCTGTGACAGGAGACCGAGAGGCCGCTGACATAGCACTACTCGGACAGATAGGCAGAGCCGCGAGATGACCCCGGGGCGGTTGCCTTGAGCTTGTATGCCACCAACATTCATCACCATTGTCTCATGCAAGACGGGCCGCCGACCGCCCGGGTATGCATGGTGAGCCAGTAATCACGAAGCAGGCAGCGCGTCGCCTCTGCCTAGGAGGGTCGCACCCGCTGCGCCAAAGTCAAGCTGAGTGACAGTAACCTTGAGGAAACCGTGGTTCATAGGCTGTTGGGGGCAGCAACATCCGGCATGCTGTGGGTGATGCATGAATGGACGCACCGAGGTCGTCACCTCAGCATACTATGCGGACATGATGTGTGGACATGATGGATCCAGCTCTTCCGAACACAACAACGAGAGCGCTTTTTTGTTGTATGCGTTCTGATGACTCAGCACGCATGCCGATCTAAGGCGGCCGAGCTTCGTGAGCGGTGTTCCAAGTTGCAGCCTTGTATTTAATATTAATTGACCTGTAGGCTGGGAGTCATGGATGGATATCTGAGGTACTTCATAAGCTAGCCACGAATCATTATACGTAGCCAACAAAAGTAACAAAAATCCCAGAAGCTCCTCGATTTTGGCTATAGTTGAATCATGAATGGATTTTGCGCTGTTCCTAGGTAGCTGAGTCCTGACTGAGGTACTACTAGTACATTAGGTACCCGTACTTACTGATTGAAGATTCGCTTAGGGTTCCACAAGGGCAGATGCATGAACTAAACAGCAGGCGGGGTTCAATGACTCCAAGGTCTAAACCAGTGAGTTGCTCCAAAGTTGCGCCAACCTGCCTAAAACCACAAGGCACTTGTTTTCTAGTCTAGGCTGAACCTTGACCTCGTCATCTTCAGCTTTTATTCAACGCACCTCGTCCCTCTTGTGGCATCCTCAAGCAAAGGACACAATATCATTCAACAGCACCGCGACATTATCCGTAGCTGCTATCCGTCGCTATCATGAAGATCACATTCAAGGTACGTCATCAAACTCACATCGCCACCGCGGCCCTGCTTGCGCTCGGCAATGCAAGCTCTCATCATGGGAGCTATCCAAGCTGACGCCTCGCGAAGGATCTGAAGCAGCAAAAGTTCACGCTCGAGGCTGAACCGAGCGAAACGGTACGGCAGACAACCGCCGCTTGTGGTATTAACCCCGCCACTGACTGCGGTCCCAACAGATTAGTGCCTTGAAGCAGAAGGTCGAGACAGAGAAAGGCTGGGATCCCAAGTCGCAGAAGCTCATCTATTCCGGTCCGTGGATCCCTTTAATCTACCATTAGCTTGAAAGGTAAACTGACGGAGCGCAGGCAAGATTTTGAAGGATGACGAGACCATCGGATCTTACAACATTGAGGAGAAGGGCTATGTGGTCTGCATGGTAAACAAGGTACGCTCATGCCCGCGGCTCTTGTCGCACGTCTAAAGCTGACTCTTATAACAAGCCCAAACAAGAAAAGCCTGCCGCAGCTCCTCCTGCCACACCGGCTCAGCCCTCAACTTCGACACCAGCCGCGCCTGCTGCCCCGGCACAGGCACCTTCCAGCGCTGCCGCCGCCGTCTCTGCGACTCCCACACCCAACCGATCGGCCGAGGCCCCCGCCAGCTCCGATACTTCTGGTCTGGCCATGGGGAGCGCTAGAACCGAGGCCATCGCGAACATGGAGGCCATGGGTTTCGAGCGTGCTCAGATTGAGGCGGCAATGCGTGCCGCCTTTAACAACCCCGACCGTGCCGTCGAATATCTTCTAACCGTAGGTTCCTTGTGTCTCACAAGGATAGTGCAATCATGCTGATACCGCGCAGGGCATCCCCGACAACATCCAGCAAGAACAGCAGCAGCGTCAGCAACAACAGCAGCAGCAGCAGCAGCAGCAAGCGGCTGACCCAGCCCCGGCGGTTACTGAACAACAGGGCGGCACCGACGATGACGGCTCGGTCAACCTATTCGACTTGGCAGCTCAGCAAGGCGGTGGTGCTCGATCGGGTGGCGGCAACCAGGCAGCTGCGGCCGCCGCCGCTGCTGCGGCTGCTGCTGGTGGTCAAGGCGGGGACCTCGGGAACCTGGACTTTTTGCGCAACAACGCTCAGTTCCAGCAGCTTCGCCAAGTCGTCCAACAGCAGCCCCAGATGCTGGAGCCTATTTTGCAACAGCTCAGCGCTGGCAACCCTCAACTTGCCCAGCTGATAGCATCTCACCCGGACCAGTTCCTCCAGCTTTTGAGTGAGGACGCGGGCGCGGACGACGTGCCCCTGCCCCCCGGTGCGCAGACCATTCCCGTCTCCGAAGAAGAGCGCGACGCAATTGAGCGAGTAAGTGCATTCACCCAGCGACAGCTGCCTAGCTAACAGTGCCAGCTATGTCGTCTCGGATTTGATCAAGAATCGGCCATCCAGGCCTACTTTGCTTGTGACAAGAATGAAGAGCTAGCGGCCAATTTCCTCTTTGACCAGCCTGAAGACGACGACGATCAACCTCCTACCCAGCGATAAGCGCGGAGAAGCGCGTAGTGGCCGCGGTGATACCAAGTTAACGAGACTATGATGGAGGCTTAAGGTAGGCTTTGGGCGTTGAGGTAAAATGTGGTCTATCGTCGGTCGGAAATGGACACAGCAACTAGCGGAAACGAATAGCGCTGGAAGGCATCCGGTGAAATGATTACAAGTATGGATGTCATCCCGGAAAATGAGAAGGTGAATTTTTAAGAATCAATGTCCAATCAAGCAAGCCTGCCCTCTACCTGACCAGAAAGGCCTTTTGCCGGGTATCTAGTAAATCTCACTGGGAAACGCCATAACCCCCTGTCCAACCGTAGAAACACCTCACTCAATGATCTCTTCTTCGCCGTAGAGACCAGCCTCCTCAGCCTGCTGCTTCTTGCTCTTTTTCTTCTTCTTCTTTTTGCCGTGGAGCTCGGCATTCTCGCCCTCGCCCGCTGGATTCCCGTCATCATCGGCAAAGAGCTGCTCACGCTTCTTCCGCATGACCTCGGCCTGCTCGTCCAGGACACGTTGTCGCTCGGCCTCAAACTCCTCCTCGGCCTTCTTGTGCTCGGCCTCGATGCTCTCAATGGACTCAAACTCGGTGCTGGTCATGGTCTTGTACTCGTCAATGTCCATCTTGACAGACTTCTCCCCAATGAGCGCCGAGTCGATCAAACTGGGATTGTGCCGCTCCTCGCGGTTGAATTTGAGCTTGACGTGCCGGCGCTGCTTGCCAGGGAACATTTTCGAAATCATTTCAAAGTCGGTCCCGAACATGCCCAGTGCCCGGTAGAACAGCTCTGTCTCCTCGGCGGTCCAGATGTTGGGACCCTTGAGCTTGGAGGTATTCATGAACGAGTTTGACGTGATAAGGCGCGTAAAGTCGTTCTCTTCAATGGCTTCCATGTCCTCTGCATTGGCGGCTGCCCGAGCGTGACGGTCCATGACGAGGGACGACTGGTCCACGACAATTTGGCCATCCACGATACGGAACTGAGGGCCTGCCGCAGGCGCTTGCGAGGGCTCCCCATTAGCAGCAGCAGCAGTAGCAGCAGGTGTCCCCGCCGCCGCCGCAGGCGAGGCACCTTCGTTGGACGGACCAGGCGAATTCTTGGCCGCCGACTCATCGTCCGCCACGCTCTCCCCCCGTTTCCGCCTGAGTTTGGCCTGCCTTTCCCGCTCGCGCAGTTCGTCATGCCGACTGAACTTTTTGCCAATCCGGAGATCTTGCGTTAAGTCTGCCATCTTGAGGTTCTGCAAGTCCACCGTTTGCTCTTCTGCATCTTCGGGCGTGGCGGAACGTTGTCTCGGTTTTCGTGGATTCTTAGGCGCGGCTCGTTTCCGTGGTCGCTTAGGCGCGGACTCGGACTCATCTTGCACGGCCGACTCACTCTCCTCCTCGCCTGTCGCCCCGTCCTGATCAACGGCTGCTGCTGCATCAGAAGGCCGCCGCGGGGTCGCCCGTGGGCGCTTCGCTGGACGAGCGGCCGGGGCGTCTTCCGCTGTCGAGGCCGTCGTGGGGTCCTCTACTGCCACAGTAGCCTTGCTGCCTTTGGGGCGCACAGGTGCTCTGGGTCTAGGTCTGGGTTTTGGAGTTGGTTTTACCGTTGCAAGATCTGCCACTGCAGGGAGTTCATCTTGCTCTGGCTCCTGCTCTGGCGCGTTGTTCACCCCGTCAATGTCTTGAGCATGGTTTTCCGATGTCGGACCGGCCGCAGGTCTACTGATCGAGTGTGATAGTCTTGATGAAACCCTTGCTGGTGCTTCCATGGGTGTGCTATCTGGAGCTAGTGTTGGCGGTGCATTGTGCGCAACAGTCGCTTCCTCCGTGCCCGCTCGGTCTATGCTTGCTGCAATTTCTACAGTTGCTTTTTGTGTGCTGCTCGATGCTGTGTCCTGGGGCCTCAACGGATCGGGTGTATGCTGCTGCGCGACCCGTGGCCGGTCGGTAGTGGTCGATTTCGTCGCTTGGTCTCTGCTTTCCGTAGCGGTACTCGTTTCTCTCGGCGTCGATTGGCCTGAGGTTGCTGCCTGGAAAGTTTCCACAGAGTCCCTAATCTCGTCCTCCGCGTCGATCTTCTCTGCGGCAACTTGGGCGGCGGCTGCCTTGGCTAGTGCAGGCGCAGCAGGACGTGCGCGCGCTGAAGGCACCTTAGGCTTGAAGGCGGGCCCACCGCGTTTCTTGAACATGGAACTCATGATTGAGGCTATAGAAGTGTATCAATGCTCGATAGATCACATGTCGACACGTGAAAGTCCTGCGCGCGGTCGTAGGGAAGAGTGATTGATGAACTGTGAATTGGAAGTTAGGAATTAATTGTCTGGCGTTCAACTGCAGGTGGGACAGAGTGGGATTTCCATGGTACCCCCACCCGGAGAATACCCGGAGGCTCTGCGCTAACGTGCGTCGAGCGTGGTCAACCTCGAAATTTCAACTCCTTGGGGGGCACGGGGGATAACGTGCTCCATTCAACACAACATTCCATCCATCGCGACAACCCCCAACCCATGACCCGCAGCGCATCGTACATTGGGACGGGACCAGGCTCGGAGGTCTCGCTGTCGCTAAGGCCTGACGCGGACTGCATTTCGAGCCGCTCCTTGCGCTGCTCGCCACGCGCCATCTGATGCCTGTTGTCACAACGCCCTCTGCTACCACCCGTGCACCCTCGAAAGCCCCTAAGATGGAGGACAGAAAGAGACCCGCGAATAGCGCGGCTGATGAGTTGGCGCCTCCCAGCAAGAGGGTCGCAGTCAATGGCTCCAAAGGCAAGGACGATGCCTTTGAGATGAAAGAAGAAGGCTGGGTTGAGGTACGTGTTGCATGATCCCTTCGCGTGCCCATTTGGCCGGTCATCGTGCGTCGCTTTTTCAACTGCCACCTCAAGCCACCGCCCTTATCATCAAGCACTCATCGTTATCCCGCTGCCACCAACAGTGGCGGGCAAACCCGCGCGTTGCGCGTCGGCATACTCGCTCAATTTCGAACACACAGCAGCACAGCTAGACCGGCATAATCACGCGTTTAACCTCATTCCTTTCTCTCTGCGGTCCTCCTCGTTCGTTCTGGTTAGTTTGAGGCCCGTGCTGACCATCAGTGTAGGCTTACGCCAAAGGAGCCATATACCGTCAGATGCAAGAATACAGCCGCAGGGCTACGACAGCGGAATCACGCCTTGAGGAACTCCACAAACGCTCTGTTCACCATGACGACCACATTCGCATTGTCGACGCGTGGTGGCTTCAGGTGAGTCAGCTCTACCCGATTACGGGCGGAGTGGAATTGACAAGCGACAGGTCTTGGAAGAACTCGAAGTCATCGCGAACTCGCAGATTCCGGATGCAACGAGCGAAGATGGTATGCGATAGATTTCACACTTTCCGGTCTCGAAAGCCCGTACTGATCTATCTAGGCCCCCCATACTTGTCTAGTGTGACGTTCAAAGATCTTCAGGAATTCCAGACTCATCTTCAGGACAAAGGCAAGACCATCAAAACGAAAGCTGAAAGCCTTCTCAACAAATTGGCCACGAGCCGCACAGAAATATCTCCAGAGGCCGCGCAGCTGGAGTCAAAGATCAACGCGCTACTAGCCTCCCAGAAGGAATTCTTATTGAAGCTTGATCGCTTGAATAGTGAGAAAGATAAGCTCTCCGAACAGCTCAACGTCGCAACTTTAAGGTACTTCAAGGCAGAGAAAAAGCTGGATCGCGCGCGCAGCGTACAAGTGCAGAAATTGGAACAGCAGGCGTTTGCAAACGCGACGACACCCGCTCCAGGGGCGGGAGAGGTTGCAGATCCTAAAGAGGTCAACAATGGGAACACCAGCGAGCTCTTGCTCAAATACGAAGAATCGACCGCAGCGGCGACGAAGCACAAGGAGCAAATTGAGAGTCTTTTGACGGAAGTCAAGGCCGCGCAAGAGGAGAACACGGCGTTGAAAGCAAAGCGCGACACTTGGACAGACGAGGATTTCATCCGATCGGATGTTTTCAAGCAATTTAAGGCACACAGCGAAGAGCTGATAAACCGAGTAAACAACCTCGAAGCCACGAACCGACAACTGCGCGAGGAGGCGGAGAAACTACAAGCTGAGCGGTCAGCCTTTCGCACGCAGCTTGAAGCTGACGCCAACCAAATAACGCAAGATCTGGAGACGGATATTGTGGCACGCGACCAAGATCTGGCTCGTGTACGATCGTCACGAGACGAATACATGGCGGAATGCACACAGCGCAAGGCGAATATGGAGCAAGAACGGGCCGCGCTTGATCAACTAAAAGAGCTCACCGCCGCAAAAGACGATCGCATATCCGCTTTGGAGTCAGAGAATGCGCGCCTCAAGGAGAACGTGGATGCCGACATGTCAGGAGCCGATAAAGTCGATGACGTGTCTGAGGAGGAGCTGAGGACGCGTTACAAGAAACTGCAATTGGATTTCCAGTCGATCAACCAGGAGCTTCCTTCCATCGAAAAGGCCTACAAGAAGATGAAGGATCTGGCACAGAAGAAGGTGATGGACTTTGCCGCACTAGAGGAGCGCGTGGCGCTGCTCATTGCTGAGAAGAGCAAGGCCGATCAGAAATACTTTGCCGCGCGCAAGGATGCCGATACCAGGAACAACGAGATACGCTCTCTGAGACTACAAAGCAGCAAGAGCGCGGAAATCATTGCGCAACTGAAAGATGTCGAGTCACAGAACCGAACACTGCTCAACAACCTCGAGAAGCAATTGTTCGACTTAAAGCAAACAAACGCAGCCCTGACCACGGAGAACAAGCGGCTCGAAACGGCGGGCATGGAGAGCGCACGCAGAAGCGAGTCGCTCGCGAAACAAGTAGCAGAGTTGACGAGCATGGTCAAATCCAAAGACGCCTCCACAGCGACCTTTCGGGAGCGGAGCGTGGCTCAAGAAGCCGAGGTGGAGAAATTCAAGGTGCGACTCGACAATATGCAGAAGGACCGCGACAGCTGGAAGAGCAAGGCACTGAGCAACTCTTCGGAAGAGGAGGACATGCTAAGGGTGAGTCGACTCGCGGTAGGAATGTCCCGACATGATGCTAACGGGCGATATAGACGTTTGCGCTTTGCTCCATTTGCCGTCAAAATTTCAAGAACACGGCCTTGAAGACTTGCGGACATCTCTTCTGCAGCGGGTGCATTGAGAGCCGAATCAGCAACCGCATGCGCAAATGCCCAACCTGTTCACGGGCATTTGACAAGATGGACGTGATGGCAGTTCACATCTGATAACCCGTTCCACGACGTGTATTCGTGCACACGATCAGCCTTTGCGCGTCTTTTGCCGACAGTCAGCCCTGAGGGCATAGCGCCGAGACGTCACTGATGCCGGGGTGACCAAGCCAGCGATCGCATCTTCAAAGAGGAAGAGCTCTTTACTTTTCATGTACCACCATGCGTAGACGACGGCCGTGTTGAGGCCCGAGTCGCCTTGTATATAAGCGCTTTGCTACCGGCGTAACACAATATGGGAGAGGGTTGGCGGGTCCGGAGTTGGCGGTGTTGGATATTCTTGGCATGGACTTGACCGTGTGACAGCTGCTGCAGTCATCGATTCGCATATCGCGCGATTTGCATGCACTACATACTTCCTCAATGCTACAAATAAGTCCTAGGATTTTGCAAGTACTCACATGGCCCGTGTTACCTGCCTACCGACGGCTGGTGCTTCCAAACCCAGTGCTTTCGTGTGCTGACCCAGAGGGACCACTCCTGGAACTAGAGGCGTAGGAGGACGACGAGCCACCGCCTCCGAAGAAGCCATCACCTTGCCGCCTGTTGTTATTGTTGTTGTTGTTCCTAGACGAGGATCCCCTCGCGGCATAAGCTGCGGCGCCTCCCGCGGCCAGACCTGTCCAGAAACCAGGCCTCCAGCCTTCCCCCTGCTGCTGTCGGCCACTCGGCGCTGACTTTCTGCTGCTCGAACCCGGGTACGGAGGAGGTGCGTCGCTGTCTGCGCCGAACCCGCCGCCGCCGCCTGGTCCATAATCGTCATCACCACCCCAGCCTCCACCTCCTCCTCCAAGACGTCCTCCGGCCCTGCCGTGTCTTCGCCTGATGCGGTTGGCCATTCGGGGATTGGTGTTGGTCCATGCCTTGTAAAACATCCAGCATACGATGCCTACAAAGAGGAGGCAGAACAGATAGCCAAACATATTGCTAGGCCCCGTGACTCCCTGCTGCATCTTGTTTACCAAGTCTGGATAGCGCTCCTCACCAGCCTCTGTCAAGGCCACGCGGTACTCCACGCCACACGAGCCCTTGAGCACATACTCGTCGTCTGAGCTCGCGTAGCCCTCGCAGATGACGTCTGTACTCCCCAGCCGGACCTCATCCGGTAGAGTGGCGGTGCAGGACCACTCGACGTTGGCCTCATCGTAGGACGAGCCCATGTTCTGGCAGCGCATGACATCGAGGTGTGGCTCGACGAGGGCGCAGAGAGATGGGTGGGAGAGACATTTCAGCTGCGGTGCAGAGGGCACGCGCCGGTGCGTGGTTTGCGCGCCATGACCACGGAGGGTGAGTGATTGAACCTGGGAGAGGAGGATGGCGGCCTTGGGTTTGCTGCCGGCGTCGGCTGACGCGAGGAGAAATAGCGCGGCGACGAGTCTCGCGAGTTGCATGGTCTGCTACTGTGGGCGATTCTGTAGGCAGGAGAAAGTCGTGATGCATACGAATAGAGAGGGTGCTGAGGGGAGTGGAGCAGGATTCATGTCGCACATCGGACGCCAGTGAGAGCACGTGCTGGTAGCGATGGTGATAGAGAGACTGGACAGTGGTGGCCACTGGGCCGAAACCACAATGCCTTCAATAAGGTTTTCTTTCTTCATGAGCGCGCGGATATACCCGAGCGATTGGATCTGCCTTAAGTTCATGTCGCAGCTTGGCTATTAACCTGACGGATTTCTTCACTCTCTACGCTTCCAATGTTGCTGAGCGCATATCGAATAACGGTGGGAGCAAGCTGACATTTATTTTAGGCCGCGGCACTCTCCGGTCCCAAACGGACGTCGAGCAACGAGGGGTCTCCAGCCCGATGATGCTGTCTTACGTATCTTGGCCAAAGGCGTCTGAATGGCTTCTCCTCTTGTCATCTTGTTGAATCCTTCCCGCGTATGATGCTGCAAGATTCTTTCAGCTTAGCCCACATGGCAAAGCTCTACGGTAAGGGGCAGGCGTCGGAAATTATGCCCGATACCCTCAATTCACGCAGGGATGAGAGCCGGTAGGGAAGAGACTTTTCGAGGTTAGGAAAGGAAAGCTTTACGAGCTTTGCCGGCCAGCGTACATCATCCACAGTGGACAGACAGGATCCCACTTGAAGCCACGCGAAGTCCGTACCTACCCGGTAGACTGACCCAAGCGAGCATTGTCGCGGTTGACTTTGGAACAAAAATCTTCTTAGTTGAGTTATTAGGTGAGGTGCTTGGAGTATAATCTGTTCCGGTGTATTCGAGATGCTCCTATGCCCCTGAATGGAATATTGCTGGGAAGGACAGGCTTTTGAACATTCGTTTGCCTCGTGGGCGGAACACGCGCTCATGGTAAAAATGATCAGTTGAGAACATGAGATTCAACCTTCATCATCGGAAATTAGCATGCTGTTTCACAACAGCCAGAATGTTCGCAAAAAACCAATAGAAATTTAACATAGTGACTAGCGACGGATGCCAGCAGATGGGATTGTAGCCGATGGCCTCGACTTAGTCTTACTCAGCTAACCTCAGGCTAGTCTGGTTTGGGCGATGATGCAACTTGTGGTGGCGTTGGTCTTGTCCCTGATGTTTGGAATCTGCATCTTCCACTGCGCATGGACCCTGAGTCCACTCACCCGCATCTCTCCAGCCCTAAACGCGCTCTGATCGTCATGGCTTGGCTGAGATCCCGAACGATAGCGGAGGTTCGCTCGGCCGGTATGTTCTCTGCCTGCTTGACGCGTGCTGCAACGGCGCTCAGCAGCTGTCTTTCAGGCTTTCAGAGAAGACCGATGGCCGTCAAGTTTTCAAGCACCGAGCATAACAGAGCCTGAATGCTCAAGTCGCTCACCGAATCATCAATTCAACCACATGAGAAGCTGAGAAGCTGGTCTCCTCAAGGCAGCAGCGGCACGACTCCTCTGCAGAAAGGGTCTTCTGAAGGATCACAACTAACAAGGCGTCAGCCCATGACCTACCTGCATGTCTGCTACAGCGGACCCTGTGTCTCGAGGTGCCTTTACAAACAAAACCAAAGCCCCAGCAGCACAAACACAGGTATAGGTACTGCGGCTAATGTCGATCGTGGCCCTGCGAGACCCTTTCAGGAGGCAGGGGCTCGACGGGGGAGGAGTGGAGGCAACATGAGGTAATGTTGGTCCACCGATACTCATCCTTCGGCACCGACAGTCATGGCCTCCTTTGTGACGATGCCTCGTCGTGTCTTTGCAGAAGGCGATGACACGGCTGACCACCCCTTGTACACACGGGGAGAATCGCCTGTCGCCTCTCAAGTCCTTTACTACCCTTTCCCCCCCCACTGGTCCGCGATTGCTTCTACACTCTTCATCTCTTCATCTCTGTTTCACTGGTTACTGTACAAACTCTTCCATCTTTATAGCATTTCAAGTTCTGTCGACATCCTAGAGGGTTGATCATTCCTTTTGCCTCACATCCCACTCACAGCTACTAGGCATAATTTTTGCTAGTGAAGGAGTCTCTTTCGTCTCTGCGAGAGAAAGAGCACAAGTATATTTTCCAAACAAAATTCAGAAAAACAACTGTATAAGAAGGAACAAATCCAAGGGCAAAACTCGGGAAGACCAATCTTTTCGACACCCGCCTTCAAGGCGAACTGCTCGCCATGGCTTTCGACCCCGAGAAGGATGAGCGCCGCTCGCTGCACTCGCGTGCCTCCAGCGCCAGCACCCTTGACGCCAATGGTGTATTGCCTGAGTTTGAGAAGAAGACAGAGGCTCCCAGCCCTGCCGCCGGCGGTAAGGCTGAGGCCGTCGACCCCATGAGTCTTCTCCCAGAGCACGAGGCTGAGATACTCCGACGGCAACTCGATACCCCCGATCTCAAGCATGGCCTGGGTAAGCTGTACAGCTACGCCACTCGCAATGATCTCCTGATCATGGCCGCTGCGGCCATCTGCTCTGCAGCGTCCGGTGCAGCGCTACCCTGTATGACTATCATCTTCGCCGGTCTACAAGGCGTTTTCCAGGACTACCTTTTCCTCAAGGTCCTGACCCAGGACCAGTTCAACCATGAGATGGTGACCTACGTCCTCTACTTCGTCTACCTCGCGATTGGAACCTTTGTCGCCACCTACATCTCAACGGTTGGTTTCATCTATGTTGGAGAGCACATTAGCTCCAAGATCCGCCAACGGTACCTTGAATCCTGCATGCGCCAGAACATCGGTTTCTTCGACAAGCTTGGCGCTGGCGAGGTGACAACGCGCATCACTGCCGACGCCACCACCATCCAGGATGGTATCTCCGAGAAGGTCGGCCTCTTCATTTCGGCCATCGCCACCTTCCTGACCGGTTTCCTCATCGGCTTCATCAAGTCGTGGAAGCTGACCTTGATCCTCTCGGCTACCGTCGTCGCCCTCACCATCAACACCAGCATTGCCACGCGCTTCATGGGCAAGTACGCCACTCCCACCATGGTTGCTTTTGCACAGGGCGGTAGCTTGGCCGATGAGGTTCTGTCATCCATCCGTATCGCCATGGCGTTTGGTACCCAAAGTCGCCTCGCCCAGCAATATGACAGCCACCTGGCTATATCGCAGAAGTGGGGTATCAAGCTCAAGCTAGCCGTTGCCTTTATGCTTGCTGGTATGATGTCCATCTTGTACCTGAACTATGGTCTTGCTTTCTGGCAAGGCTCCACGTTCTTGGCCCGAGAGGAGCTTCCTCTACCCGACACCATCAACACCCTGATGGCGGTCATGGTCGCCTCCTCCAACATGGGTACAATTGGACCTTATGTGCAGGCCTTCACCACAGCTATCGCTGCTGCCTCCAAGATGCTCAACACGATTGAGCGTGTTTCGCCCTTGGATAGCGCGACCGAGGAGGGTGACAGGATTCCCAACCTCAAGGGCCACCTCCGTCTTGAGAACATCAAGCACATCTACCCCTCACGTCCCGAGGTGACTGTCATGGACGACGTTACGCTTGATATCCCTGCCGGTAAAGTCACCGCCTTGGTCGGTGCCTCTGGCTCCGGCAAGAGTACCATTGTTGGCCTTGTCGAGCGTTTCTATGATCCAGTTGCTGGACGTGTGCTTCTCGACGGCTATGATGTGAACTCCCTCAACCTCCGCTGGCTCCGTCAGCAGGTTGCCCTTGTCGGACAAGAGCCTTCCTTGTTCGGAGTATCCATCTACGAGAACATCCGCTATGGTCTTATTGGTACTGAGTATGAGAATGCGGTCGAGTCCCACCAGCGTGAGCTCATCACAGACGCTGCCAAGCAGGCCAATGCCCACGAGTTCATCACCCAGCTTCCCGAGAGCTACGAGACCAACGTTGGCTCACGTGGTTTCCTCCTTTCTGGGGGCCAAAAGCAGCGTATTGCTATTGCCCGCGCTATAGTGTCTAACCCCAAGATCCTGCTTCTCGATGAGGCCACCTCCGCCTTGGATACCAAGTCAGAGGGCGTGGTACAAGCTGCTCTTGAAAACGCGTCGGAAGGTCGTACAACCATCACCATTGCCCACCGCTTGTCGACGATTCGCGACGCCGCGAACATTGTCGTCATGAACCAGGGCAAGATTGTTGAGCAGGGCACCCACATTGAACTGCTCAAGAAGCACGACGCCTACCACAAGCTTGTCACCGCACAGCAGATTGAAGACATTGCCCAACAGCAGAGTGAAGCTCTTGACGAGCCCCTCGACGAGGAAGAGGAGATGCTCATCCGCCGCATGTCTCGCTTCAAGAACGTCGGTGGTTTCTACACCAACCCCTCTGCTGCCGCCGACAATCTCTCTGCGCGTCTCCGCCCTTCTTCCATTCGTAAGAGTGGATTTGGTGATCGCAAGTCTGTTGCCAGCATGGCCTTGGCTGAACGTGGCCCCATCACCGAGGAGGAACCCAACTACTCACTGTGGACTCTTCTTAAATTCACCGCTTCGTTCAATAAGACCGAACTGCACTGGATGCTGATTGGTATCTTCTTCTCGATTATCGCTGGCGGCGCCAACCCCACGCAGGCCGTCTTCTTCGCAAAGCAAATCACCGTTCTCTCTCCCATGCCTGCCGTCACCGATGAGCAGCGATGGATGCTCAAGGATCGCTCCGACTTCTGGTCGCTCATGTTCCTGATGCTTGGTCTCGTTCAGTTCCTTGCGTACGCTGTGCAGGGTTACGCATTCGCCATCTGCTCCGAGCTTTTGGTTCGTCGTGTCCGTCATCAGTGCTTCACCTCCATCATGCGTCAGGATGTTGGCTGGTTCGACAAGGACGCCAACAACTCGGGTGCCTTGACAGCTTTCCTGTCGGTTGAGACGACTCAAATCGCTGGCATTTCGGGTGTCACTCTCGGCACTCTCCTGATTTCGGTCACCAACATTGTCGCTGGTCTGGCTGTCTCCTTGGCGATTGGTTGGAAGCTCGCTCTCGTCTGCTTGTGTGCGGTGCCTGTCGTGCTGGCCTGCGGCTTCTTCCGCTCTTGGATGCTGTCCAACTACCAGAAGCGCGCCGAGGGAGCCTACGCCGAGTCAGCCTCGTTCGCCGCCGAGAACATCTCGTCGATGAAGACCGTGGCTTCTCTGACTCGTGAGGCCCAGGTCGTGGAGGCGTACACCAAGTCACTCGAAGAGCAGCAACGCAAGTCGCTCCACTCCGTCCTCAAGTCGTCGACATTGTTCGCTGCCTCTCAATCCGTCATTTTCCTGTGCTTCGGCCTCGGCTTCTGGTATGGTGGTCGTCTCCTCGCTTCGTACGAGTACAACATGTTCCAGTTCTTCGTCTGTTTCATGGGTATCATCTTCGGTGCCCAGTCTGCTGGTACCTTCTTCTCGTTCGCCCCCGACATGACCAAAGCCAAGAGCTCCGCCGCCCAGCTCAAGCGGCTCTTTGAGCGCAAGCCCGCCATTGATACCTGGGAGCCAACCGGCAAGCCCCTGTCGCGTGTTCAGGGGCACATTGAGTTCCGCAACGTTCACTTCCGCTACCCTACCCGCCCCGAGCAGCCTGTACTCCGTGGCCTCAACCTCAAGGTCGAGCCTGGTCAGTACGTCGCCCTTGTGGGAGCCTCGGGCTGTGGCAAGTCTACGACAATTGGTCTCCTCGAGCGCTTCTACGATCCTCTGGTTGGTCAACTCTTGGTTGACGGCCATGATGTCAGCCAAGTTAACGTCAATGACTACCGCTCGCACATTGCCCTCGTGTCGCAGGAACCGACCTTGTATCAGGGTTCGATCCGCGACAACATTGTAATGGGAAGCCCTCTTGACGAGGTGCCGGACGAGGCCGTCGAGGTTGCGTGCCGCGAGGCCAACATCTACGACTTTATCTGCTCCTTGCCCGATGGCTTCAACACGGTTGTCGGTAACAAGGGCGGTCTCTTGTCTGGTGGTCAGAAGCAGCGCATCGCCATTGCGCGTGCCCTTGTCCGCCAGCCCAAGATCCTCCTGCTCGACGAGGCCACCTCTGCACTCGACTCTGAATCCGAGCACGTTGTCCAGGCTGCCTTGGACAGGGCTGCCAAGGGTCGCACCACCGTGACCATTGCGCATCGTCTGTCGACGATTCAGAACGCCGACGCCATTCATGTGTTTGACGCTGGTCGCATCGTCGAGTCGGGGACACACAGCGAGCTCATGGCCATCAACGGCCGCTACGCAGAGCTTGTCCGCTTGCAGAGCATGAACAAGAAATAAGGGGATCCCCGTTCGTCATTAATCTTTTACACACCTCGCGTTTCCTATGCTGTCATTACTGTTGGCGATTTACGATATGCATTGATTATTTTGGATATCCAGCCGAGCACTATGCCTGTGCCGCCGGCCATGTTTGCATGAAAGACGGGTTATTAGAGATGGGAGTTTATTAGCAGGTCATTCAATCAATAAGAGTACCTATTTTTCGGAAGACGGAATGGCCCTGCGATCGAACAGGTGGTCGTGCATTTTTCCCGCTGAGGCTTGACGATGACTGACTGTTTGACCGTGACTAGCCTCGATATACATATACTGCGGTGGGCCAGTTGAGGCGCAGGACGGTGGCGGCTCGATTTGGCCGCACGATTCGCTTTTGGCGACGATTGGGGCCCGTCTTGGCGTCTTGGAGGTTCGAGAACATGATGATGAACTGGCTAATGCAGGGGAGAACTCCAGTAAAGATTGGGTGTGGTTGGCTGGCCCCGCGAAGGCGCCACTGGCGGCGTCCATCGTGGGGCTTGATTAATTAAAGAAAACCTCCGTTGGTGATGTGATGATAGGTTGTACGCTCACGGTTACCAGATCACAGCTCACGAATAGCATGATAACTCGGTCATGAGAGAGATGCTGCAATTCCTGTCGAAGAGCCTGGTCGACCTGACTACCCAGCACTATGGCCTGGCGATGAATAGAAGGAGAATTCACGCGGCGAGAACTCAGAAGGAAACTCCTGCACTGCAAGGGTCATTTTCAATTATCGATGTATCATCAGCCTTGACCCACAGCATGACCTGCATTCTCTACAGGCAATTGAGAATTTGAGGACAGAGAGCCTCACAGAGGCCCCAGCAGAGGCGGCCTCCATAGTGCCGTGCGACATCGTCCATGTCTTCAAGGCGAGGTGATTGCCACGACTTGAGCCTACGAGCACTTGGGATTTTCTGGTAGGCACCCACCGTGTGGAAAAGGCACGCAGCAGTCAATGTACATGCTTGTCGTACCACATGTTGTTGAAGTCTCTCCAAAGGACTGGGCACTCGCGCGCGCATCCATGTCAATGATCAGGCGACAGGGGTCAATCTCACCACCACCACCACCGCCAGCCCACGCTGGATGGAGTGCTGCTGGTTCAGGTCCAGTCCACGTCGCTGACAGCCTGAGCGCACCCACCTACCAGAGCCACCACAGTGACCACCACACCACACCTGCCAGGCACACCCAAAGCGGCCCATCCCCGAGGGACCACTGACTGAAGCAGCGACCGTACATGTAGGTCCGTAGCGGCCAGGCCCAATCTCGACCGGACCGCTCCGTCAATTCCTACCCGCGTCTACAGTCTGCTCTGCTCTCCCCTGGCCTTGTTTTGTCTTGCTGAGCCCATGTCGTCTTGCTTCCTCCTCCCTCCGGGCAGCGAATCCATTCTTTACCAGCCCAACACTGTCGGTCGTTTTCACCAAGGCTGAAGACTCTGCGTCTTCGCCGCTGTCACTCGTTTGAAACACGCGTTTTCTGCGCCGCCAGGAGAAATCGCGCCCTCGCTCTCTACTGCAGCATCCGTATTAGCAACACCACCACCACCACCACCACCACCACCACCGACGGCAACGAAATCCAGCTCGACGACACCACTGAAACCCCCTCGATCGAACAGCAGGCCCTGGCGCTATCCTGACGCTGTGTCTCTCCTCCCCGCCATCGCGGTCGATACTGGCCCATCTTGTCTCACCCAGCCCACGTTCCGACAGTCCGTGCAGCCTGCGACAACCATGGTGGGCCACCTGAGACAGCGATGCCGGCCGAACGTGGCTCATCTGGTCTTGGGTGCCTTTGCCGTGGTCGCTGCCCTGGCTTCGCCGGTGAGGGCCACGGATGGATTCTTATTGCCCGCCCATATTACAGCGCCTCCTGCGCAGCTATCAGATGTACATGCAGCAATCGTCACCGAGGCTGCGACCATGGACGCACAAGAGCTGCGTGTGCGACACGAGTCCAAGCACATGCACAGGAGGGAGGACAAGGAGGACGCGGAAGAGGACGGAGAGACCAATGCTGGCAATGAGAAAAAGACGAGCGAAGGCACGGAGAGCGACGAAAAAGCCAAAAGGGCCGACGACGGAGAGGACGAGGATGACAAGGATACAAAACCAGTGGCACCTACGAAGATCGTGTCGGCGGACCTTGATGATATCGCGACGCGCTCCTTGTCGGTTGCTACCACGGCGTCACCAACATCCATCGACCCTGATTCGCCTCTGCCGACACCTTTTGACGGAACGGCCGCATCGGAATTCAGAACTGCCGACGGCGACAACAGCTGCCCGGACTATATCAGCCGACTACTCAGTAGCCCGACATTCAACGATTGCTTTCCCTTGTCGATGCTGGTGACGGTAAGCTCTTGCCACAGTCGCATGGGGTGTGAAAGCAGTACTGACAGCAACTTTAGAAATCGGACAGCTTCTTTGAGGCTCGGCGTCAACTGACCAGCATGGTCCGCGTCCTTGATGCTTCCTGTGGCGCCGACGTGGACTCGTGCGGCGCCTTTATGAACACTGCCGCCCGCAACTTAACCGCCAAGGAGAACTGTCAGGAGGAGTATAAACAGGGAGTCACGGTCGTCACTGACGCCTACTACGGCCTCATCAACTACAAGGTCATGTACGCTGCTACGTGCCTCGAAGACCCGGACACCGACCAGTACTGCTATGCGGGCGCCCTCACAAACCACACGAACACCTCTGACCGCTATCTTTATTCTCTACCATACAATCTATCATTGCCAGCTTCCTCGAACCCTACCTGCAGTTGGTGCAATCAGGAGACCCTCAACATCTTCCACACGGCAGCAGCAGATCGCAGCCTACCCATCTCCGAAACGTACGAAGAGGCCGCGCGGATCGTCAACAATCTTTGTGACCCTGATTGGGTCAACGGCACGTTGCCTGAAGCCGCGCTTGCTGGCCACGCGGCTCTGCCCCCTCTCGCCATGCTCGGCCTGGGTATGCTCTTGCTGATTTGAGCGGGAGGACAGGAGCCTGATGCAACATTGTCTTTGCCATGATACCCAGTCTTTTCCTATTGTTGACGATGCACGCATTCTGGCGACACGACCCTTTTCTTTTGGGGTACTAATGATGCGCACGCAGTCGAGGAAGGGGGAAAAGGCACCCTCAGGATCAGACAAAAAGCGTGGCGTAATAATGGACAAAACTCTGATTGAGCGAGGTTTTTTATGACATATTTCTATATTTGAAGCGCGCTGGATTAATATACAATTATAATATGATGACTTCAGTAATGAGCTTTCTCGTTTCTTAGTGCGAGTGAGCGCATAAAGGAAACCACTTGGCTCAGATCGAGGCTTAATGCTCTGGCCTGCGAGTAAAGACGCAATGGAATCTGGTGGTGTCACAATATGTGGGAGCGTAGCACTGAGGTTACGAAGGGAAGCGAAGGACGCTACGAATAGCGTCTTGTTTGCGTTGTCGCCTGGAACTTGTCACACAGGACTGCCTTTGATGCTAGGTACTTTTGTACAACCTACCTATCCGTATGCTTCATTAGACTGAGATGTCTTTCACTCAGACCAAGGTATGCTAAGCGCCTAGTTGCTGCTAAACTGTTGATTGAGTTGGCGGACCGTGCCAGCGAGAACTCATGATAGTTTATGTGTGTAGTGTGGCTTGCTAATTCCTGCCTCCCAAGTTACCTAAGGTGCGTTGCGAAAGTGTGGCTAGGGGCTCGTGGCTGGCTCCCCGCATCGGCGCATTGTGAACCCCGAATCCCAGCGTCAAGCTCCAGCGTGTCCTTCCGGCTTGCGATAAATCCTGCCTCTCACCCGCCCGCCACCATTTCTTCTCCTTCCCCCCTCTCAAGAACCAGCTCCCTGCACCCACCCGGACGGTCAATTGATTGACATCTTCCTGATCGAACCACCATGAAGTTCAACCCCATGGCTGCGGCCGCTACAGCGGCCATGCTTTCTGGCGTTGCCCTAGCCGAAGAGGCTGACGCCTCCGTCGACATTGAGCTACCTAAGTTCACCGTAAGGCAAACATTGACAGTCTTGCGGTCACAGTTACTGACAGCTCGCAGCCCACATCCGTCAAGGCCGATTTTCTCGAGCAGTTCACCGACGATTGGGAATCGCGCTGGAAGGTGTCCAGCGCCAAGAAGGACACCGCTGGCGACGAGGAAGAATGGGCGTACGTAGGCGAATGGGCGGTCGAGGAACCCGTCAAGTACAAGGGCATCGATGGCGATAAAGGTCTTGTCGTCAAGAACCCCGCTGCTCACCACGCCATCTCGGCCAAATTCCCCAAGGCCATCGACAACAAGGACAAGACGCTTGTCGTCCAGTACGAGGTCAAGCTTCAGAGTAAGTTTGCTCGCTTGCCAGACCTGCGCCATGCCCACCTGGCTAACGAAAACTAGATGGACTCGAGTGTGGCGGTGCATACATGAAGCTCCTGCGCGACAACAAGGCGCTCCACCAGGAGGAGTTTGCCAACACGACGCCGTACGTGATTATGTTTGGTCCCGATAAGTGTGGTCACACCAACAAGGTGCACTTCATCTTCAACCACAAGAACCCCAAGACGGGCGAGTACGAGGAGAAGCACCTCAAGTCGCCGCCCACGGCCAAGATTGTCAAGAGCACCGAGCTCTACACCCTCATTGTCAACCCCGACAACACCTACGCTATCCGCCAGAATGGCAACGAGGTCAAGACTGGTTCTCTCCTAGAGGACTTCCAGCCCGCCGTCAACCCGCCCGAGGAGATTGACGACCCCAACGATACCAAGCCCGAGGACTGGGTTGACCAGGCCCGCATCCCCGACCCCGAGGCCACCAAGCCTGAGGACTGGGACGAGGACGCTCCCTTTGAGATCCCCGATGAGGCGGCCGAGCAGCCCGCCGACTGGCTGGTCGATGAGCCTCGCGTCGTCCCTGATCCGGATGCCGTGAAGCCCGCGGACTGGGACGACGATGAGGACGGCGACTGGATTCCCCCCACCGTGCCCAACCCCAAGTGCGCCGAGGCCTCCGGCTGCGGCCCTTGGGAGAGGCCGATGGTGAAGAACCCCGCGTACAAGGGCAAGTGGACGGCGCCCTATGTCGACAACCCCGCGTACAAGGGTGTCTGGGCGCCTCGCAAGATCAAGAACCCCGACTACTTCAACGACAAGACGCCCGCCAACTTTGAGCCCATGGGCGCCATTGGCTTTGAGATCTGGACCATGCAGAGCGATATCCTTTTTGACAACATCTACATTGGTCACTCGATTGAGGAGGCCGAGAAGTTCGCCGACGAGACCTTCCACGTCAAGCATCCCGTTGAGAAGAGCCTCCTTGACGCCGAGAAGCCCAAGAAAGAGGACAAGCCCAAGTCGCCTCTCGACCTCAACTTCCTCGACGACCCTGTCCTCTACGTTCAGGAGAAGCTCGACCTTTTCATGACCATTGCCCAGAAGGACCCCATTGAGGCCGTCAAGTTTGTCCCCGAAGTCGCCGCTGGTCTTGGCGCGGTCGTTGTGACCCTCCTCGGCCTCGTTGCCGTCATTGTGAGCGCCATGACTGCCTCTCCTGCCGCCCAACAGACGGCCGCCAAGGCCAAGGAGCAGGCGAAGGATGTCAAGAACAAAACGGCCGAGGCTACCGCCACCGGCGCTGAGAAGGTCAAGGGCGAGGTCAACAAGCGCACCACCCGCAGCCAGTCATAGGAAGACGAGCGTACCGTGGAGGATTTGGAGGACGACGAGTAGGACTACTAGGCAAAGACCTGAGACTGGGTGGATGGATGTGAGCGCCAGTCAGGCCACAAAAGGTAGTCAATAAGTATGCACAGCAACGCAAGGCAAGTCAGGTAAAGACAAGGTAGCTTGAAAGCAAGGAGGGCTGCCTGAGGGTGCGTGCATTGGTGTAAGTTCGGCGTTAGCAACAGCAAGTATACTCTGTCAATTTCCAATATTCTTTTCAAAGGGATGAATTTCTTCAATTCCGTTGAGGCTCTCTTGCTGTGTTTCTAGAGGTCTGACGAACACCCTTTGCGACGTCGCCTCTGCTGACATGGCCGCCTAAGCTTTCCCTCGGTAAAGGTCTTGCGCGCAGTGAAGTCTGTCGCGGCAAGCAGCGGCATCGGCATAGTTTTGATTAGGTAAGGAGGGTCCCGATCGCGGGGAAGGCCTTCTCCAACCGAGAGTCGGCAGTAAGGAAGGCACGAACGAACAAGCGAAACTGCCTTAGCAAGCCGGTCCAGGCAGCCTCCACCTCCACACACCCACGGTATAAGTCGGCCTCTATCCGAGGGAGCACTTCCCTACCTCACCTTACGCCACCTCACCTTACGACGGACGTTCCCTTCTCTTCTCCTTAAAAGTACATTGCCTTTTTATCTGTCCTGTCCGGTCTCACCGTTTCATGATATATACGCTCAACCATGCGTAGGCTCATCTCACGTGGCGTCGTCACAGCTACCGCTGGTCGAGCGTCGGCTACCCCTCGCCCGTCGATTCCCACCATGGCTTCCAAGGGCCATGTGGCCGTCGCCGCCAGGAGGATACACGCCACGGCGCAGCAATTGAGGCCCGCGGCCGCGGACGCTGTCGCCGCCGCCCCCGCTTATCCCACGACGCACGAAAAGATTGAGAAGGTCGGCAACACCCCCTACTTCCTCGACAACAAGTTCGTCCAGTCCACGACGGACAAGTTCATCGACCTCCCCGACCCGGCGACCAACAACCTCGTCACCCGCGTGCCCCAGATGACGGACGAGGAGATGAAGGCGGCCGTGGCCAGCGCGGAGAAGGCGTTCAAGGGGTGGCGGGACATGACGGTCCTGGCCCGCCAGCAGATCATGTTCCGCTTCGTGCAGCTCATCAAGGACAACATGGACCGTCTGGCTGCCAGCATCACCCTGGAGCAGGGCAAGACCTTTGCGGATGCCAAGGGAGACGTCCTCCGCGGTCTGCAGGTCGCCGAGGCGGCGTGCGGTGCGCCCGAGCTGCTCAAGGGTGAGGTGCTCGAGGTGGCTAAGGATATGGAGACGCGCACGTACCGTGAGCCATTGGGTGTCACGGCTGCCATCTGCCCCTTCAGTGAGTCGCATCACCACCTCAGACGGAGACGCTGTTATTAACCTTGATCAGACTTTCCTGCTATGATTCCCTTGTGGTGCATCCCCATCGCCACAATCACCGGCAACACACTCATCCTCAAACCCTCTGAGCGCGACCCTGGCTGTGCCATCATTCTTGCTGAGCTCGTGCAGAAGGCTGGTTTCCCCCCAGGCGTGGTGAACATCATCCACGGCGCCCATCGCACCGTCGACTTCATCCTCGACGAGCCCGCGATCAAGGCCATCAGCTTCGTTGGTGGCAACAAGGCCGGCGAGTACATCTTCTCGCGCGGTTCGGCCAATGGCAAGCGCGTCCAGGCCAATTTGGGCGCCAAGAACCACGCCGCCGTGCTGCCTGACGCCAACAAGAACCACTTCCTCAACAGTGTGGTGGGCGCCGCTTTCGGTGCCGCCGGTCAACGCTGCATGGCCCTCAGCACTCTGGTCATGGTTGGCGAGACCAAGGAATGGCTGTCCGAGGTCGCCGACCGCGCTAGGGATCTGCAGGTCAACGGCGGCTTCGAGGCGGGCGCTGACCTCGGTCCCGTCATCTCACCCCAGAGCAAGCAGCGCATCGAGCACCTCATCTCGACCGCCGAGAAGGAGGGTGCCACCATCCTCCTGGACGGCCGTGGCAAGGTTCCTTCCAAGTACCCCAACGGCAACTGGGTCAGCCCTACCATCATCTCCAACGTCACCACGGACATGACCTGCTATAAGGAGGAGATCTTTGGGCCGGTCCTGGTCTGCCTGAACGTGGATACGATTGACGAGGCGATTGACCTGATCAACAAGAATGAGTACGGCAACGGCACGGCCATCTTCACGCGCTCCGGCGCCACGGCTGAGACTTTCCGTCGCAACATTGAGGCTGGGCAAATTGGCATCAACGTGCCCATTCCCGTGCCGTTGCCCATGTTCAGCTTCACCGGCAACAAGGCCAGCGTCGCCGGTGGCGGTGCCAGCACCTTCTACGGCAAGCCCGGCATCAACTTTTACACGCAGCTCAAGACGGTGACGGCCATGTGGTCGGGCGCGGATGCGGTTGCGAAGAAGGCGAGCGTGCACATGCCCACGTTGCAGTAGGAAGGGAGACTGATGGAATGCGGGGTGGGTGGTCAACGAGGTTTATTTATAATGTCAGCATCAAATGTACCCATGCAGCAGGAATCCTTTGAGCCAAGTGCCCGCAATTCACCATGCAGTGTCCTGGTCCGTATGCTGACGGGGACCTATTTCTCCGTTCAGAAGGTTTCTTGTAAAGTCCCTCACCTCAGCGTGCAGAAGACACCAGGCATCATTCAATAAAAAAATAGAAAAAAACATGAAGAAAATATCGCCGTGTTAAATTTGTGAGAAATGAGCGGACCAAAGACACAAAAAGTAAAAATGAAATCCAAATGACACAAATCTGTTATCGATCACAAACATCTAGAAAGATCATTCGACATGGAGCGGATTTGAACCGCTGCGGCCGAAGCCATATGATTGCTGATGACAGTACATAATTGTAGTCTTCGAGTCATACCCATTAACCACTCTGGCACCATGCCTATAACGTGTTGTAACATGATGATAGATAATTATATTTTGGTAACTTTAATATATATACTACTTACCTCGACGTAACCTTTATCCTTACCCTTTCTGCCGATCTTCAGCAGTGGATTGCCTTGGATTGACGATGTGATGAGATTTGTAATTAGTCAAGCTTGCCGAAAAAAGCGTGCAGGCCGGTTCAGGATTAAGATCATTAGCCTGTTCACTTGCATGTTGCGTCCTCGTGAGGGGATTAAATCATGCATTTGCGAGGCTATCCATCTTCACCAGCACGTTAGACATCACAGCACGCTGAGACCGAGTTCACAAGCCGTTGTACGTCTCTATTGCGCTGCAACTCAACTCAAAATATTCCACATGCGAATCCGGCCACCGTCGTTGCCCACCGCCAACAGGTCGCTGCCCCTTCCAAACGCGACGCTCGAGATCCGACCCAGTGGTGTCTGCTCCGTCGGCCAGTTCCTGTACACGGTGCACGTGGGCAGATGCGCCAGCTTGAGCGCGTCCTTTTTATGCACCGACGCGAATGCCAGCAGCTGGCCGTCCGGGCTAAATGTGAGTGTAGTGATGGGCGTGATGAGCTGCTCGAACACACGGGTAGGCGTGGGGTCCTCGTGCAGGGCCACATCGTCGTCCTCGTCCTCGGTAGGTCTATCGGTATTCTTGTTCTTGTCAATGAGCGTAGACCGCTCGTAGATGTTGGTGATGCCCGTGTTGGAGCCGACGGCGACCCAGCGATCCTCACCCAGTGCATGCGGTCCGCCACGACCACCCAGCGCGATGACGGTGCCACCGACGGAGCCGTCGTCGTGCCATATCCCGAGGAACTTCTTGCTCTCCACACTGTACTCGCCCACCTGCCCGTCCCGGCCCAGGATGCTCAGCCCCTCACCGCTTCGCCACCAGGCGTAGTCCGCGATGCCGTCCTGGCTCGTCATCCTCGCCGACGCAATCCACTGCATTGAGCCCGTGCTGATGATGCTCACGATGCCGCCGCTCTTCTTCGTCGACGCCTTGAGCGCCATGTACCGTCCACAAGGGCTCAGCTTGAAATGCTCCATGGTCTTGTGCTCCAGCTCGTGGCCCTGAATCTGCGACGTCTTCTGCACCACGCCCGAGGGCAGGTCCCAGTGGTGAAAGTACCGCCTCCGGCCGGCAAAGAAGATCTTGTCGCCCTTGGGGTACATGAACTCGGCCCGTCGCACGTCCACCTGCTTGACTTGCACAGACGTCAACTGCGGGTTCGGTGTCGGGTGTGCCTCGGGCGCAATGTGATGCAGATACAGCATGCCCGCCTTGCTAGAGGAGAGGAGGACGGGGAACTCGGGATGGAAGGACAGGCAGTCGGCTGGCGCCCTGTGGCGGTCGGGGATCTCCCTTGTGCGCTGAATGTCCAGCGTCTCAGGCTTCAGTCTCCTCATGCCTGCCCCCGAGGCCGTGCCTGATTCGGACAGTTTGTTGACATCCCGCAAGAACTTCTCCAGTGGCTGAGCCTCGACGTCTGAGTCATCGGCGTCGCTGGCTGAAGAATCAGATGTAGCGGCGGATTTTCTCCTGCGCTTTGACGGCCGTCCTTGAGATGATGTCGCCCAGGCCGGCTGCGGGTTCAACCGAAGATATTGCTGGCGTAGTCGTCGAGAGTATTCTGTGCCACTGACAACGTCCTCCGCCTCCGCTATCCTCAGTTTCCGGAGACGGTTCGTGTTCGCAAGGGATATGGCTAGCCTGTCGTCGTCGCTATCCTCCCACACGGCCGCATCAGGGCCAGTTGTGCGTTCCTTTGTTGCAGCGGGCGCAGGTTTCGCGCCGGATGGGCCTGTGTCGAATGCGAAGAGATCTGCATCGGCAACATCCTCCAGTTCGTTCGCCTCGTCCGCGAGGTCAATGTCGCCGTCTTCGTCTTGATGATCCGCCTGAGCGCCACTGTATTGGAAGAGCGAGTCCTTGAACCCGGCCTTGTTGCCTAGGACAAGGCGCTCGAGCTCTTCCTCGTCCGAGTCCTTCTCAAAGATGCCGCCGCGGGGCACCTTGGAGGTGGCTTCGTCCGACTCGAAACCGGAGAATTCGCTGCCAGAGACCGATGTCTCGCTTGACATGTCGTCGTCGTCGTCGGCTTTGCGCGGTGCCATGGAGGGTCGGGAGGTGATTGATGCGTGGTGGATAGTCAGGCGGAGGCTCACAGAGTCACAGTACGGCCTGGGAATTTATTTTTTTCTTCTCTCTTGCAGCGATTTCAGCCTTGCAGCGGCGCCCCGCCAGAGCGGGACCTCTGTGAGTGGCATTAGCCAATCAGATATAGGTGCCAGCGCGAGGCTGCATAAGTACATAAATACGTCCAAGTCTCTATAGCATACATTATTTTCCGTGGCCAAATCAATGCAGTCTCGCACTTGGAATGGCCTCATGAGGATGCCCTGACTACTTGCGAGATCCTGTCTTGTATTTGGTGCAAATCGGGGCTGACCGCCTCAGCCGACCGCAACGACATGACGGCGCCTTGCTGCGCGACATCGATCATTTTGTCGGCACTCGCACCTTGGGCAAGTCCTGACACCAGAACACCCAGAAATGTGTCGCCCGCGCCATTGACAGATACCACGTCTTCAACATTCTCCACGGCCGGGTATAGGCGCATGTAGATGCCACCAATGGTGGGATGGTCTACTGCGCGCGCGAGAATGTGCTGCCGCTCCTCCGTCGCCCACAGACGAGGATCCTCTGGTCCAAGCAGGGAGGCCAGCAACACACCTTTGGGCCCCAACTTGGTGGCAATCGTGGGTATGTACGGTAGAAGCTGCACCATCTGCACCGGGATGCCAGCATCAGTCAGCTCGCGCGAGGTCATGTACACAAACTTCTCTCTCGCCCCACGCATGCCGAACGCGTCGATGACGCCGAACCATTCATTGGTGTCAAAGTACCCTCGCTGCTTGGCCTGCTCATACATGGCCGCCAGCTCATATGTATTGGGCGAGGCGAGGTCCATACTCGACTGGGGGAAGACGGTGAGCGCAGGGGCTCCATTCGTGAGTCCGAACAGTCGTCGCGATTTCTCCACCGACACCGGCTCAAACACAATGCTGCACTCGCCTTTCGTTCCTGCTTTGACGAGCGTCTTGATGTTGGTCTCGCTCCAGTTGCCGTCGACAACAAGCCATTTTGGTCGGCTTTGCTCTAGGACACGCTGGAGCAAATCAGGGTCAGCATCGTAGTTGAAGATGTCCATGTCGGCCATGGCCATGACGAGATCTCTCTTGCCGTCGTTAATGGCGACATATTGGGCTGTGCGGTATGTCTGTGTGTCTAGAAGCTTGGACACCAAGACAGGATCGAGGCCCTCGGACTCAAGGGACGACAGAATTGTAGAGCCCCAGCTAGAGGAACCGTCAGTTCGCTGTCTTTTGCCTAGTAGAGGGGGCTGGGTGGCTTACGTATCATTAGCAATGAGACTGGCCAGCTTGACGCGAGACTTGTCTCCACTGGCACGATGGGCAGCGACCGCGACATTGTGTCCAACGCCACCAACAGAGTGCCGTATAGCTGCCGGGTTGGAGGTGTGCAGTTGTGGTGCAGTTTCGCCCTTGGAGGATGGTGTGTAATTGCAGCTCAAGTCGACGGCCACCGAGCCAGCAACAAGAATGTCAGAGGAAGGGTCACTTGATATCGGGGCATGGGCAGGGACAGGTGCAGACGGTGCCGATTGTCTATCTACAAATTAGATCTACCCAACTTTGAAACGACCCGCGCACTTACTGGCTCGCAGTGGGCTGGAACGACGGGTCCTCCAAGCGCGCCAGCTCAACGGCGACATTGGCCGCCCTGATGAGGTTCGACTTGACAAGCGCTATGTTGGCCACGACCGCCTTGTTGCCGGTCAGCTCCTTCAGCCTCCCGAGAACGTACGGGGTGTTTTTGCTGCCGGTGAACCCCTTCTCATCCGCCTCGGTGACTGCTTGCTCAATGGCGGCGCGAATCTCAGGCAGCGGAATGCCGTATTCTTCGGGAACCGGGTTGGCAAAGAGAAGACCAGACTCAATATTCAGCCTCTCTTGGCTTAGAATCATGGCCGCCGCCTCGCGCTCCGTGTTGACGACCGAGGGAGTCGGTGTGCCGCTGTTGCGTGCCCAGAACCCGGGGAAGTCAATGTTCTTGCTACGTCCGTCGGCAAAGGTCGAAACCAGACAACCCTGCGTTTCGAGGAACTCGAGCGTCCGAGGGATGTCGAGAAACCCTTTGCATCCACTTGCCACGACGGCGACCCTGGTGCGTCCCAGCTCTGTGAGATCAGCCGAGACGTCCATTGTGTTTTCGCCGCCACGGTGGACGCCGCCCAGGCCGCCAGTGCCGAAGACGCGGATGCCGGCCAGACGAGCCAGGAGCATGGTGCCTGAGATTGTGGTACCACCATGGATCTTACGCCCAGCTAGGCCCTGGAGACTGATCAGCGTTGAACGGGCAAGTCAGGTACAGGCAAGCCTACCATCCCCACGAGATATGACACATCCCTCCTTGACACTTTGACGGCATTGCCAGCCTCGATCATCTGTACGATCTCGCTCGGCGACACACCAACGGTAGGCACGCCGTCAACGATGGCAATAATAGCAGGAATGCCGCCGTAGCTCCGGATGAGCTCCTCGTGTTCATGGGCGAGATCCTTTCCCATAGCTCCGTGCGTGTAGATTGTTGACTCCAGCGCAACCACAGGCTGCCTGTCGGCGATTGCCTGCCTGATCTCCTTGGAGACATGCAGACCATCCGCAAAACCCTGAGACTGCGACTGACCACTCAGACTGAAGCATCTAGACAGCTTGCAAGCTGATCTGAGAGATCGAGGCACTTGCCTCCTCAGAGGCGTGAGCACCCGCTGGCAGCTCATGATCGCAGTGCTTGTCAGGGGGTCGGATGCGAGGCTCTCAGCGCAGGTCCTCTATCCTCAGCCTCCTGACGTCAAGCACGCACTGAGATTATGAGTAGACCGAGTCGAGTGAGTTACCAATGGCGAGACCACTGTGGCTGGAGTATGCGTTCAAGAGGTCTGGATCGGTGTGTGCGAACAACAAGTGAGGAGGTTCATCAGGCTGTGACTAACGTTAGAAGGCGAGCTGACGTTCCGGAGACACAAAAGTGGAAAGCGCGTTCCACTGTCGCGTGTCGGCGCCTGCCGGTTCTCGGACACCTTCCACTTCCACTTCACTCACTTCAAGTGAGTGCAAGCAAGTCCAACAATCATCTTTCTCTCCTCAGCATATGTCAACGTGCAAGATGCATTTACTGAAGCAGCACATATCCTGAGGCATGTATTACCGACCTTGCATTCTCGACATCAAAAGTCCCCAAGATGTCGGACCACGAACCAACGCCGACAGTCAGGTTCATCGCCAAGGCTGCATGGAGCAGGGTCGCCGAATGCAAGCCGCACTCAAGTAAAGCTTGAATATCGCCCGCAGCGGCTTTTCATAAAGCCAAAGTGTTACTCTCTGAACGATTTGGCATGAAGCGAGAGATAAGGCCTCTTGGAACTTCCTCTAACCCGTGACCATGATCCTCCTCTTGGCTGTCACAGATCCCACATTGAGAATGGTCCTTATATTCATGCCCCCAGGCGACATGTTAATCTATATCCCTGCCGGTCGCTTTTCAAACCAGGTTCCTGGTGGCCCAAGGATTAATTGACTGCGGTCTTTCTCGAGTGAACATGACACGCGGTAGCCCTTTGTCGCTCTGCAAACCCACGAGCCAGCAGCATGCGTTCCCTCATCCGGCTATTGGGCGCGACGGCGCTATTCATTGCAAAGACTCGGGCAGACGAGAGCATAGTGCATGACGGGCAGTTGGCGACACCAGGACTGGTCATTGTCAACGCACCACAGCCCAATACGCCTTTAGGAGGTGGTAATGGTTTCCGCGCGCCATGAATGAGTGCCTCACTAAAATGTTACAGACACCCTGCACATCTCCCTCGACGTCACCGCCAACGGCCATCTCCCCCTCAGTCTCGAAGACGACAGCCCTACGCGCATTCACAACATATCTATCTTCTTGTCCAGCTACTCCCTCGGCAACAACTTCACCGTGACCAATGGCACGCGGGGTCGAGACGAGGCCAGCCTCGGCAACATTCTAGAGCAGGAGCCTGCGAGCACGGTGAAGCACGTCAACTGGGTTTGGCCAGACTGCCTTGTCGGCGATGTTGGTAGCGACGATAATCGCGGGAATTACAACGTGCGTGAGCCGCTGATGACATGCGCAACTCTTGAGCCTGGCTGACCACATGGACCAGATCTCCATCCGCCAGTACTTTCGACTCAACGACGAGGACCACTATACAATCTACGACTTGCCGGTCGCCGTGACCAACAGTATTCCCGCAGATGATGATCGTCCATCGTGCGAGTCGCTGTTGAACGAGCTGTTGTCGCCAGAGGAGATTGATGCGGAGGAGGCGAACAAGGTCGGTTTCTTCTTGGACCCAGACAGCGACATTGAGCTCGATTATGAGGAGCTCGAAGACGAGAGTTCGGTGCTGCCGCGCAGTTGGGTCATGTTCGGCGCGGTCTTCGTTCTCGCTATTGCGTAGTCAGACCACCGTCGTACTTGTCGTACAAAGGGAACATCGTGGGGTCTTGGCTGTTCCAGAATTCTCCTTCACGGGTATCGGATCCAAGACGAGGCAGACAACACGTGGCTGACAGCTCGATGCAAGTTCCTGCGGAAAGCGGTGAGATTTGTTGGTTCGGAACTTCGGTTCATCGTTTCCAGGCCAAAAAGTGGCAGAAAGCTTCTCGGGGCCGTCGCCCAAATAGGTATTCAAATCGGCTCCACAGCTCGATCTGCGTCAATGCAACACGCATCCGTTCAAGGTTCACGTGTCTTTTGCCCCAGTTCATGACTATCAAGAGCGAACGCAGGAGAAGGTGGTTGTTGACCACAATGATCAGTGAGGTTCCTGGTTCTTCGTTGTGACCAGTCGACAGCTGCGCGACCTGGTCAACCCTCGGCTCCACTCAATAGGAGGCACTCGGTGATCACTCGCATTACTCATGCTGTGCGGCAGAGGTACAAGCACATAGTTGTTGCGGCAGACACACCACGGCGGGGCACGAGCAGCATGCCAATCTGGCAGAAAGTCTAATACGTTCATACTAGCCCATGATCTTGTCTGTCGCCAATTCCCCGCAAAGGGGCTTTTGACAGCTACGGGCCTCGGCCCCGTTCCATCGGCACTTACTGTCCATTGCAGACAAGAACTCGGCGGGTGAGCTTAATTAAGACCATGTACGGAGTACCAAGGAGCACGCATATCGATATTCTGCACATGACTCCGCCTTAGGGTGACAAAGCCTGGGAATCGCATAACAAGGACGTCCAGTCTTAGTGTCGATTCAGTCCATTCATCCTCGCTCTCTTCACATCCAGCCGCCTAGTTACGTAGTGATACCTCGACGTCGACGTCAATATGCCATTTCATCAGGGTCTTCTCCCTCGCGAGGGATTCTGCATGGACGTAGTCTTGCGTCTCATCCGCCAGACCGCGCTGAATCCATCGCTGCTGCTGCCCCTCGTCCTGCTCGCGCGGTACACCAAGCAGGGCCAGGACCTCTCCATCCTCCATCCCGACGCCAACAAGCGACTGCACACGCTCACCTACCTAGCCCTAGCGCGCTTTGTCAGCAACTGGTTCTCGGACAAGGTGCGCAACAACTGGGTGGACGACAAGTACGACTGGTCCAAGGAGATCGTCGTCGTGACGGGTGGCGCAGGCGGCATCGGTGGTGAGATTGTCAAGTTGTTCGAGGAAAAGGGCGTGACGGTTGTTGTCCTTGATGTGCAGCCCATGAGCTTCTCGCATGGTGAGTCCGGGGCCCCCAGCCATGGATACTCATTTAGCACGGTGCCAGCGCGGAAAGACTGACACAGAACAGGCTCCTGCGTTCATCACTTTAACTGTGATCTTCGCTCCCCTCAGGCCGTCAATGCCACCGCCGACCAGATCCGCGCCCAGATCGGCCACCCTACCGTTGTCATCAACAATGCCGGCGTCGCACGCGGCAAGACCGTCCTCGAGGCCGATCCGGCGGATATCCGTTTCACGTTCGACGTGAACACATTCGCCCCCTTCTGGACGGCCCAGGCATTCCTCCCCCACATGGTCGAGGGGAACCACGGCATGATCGTGACGGTCTCCTCGTACGCATCCTGGCTGACGATTTCCAACATGGTCGACTACGGAGCCAGCAAAGCAGCCTCTCTCGCCTTCCACGAGGGCATCACGGCTGAGATCGCCACCAAGTACAAGGCCAACAAGGTGCGGACGGTCGTGGTGCACCCCGGCCACACGCGGACGCCGCTGTTCCAAGGCTATGACCAGAAGACCGGCTTCCTCATGCCGGAGCAATTTCCTGAATCCATCGCGCAAGCCGTCGTCGAGAAGGTCCTCTCTGGGACGAGCGGGAGCGTCATCCTGCCCGAGACGGGTGGCTTGCTGCCTGGTCTGAGGGGATTCCCGGACTGGTATCAGCTGCGTGTGCGTGCCAAGGCGCAGTACATGGACAAGTGGAAGGGCAGGCAGGTCATCTCCGATGTGAACGCAACGTATGACAAGGAGGATGCCAGCGAGAGTACGGTCCTCGTATCCGAGGAGAAGCAGTAAGCGCTGTCAATGTGTGGACTTTTCCAGCGTATTTGTGTATGTTTGATGAACCTCCTTTTTAATGCAAACCAGGTTGAATCAAAAGATGATTGCCGTGATGTTGCCCTGTGCGTCCTCCCCTACCACACATCGCTCGTCCCCGGCGATGTACCCTTTGCCGAGCAGTTGGTCCCACCACTCGTCTGGAAACTGCACCTCGTCTTGCGTGATGCCCTCTCCATTGGGGTCACAACCGTTTCCCTCGCTCGTGACTCCGTTGATCCGCAGCTTTGGGCGGACATGCACCGAGAGCGTCTCGAGCATGAAGCAGTGCCGTGCGGTGATTCTAACACCAGCCTTCCTATCAAATACTTCCGCCACCGTGAGGTAGGGAAAGTCGTCATGGCGCCAACAGGCGCTGTGTCCCGGCCATTCGTCGCCCATCATGTCTCTGCTGGTATCTTGTTGCATCGAGAGGTCCCTCCGACAGAATGTGAACCCCTCCCCATTCTCGACGCCACACTCTGCCAGCCATTTGGGTCCAATGCCTGTCAGCGGGATGCCCGTCACACGGACAGAATGCAGCCTAGGCGGTATGGGGCTGGCGTGAGGCCCCGTGCACCAGCGATGATCCTCCTCGTGGAAGAACACAGAGCCGGTCGTGGCACCGGTGTGCGGATCGCGGGTGACGTTGTCGATCTCGAGGCTCCGGAGTCGTGGCGTCTGAGACTGTCGGACTCCCCAAACCGACAGGTCGCTGTTGACTAGCCTGTGGACAACAATCGGTCCTCCGGTGTCGGATTTCCCTCTGTTTCCGGGGTCGAGAGAGGGACGATAAGGCGACGGTGAGGAAATATCCCACATGACTAGTCGCTCGAGGGGGTCGTCCTCCGCGTACGGCGATCGGTTGGGTTGCCAGATGTACACGACGTAGTGCGTGCTGTTGTGCGCTGAGAAGAACCGGTCGTGATCTGTTAGCGGTAGACCAAGGTAGTGAATCTTCCATTCTGATCGGAAAGTGACTCTCCAGAAAGACAACGATGGAGGTGCATCTTTGACGTGCAGGCCGCCGTCCCACTGGTCCGTTCTCGCAACGTCGAATGCGGTCGCAAAGTGGCGGTGCGCGCTCGTCCTCTCGTTCAGTGCGTGAAAGGCGTCTTCCTCGCACCACTCGACAATCAGAACCCCATCTTTGAGTCTCAGTCTTCGCAAGGCTCTGCCGGTCCGCGAAAAGGGCACCTCGACTTGCTCATTGGTGTGCAGATCTCTCACCTGTAGCCCCAGTCCATCCGGGGCCGGGTACACAAGCAGGCCACTCTCTGCGTCAAACGTCCAGAAGGGATCAGGATACTGTAAGACAGAAGTTCGCTCGTCGAGCATAAGATGGCGGTTCCAAGGATGGACAGCCACGCAGCCGGAAGTATCCGTCTCAATATCCAATGCCCGCCATGGCGTGGCGGTCGCCAAATGCCAGTATCTCCGTGCGAGAGTCGCAAAGACCTTTGCCCAATCGACGTTGGCTGAAGATGACGACGGCGTGTTGATGCGGCGCGCCTCCAGGGAGAGGGGGAAATGCTGCTTAATGAGGCTGACGCAGAGGTCGGAGCGGGTGAGGACCGCGTGGCTTTGGCGGTTCAGACGGCGGAGAGCCAGTGTCGACACGGGCGACAGGTAGCCGAGGACCTCGATGAAAAGCTCATAGGGGAGGTCGAGGAGAGATGTCGCCGCTTTCGGAGGCACGTCTTGTGGGATGGAGACGATGGACTTTGTCGCGCGGACTGGCGAAGGAGCATCCCCCATTACGACGGTTACCCGCGATGCGTTTGGAATGTAATGCGAACGACACAATATGATGGCCGAGATGTAGTCCACTTGTATGCGCTCCCCACGGGTAGGTCTCAACTACTGCAGTCATGTGTGACGCTTGTCCACGATCAGAGCTCAACTTCTGGTGAGTCGATCAAATTACGGGATTGAGTGCCCCCCACAAGAGAATCAACGCGGGCTGGGAGCCGGACACGGAAGGAGAGCTCATTGAGAGAGAGTTGCTGTCGCTGTGATTCAATGGCCTGGGACGAGGTTAGAGTTGGAAGGACACACGTGCGACGGTAAAATGTGTTTCTTGGTGTTAAAACGTGCGAGGTATATATTTGCAAATTTGAAGGTTACACGTCAACCAACAGCGCCAGTAGTTGAATGGTTACAATATTTGCCTTCCACTTCTGAGTGATCAGCAAAGGGTCCGTGTTCGATTCACGGCTGGCGCAAGTCTTTTGTTTTTGCGCTTCGCTGCATCGTCGCATTGGCACGCCTACTTTGTCTTTTTCTTCCAATTAGGTTGTCTGTGTGTTCTTTTTTTCTTCATGTTCAAGTGTTCTGTAGAAAGTCCGATTCGTGTTCTGAGTGTCGGAGTCCCCCATGAATTGCAGTCGCCAATACCGCAATGCGACTCGTTGCGCTCTCGAGGGCATGATAGCTGCTCGGTGTGAAGCGTGTCAGAAAGCAGGAAACTTGACGCTAGGTGAGTCGAATGCAATCATTGTGCTCCCAAGACTTGGATAATATGGAAGTTGTGGTGAGGATGCAAGGCAGCAACTGGAGAACTAAGCTGCGCAATGTCGTTCAGCATTGTGGCACCATTGTGAAAACACGACGCCTCTTATTCATAGTAAGCACCTTGCACACACAAGCCCGATCCAGTTCGAACATGGAATATTTTAAATATGCGAATATGAAATCTACTCGCAGCTTGTTTCTAACAATGTATTCAGCTTTCTAGCCGATGCCTAAAAGTACTTCGGGATCTCTGCACACGATCCAGGGTGACCCAAAGTATCCGAACAGGAGTAACAGGCCGTAGACGGGAGAATTTGTCATAATGAAGTCGGTTGAGTCCCAAATTGTCTCTTGAATTCAATAAATGATGTCTTGCCACCCATGCGATCTCCTGCCAGCGCGAGGTTGAAGCAACTGCTGATTGTATACTTGCGGTAGGACAGTGTCACGGCCAGACACTATGGCTGGAAACCCAAGCATCCTGAGCCCTGCCTGTAACGCTACTTACAATGAAATTATTTGTCCACCCTGCAGTAAAATCGCTCCGCTCGTCGGATCGATCGTGTTCGTAGGCAAATTATGGCGGATGGTCCGCGTCGGTGTGGGAAGATCTTCATAATCGGCTCTTCCATGGGCCCTGGTCAACGCGATAGTTAGATCGACAAACCCAAGTCTTTTCGAAACTATACGAGCTCACGCATCTCAAAGCCATGGGGCTTCCGTTGTACTTATTATTGTCCGCGACCTTGAAGTCTGTTCGGGAACACATGCGGAACTTGTCGGCCAGCGCGCCTTTGTGCAGATGATCACAAGAAGGGAAACGGCATGTGCACCAGCATTCAATCACGAACATGAGGAGAATTTCATATGCTCAACAAATATGAAATATACAAGCATATGGCATCAAAAGTTATCTCGCGGCCCTAGTGTTGTTTATCGTCGAGTGGCAGCCACCTTCGGCGGAGGCGCTCACGAAACGCGCAGCTGAACAGTCCGCGAACTCGATAGAACCTAACGGAATAGAGCCTGGAAGAGACTCGCACGGGTAGAGACTGGTTTCATTGCGATTGAGAGAAAATTATCCGATGCCGCAGTCTGTTGCTGGTGGCCTTGAAGCCGAAGGTAATCCAGTGTTGCTCCTGTCTGCAACGCAGCAGACTCCCATGTACCAGCGAATGACATACACGTGAAGTACGCATGAGTTCATGCATATTATACATCAAGTTTCTAGATTCGTATCGTTGAATGTAAACAGATTGCCTCATTCAAGATGATAGGCTGTCTGTTCTCACCTGTTGCGCAAGGTAACCAGTGGCAAGCTTGACAACCAACCCCCTTCAACCCAGCCACTCAAAACGCTACGGAACATCACGGTACACTCTTTAGACGATTTGGTAGTTCAAACCCCCTGAGACCCTGACGAACAGTTGATCTGCTGGGCATTCACTGAGGCACTGTGCCTTCCGTTACCCTGGCGACCTCGATATCCTTCTCCTGTTATTCACGTGCAGCTATCGAGGCCATCAAGACGCGGTTGTCGTTGCAGCGGCAAAACACGCTAAGACATCAGACTATAAGAGCAAACAAGTCCTTGGCCCATCCTTCCGCCCTCTTTCCTCCTTCCCTGCTGTTGTTGTTCTTCTTCTTCTTCATACCACACAACCACTCCCACGAACAGCTTCTTGCCTCCACAACCCTACTCATTGTGCCTTCAGGCAACTTCTTTGAGAACATTGCAATTCTATTCAACACGTGTGCTCGTTCATCATCGAGTTCATACCACACGCAACGCTCCCCTAGAGCGGTGCCGATCATCGACCTTGGGTCAACACACCGCGTCCGGCTCACCATACATCGCGCCCTCTATCAGCAAATCATCATCACGATACATTATCATCGCAACTGTAAGTTTCTCTTCTCATTCTCTTCGTTGCCGAACGCGTGAAGTGGAAATTGCGTGCACAACAGAGCACTGCCTCCCAGCCAACGTCAACTCCTGGCGGCCCGCCACTCAGATCCCATCTCAGCCTCATCTCCATCTAGAAAGAAAGAATATACCTGAAAACAAGAGCAACGTTTCTCCAAGCTGTTTCGTGTCTTCTTATTCAAGATTGAGTGTGTGGCTGGTTTCTGCTCCTGGCGAACCGCGCCCTCCGCCGCACCTTCGGCTTCCATAACCCATCCATCACAACAGGACGTCACACACAGAGTTACAGGCATCTCAACCCATCTCTTCGAATTCGCTTTCCCAAGCTTTCCGCACAACCAGCCAAACTCGCTCCTATAATATATCGAGCCAGAGCCAAAGCAAATGTCACTTCCGTCAGCAATGTTCATCAAAATTGCTAACTGCTCAGTGATTGCACAGACCACGGACTAGGTCCTGACTACCGAATACCTGACGTCCACTTAACCTCTATCGTCATCGAGGTTCAAGAGACAACAAGTACCTTTCAACAGGTTGCGATATCCGTCCAGTCTCAACGGTTCATATTCTAACCGCTACTAGTTTGCGTGGCGTTGCTGTATGCAACCCCTGTTAGCCATGCCCAATCTGTCTCGAAACAGCCTCGATCATTTCGTCTCGCGCACCAAGGCCAAGATTGTCAGTGCCAAGGGCAAGATCATCAACAGCCGCGACCAGCACCTCAAGAAGACGTCAGAGTTGCTCTCGCAATTTGGCTTCCCCCCCGTCGGAGCAAAATTGACCAAGATACACCCTTCTCTCATCGTGTATCGAAATGCCGGCTTCCAAGACCACGAAGAGGCCGAGGGGCGCCAGATGCATCTTCCCCTTGAGACCGCAATCCATATCCAGGTCGGTGAGAATTTCTCAGTTGTCAAGGAGATGCAATTCCGTTCGTCCTCTCATCTTGTGGCGAGCCTGGAACATGCCAAGGCCGCCAACAACCACATCAAGCACTTCGCCGAAGAGGTTCTCACCCGCGATGACCCCCGAGCTCTTCAACGAAGAGCTGAGAACGGAGCTGTCAAAATTCATCAACTCCTCCTTGTAGCAAGGACCAAGTGCTACGGCAACTATGAGCAGCGTTGTTGCCAATACTCCTTCCACAGCGCGCAACTCATCGACACCACAATAAGGAGCTTGATTGTCAATATTGACCGCTCCATGGCCGAATTCTACACCGGCATCGACAACTACTTCGAATGGGAGCCCACAGCATGCACGGAGTCGGAAGACTACAAGCCGACCCTGTATGATCCTGCAACGACCGAGGTTGCGCCAGTGATCTGTGTCCCCAACAATGACGAGGATTGCGGTTACGAGATCCTCATCGACGTTCGAGATTGGCGCCAGAACCATTACCGCATCATTGAAAGCGAACTGACAACACCACTCACAGCCTACGCTGCACCAGACCTGGAACTTGTCATCAGAGACGCTATCCAGGATGCTCTCGAGGAACAGGACTTCCGCTAGAATCAAGAGTCCTGCCACAACGGCGCCCAGCAGAATTCTCACGCTTCTAATGCACGAGTAACGTACCAAATCCGCAACAAATTCGACCCTGTCCTTACCACTCACTGGGGTGAATTCCCTGCAAGAGTGGCCTGCTCCTCGATGGGGACATTCGCGGAGTCATTGGCCGACCTCATGAAGCCTCTGCGAGACAACCAAGACGAAGGCATTCGAAAGACTGACGACCTTGTCATCACGATCGCTCAGCTTCGAAGTGAGAATTGGATCATCGACAACTCGCTTCGAATCACTATCGACAACCACACAACACTCAAGCTTCAGAAGGTCGACGCAATCCTCAGGCGTCTCCCAAATGCCATTGAGGATGAGTTGACGGGTCACGGTACACAATGCCATGTCACTGTTTCCAAGCGTGGGCACCTACTGATGGACCGCGAAATCGCGGCTGGTGAGGTTGAATCCTCGCTTGGCATGAACTTCTCTGATAATTTGCATCTCAAGTACCGTGTTTTGCAAGCGCGTTTGGAAAATAGAATTCGACGAGAGTTCAGCATGGTACTCCTCGACACTGTCGGTATTGGAGAGCCAAGACCTTTCGACTCGTTCATTGTCCAGGCCCAAACTCAGCCGGCGATGTTGCCACTCACCCCCAACGCACGCAGCATCCTCGAAGCCATGGATGCTCAGATGGAAGCCTGGATGCGTATGAACGGTGGCCCGTCTGAAGACGCAGATATTGATGTATACGGTCATCTGGAGGAAGAGTTCTCCTACCTGAGCTCGGTCATTGACGAGAGAACCAACTCGACCCATGCGGCCAACACCCACGAGGTCAACGACAACCAAGAGGTCGAAGACAACCAGGGTCCCGACGGGGACAGCACGACAACTTTTTTCCTCACCATTAATACTACTGGCACTGTTGTACACCACCAGACCAGTGATACAAGCACTGCATCAACTGTCAACCTTGCCTGGAACGGTGGGGATCACCAAAATACTGTACCTCCTTGTGGTATGGAGAAGCCATTGATTGTTCGCTACTGCACCGACCTGGAGATAGTTCAGCCCACTCCAACCCGATCAGCAGAGGCTGTTCTGAATCACAGAGACCCAGAACCCGCCAACTCTGCCCGCCGCGGTGCCACACAACCGGTTTCTCCAGCCAACTCTTTGAACGACGAGAGTTTCTTCCCTGACTCTGCGACAGAAGGCCAGAGGCACCAGACAAGCTCGGCTGGAGCATCGTCTTTCAACTCACCCGCTTGGGTTGCCGTTGTCAACTATGTTTTGGGCAGGGACTCTGCTGAGCAAGGGTCTGAGCCTCGACCCCTGCCGGAGCTACCTGTGCCAGCACGTACATTCGCGTTCGTTGCGCGCAACATCTTGGACTTGATGCCACCACGTCAACCGCAGCCAGCAGTTGCTCAAGAGCCTGGAACTCGTCTGTCCTGGGCTCAGCGCATCGGACTCCGCCCAGCACCCACGCCTCGAGGCCTTTTACCTGCACCGCAGATCACACGAGGAGGCTAGGGAATCTTCGGTGGACGCCGATCAGGGGCGAACAGAGACGAGTAACCAACGAGATTGTAACCACACAGGCTTCGGGAGATGACAGATTGACCATTCCTCCCAACCCTGATGTACGCAATGCAAAGACATTAACGAAACGAAAAATACCGGTGTATGACAGAGATGATGGAGATATTTTGACATATTGCGAGCTGATCAGCTCAGGGACTACGGAATTGGATGGACATTTTGGATGTGGTGGAGGCGCGACTGTTATATCGATACCCCCTTTTTCCTTTTTTTGTGCGCGGCGCAATCTGCAAACACACTTACCCACTTGAGCGCGCACGACACAGTTGATCCTGCTGCAGCTGTCTGATGGATTACGAGACGGGTGATTCCTCGCGGGATGATCAGGCACCAGATGGTTGGATGAGAGAAATGGTCATAGGCGTATGACGTTCTGGCGCCCAAGAGAAAGGGACACTTTGCCAGATGGTACATCAATACACACTACTGTCATGGCATCTTCATTTCGTTCCCGCACCGTGACACTGTGACTGTATGCCACAACACTAAAATCGGTATGCGCTTCCTAGGCTGGCAAGCCTCGTATGCAACGAAAGGGTCGCCCGGTTCCTATCCAAACTTGGTACAAGGTTTGCATTTGCTCATAATTCATGGGTATCATCTATCCATCCATCCATCTTCCTCTACAGGCGTGAGCGCGCTACACCAACTCCGCCTCGCCCTTGTTGACCATGTCTCTCGCGCTCTCCCACCTCATGATCAAGACGTCCCCCTCGGCCGCGTTCAGCGAGTTGTCCCGATCGCTCCCCCGGCCAGAGACCTCCTTGTCGGTCAGCATCCTCACAAAGACAGCCGTGTCGAGATCCGGCGCGTCAATCATGCTGACGCCGCCCGCCGTGTCGTTGAGGTTCTGCAGCTGCGGCGGGAACGCGTTGAGGAACGAGGAGAGGTAGTGGTTGTGCAGCAGGGCCTGGTGGCGGGTCGCGTACGCGAGCTCCGTCGGCGCCAGCCGCGCGCGCAGCTCACTGCTCGAGAGGTAATGCAGGGTGTGCCTGTCAATCTTGGCGATGCGGGCGCGCAGGTAGCTGCGGACGAGGAACTTGTAGCGCTCGAGCTCGGTCTGGATGACGATGAGGGCAAAGTTGGTGGTGGGATCCATGTCCCCCGTCATGTCTTCTACTTTTTCAATCTGGGCCTTTATGCGATTGTTGACACGCTCAAAGACGCCATCGGATGGCCAGCTGCGAGTCGTCTGTTAGCAGAGCTGTTCTCTTCTGCATTTTGCCGTGCACGGGAAAAATACGTACGCCAGCAGCTCAGGAGCTGAGCGCTCGGCAACCCAGAGACGCGTCAGGATTTGAAGGTCGGTTGTCTCGCGGGGGATGCCGCTTGTCGAAGGGTCGACAGAGCGCAGAATATCATCAATATCCATGGTGTCGCATTGGCGTAAGTTTTGGTTTGAGTCTGCTTCCCGATGGGCGAGATCTGGGCTGGTTGTGTGAGTCTGTGATTTGGAGGATGAGAGATGAGCTGTGAGGTCGCGCCTCATCGAAGAGACGCTGGTTTGGGGGATGCTCCACCACGATGAGATGGAACATGGGCTACATCAGCCTGTCTCCGGATAGCCACAGTCGATAAAAACAAGTTCACTCGAGAAAGGAATATGTTGGATGCAATGTATTTTTATGTTGATTAGTCTACTTCTAAGGTTTCTCTAATCTGGCTCATTGCTCTTAGTTTCTTACCCTGTTATTTCTCTGCTAACCACTCGCCGCCCCTTACACTGAAGGTTCTGGCAAATCATTGCATCTTCTTCAGCGGTTTGTGCGCTTCCACACGTGCTCCTTCGTATCCGTTGACCTTACCATACACCCACTTGAGCATCATGCTGGAGACTGTCGACAAGAAGGCCGCGAACGTGAAGAGAAGCACTCTCTGCGTCGTGTTGAGCAACCCGAAGATGGGATACGGATACCTGACGTCGGTGAGCACAAATCACGGCTGGAAGCCCGACAAAACACATACCACCCATTGTGACTGAAGCATAGCTCAATCCAGTACCAGTAACCAAGAGCCAAGCCAGTACTCATCGCCATCATGCCATGGGCAGGAATCGTCCAAGGCGGACTCAACAGCACCAGGTCCAACGTCAAGAACACCGAAGGGGCGAGGTGGAATCCCATGTCTGTGAGCACTGGCAGGCGCATATTGTCAACGAAGAGTAGCTCTGGGTTGATGAGGTGGAGTCCCCAGTAGAGTAGTGAGATGACCACTTCAAGTGGGGTAGCGACAATGGAGATGATGTTCTTCGCTGTGAAAAACACGGGCGCCAGGGTCAGGTCGGCCAGTATGCCAAAGCTAAAGGACAGCAGGGCAGCCGAGAGGCCCAGGATGGTGAGGAATTGAAAGTGCCATCCGTACGCCAGGTCGAATGGTGTCTCCCAGACCGTCAGAAAGTTGAAGTTGTAACTGAAAGACGCAACACCCAGGACATGGAGTAATAAGGAGAAGGTCCGTGAGGGCGACCTCAGCTTTTGGAGAGGATGCTGTTGGGCCATGGCGTGCACTGCGCGGAGGCTCACAGATAAGAAGCGTATACAGACTGCGATGAAGGGAAAGTAGAGAGACAAAGCGTACTGCCCTTAATCTATGATCACATTGTTATATTTCGTACGTATTCTGGATCCCATTTGAGCGAACATGAAGCTATCATTGGCCAATTGCGCCATGGAGTCGAGGCGGATGCAACGTCATGGTCGTGAAGTCGGAGCCGGAGCGCTGAAATGGCCCGTCAGGCACCATCAGAAGTCAGGGACAGGGACACGCCACAGTTGAGGGTGAGCTTGCGCCACACAGTAGCGAAGGGGTGTGGCTGGTGTGGGCCGTTTAGACGGTATCGAATTGTAATTAATTCACAGCAGCGCGCGACGAGGTTATGCACCATCCAGCACCTCACAATGGCGGACACAACTCCTGAAGAGGACAAACCCTCAACGAAGCGCAATCATGACGAGTTCACCGAACAAGATGGTAACTATGACCCAATGCAAGGCCTCAGTGACCAGGACTGACTATGTAGATTCCTCCTCGGATGATGATATGGGCCCGCAACTACCCTCAGCGGCAGCTCCCAAGAAGAAACGTCGCGTACTTCGACACGAGAAACTATACGTCGCCGCGTTGCCAAAGTCCCAGCGCTACTCTCGCTCCCTCATGCACAAGGACCAGATCCTCTTCACAAACTGGACCCCGTCGACCGAATTCCTCATAACCTCCTCGATAGACGGCGTTGTCAAGTTCTGGAAGAAGATTGCGCAAGGCATTGAATTTGTCAAAGAGTTCAAGGCGCACAATGGCGAGATTAAGGGTGTCAGCGTCAGCCAGGACGGACGAAACTTTGCAACAGCTGGCGCCGACGAGACGGTCAAGATCTTTGATGTTGTCACCTTTGATCTTCTTTCCATGATTGAATTGGGTTATATGCCCGGCTGTGTGGCTTGGGTGCACCAGAAGGGAGCGTCTCTTCCGCTCTTGGCCGTATCGGAGACGACCAAACCGCTCATACACGTATACGATGGACGAGGCGAGAGAGAAGAACCTATACACACCGTCAAGGGCCTGCACCGGAAGCCAGTGCATCTCATGACCTACAACAACAGCTTCGATTGCGTGGTGTCGGCTGATGAGGGTGGCATGATCGAGTACTGGCGACCGAGCGGTTCCTACGAGAAACCTGACAATGTCTTCGAGTACAAAAGTTCCACCAACCTCTTCGAATTCAAGAAAGCCAAGGCAGTGCCTTCTTGCCTGGCAGTGTCGCCTGACGGACGGCTGCTCGCGACCTTCTCATTGCCTGATCGGAAACTACGAATATTTGACTTCGCCTCTGCGAAACTGCACCGAACCTACGATGAATCGCTCCAAGCCGTGGAGGAGCTGCAACAAGTTGGGTCCGCTACGCACAAGCTTGACCACATTGAGTTTGGGCGCCGCATGGCACAGGAGAAGGAGGTTGAATCGCAAACGCTGCGCAACAAGTCGAATGTGATATTCGACGAGTCCGGCAACTTCATACTCTACGCATCCATGGTGGGCATCAAGGTTCTCAACATATACACCAACCACGTCCTCAAGGTCTACGGCAAAGACGAGAACTTTCGTGCTGTCAATCTCGCTGTATACCAGGGCCAACCTCAGAAGAAGGGGTTCACTACAGTCGAGATGGGCGCATCTGCGAATCCCCTCTTGCAAGAGTCAGAGTCGCGCGATCCCATCCTGATCGCGACAGGCGCTGGCAAGGTGCGCTTCTACATGTTCACAAACGAGGAGGACTTTTCCAAATCGACACGCGACATCCAAAATGAGCGGCCGACCATGTTGGGCGGGAAGAAGGAGCAGCAGGCGCGCAAAGCCGAGACGGGCAGTGCAGCGATCATCCACACCACATATGGCGATATCCATTTGCGACTGTTCCCTGACGCAGCACCCAAGACAGTCGAAAACTTTGTAACGCACTCTAAAAAGGGGTACTACAACAATACAATCTTCCATCGGGTGATCCGGAAGTTTATGATCCAGTGCGGCGATCCTCTAGGTGATGGCACAGGTGGTGAAAGCATCTGGGGCTCGCACTTTGAGGATGAGTTTAGCAGCCTGAAGCACGACAAGCCTTACACGGTGAGCATGGCGAACGCTGGGCCGAACACCAACGGGAGCCAATTTTTCATCACGACGGAGAAGACTGTAAGTACAATAGGAACAATCGCACTCGGCATAAGCGAAACTAACGGGCGACAGCCCTGGCTAGACAGCAAACACACAATCTTCGGGCGCGCTACGCAGGGTCTTGATGTCATTCACAAGATCGAAAACGCGCGGACGTACAAGGACAAGCCAGAGGAGGACATCAAGATTCTCAACATTGACATTTCATAGCACAGCGAGCGTGTGAGTGCTCTGCGTTGCCAACGCCATGTGGTTGTCCATGCAGCGAGCTCCCGCGAGAATACTCCGTGAGCACGAAGATTCACAAGGATCGGCTGTCGCGGCTATTTAGAACACACCAAGCAACAAAGGTGTCTCAGTGATCTCCATGCTCAGCACAGTGCTTTCGCATTCAATACTCGATGCGACCCGCTTGCCGGCGCAGCGCGGTGGAGGATTCCAAGGGCGTTTCTTCGGGCAAACTGCCCCTGGGTCGCAGGCTCGGCCGCTCGATGCCAAATTGATGGATAATTATATCGCGCGAACGTGGAGAACCACTTTGCGTCACGTCGCATTGGCCCAGATCAGCGCGATTAGGTACTGTACGTATGCGCTAGCTCGACGCCTTGCACACGAAGCCATCACGTTCAGCGCCGCCGGCTTCACAACATGTGAAAACGTCGGATCAAGCCGTCAAACCAAGCGCTGAAAGGCCATGTGAACAGGTGTCAGCAGACACTATGAGCAAGTCATACTGGGAGGTATTGGTCATCATATCAGCGTCTTGCGCCTCGTCGTGGTTGCGCAGCGGCCCGGTGTCTGCATCATGACCGACTACTTGTACGCGCGACTTGGGTAGAGTGACGAGACCATGTGGTAGTGATCCGTGGATGCAACAATATTTTATGGAAGTCAGATCCGAGCTTTTCTTTTCAATTATAGGAATCAGAACAAGAAAAACATGGCCCGAGGGACTTCTGAGCACTATAACATGTATTGTGCGTCTCGAACGGACTAGAGCAGACGCTGGACAACCACCCGAAAGACCCTGCATCTGATATACGAGGCATGTCCGTAATATGTAAGCCGCACGCCGGTGATATATCTGAGCAAATTCATGACTATCGTATTTTGAGGTCATAAGCAAACGGCAGCGTGAATGCATGAAGAGCCGACCAATGGCGGCGGCACCGAAATAATAATGAGGAACATATGCATGTAAGGCAAGGTAGGACATCAACGACTAGGGCTGACCTAGACTAGAGGAGGAGCAGCAGGATGCTGAGCAGGAAGCAATAGTATGACTGACTGACTGACTGGTATGACATGATTTTGTCCCGGTGGTCTCCCTGTGCGAGTGCATGTGCTGGCTGAGGGCGACGGCTTGAGGACTGGAGCGGCGCGACATATTTAAGCTCGTTCCGCCTTGTTGGACCACGTTCCCTGACCATCCCACCGGTCCGCGATCTGATTCACCACCACTTGCTGCATTTTTCTTTTTCTTTTTTCTTGTTCTGAGATACCCATTTCTTGACTCTACTGTACTCCTGTGTCAACATCTCGAACAGTACACGCACGCACAACGCCCACAATGTCGGTGCGTTTCTGTCCCTATTGCTGCACCTCCCCCACCAAAATTCTCAATGACTCTGTGTCGAATTGAGCCGCCGATCATCGGACCTTTCTGAACTGACGATGCGAGCAGGGCCAATTCTTCATCGAGAACAAGCTTGTCGGCCAGAAGGACGCAGCCGAAGACTGGCGCATCAAAGGCTACAATCCTCTCACGCCCCCCGATCTCCTCCAGCACGAGATCTCCCAGACACCCGAGTCGCGCGCCACCGTCCTCCAAGGCCGTGATGAGGCCGTCGCCGTCGTCAACGACAAAGACCCCAAGCGCCGTCTCCTCGTCGTCGTAGGACCATGCTCGATCCACGACCCCGAAGCCGCCCTCGCCTACTGCGACTTGCTGCTCAAGGCCAAGGAGAAGCACAAGGATGAGCTGGTCATTGTCATGCGCAGCTACCTCGAGAAGCCGCGCACGACCGTCGGCTGGAAGGGCCTGATCAACGACCCCGACATTGACGGCAGCTTCCAGATTAACAAGGGGCTGCGTCTGTCGCGGCAGCTATTTGTCAACCTGACGCACAAGGGCATGCCCATTGCCAGCGAGATGCTCGACACCATCTCACCGCAGTTCCTAGCCGATCTACTATCTGTGGGCGCCATTGGCGCCCGTACCACCGAGTCGCAGCTGCACCGTGAGCTGGCCTCGGGGCTCTCCTACCCAGTCGGCTTCAAGAACGGCACCGACGGGTCGCTAGGCGTGGCCATTGACGCCATTGGCGCCGTGCAGCACCCTCACCACTTCCTGTCGGTCACGAAGCCCGGTGTCGTGGCGATTGTGGGCACCGTGGGCAACGAGGACTGCTTCGTCATCCTTCGCGGAGGAACCAAGGGCACCAACTACGATGCCGACAGCATCGCCGAGGCCAAGGCGGCCCTGGAGAAGAAGGGCGTGCGCCAGAGGCTCATGGTCGATTGCTCGCACGGCAACTCGCTCAAGAACCACAAGAACCAGCCCAAGGTCGCGGCCTGCCTGGCCGAGCAGATTGCCAAGGGCGAGAACGCCATCATGGGTGTGATGATTGAGAGCAACATCAACGAGGGTACGTCGCACATTTCTTGATCATTTGCCAGGAACCCAAGCTTGCTAACTACTGTATAGGTAGCCAAAAGGTGCCCGACGAAGGCAAGGCTGGCCTCAAGTACGGCGTCAGCATCACCGACGCGTGCATCCACTGGGAGGAGACCGAGAGCGTGCTCCAGAATTTGGCGGATGCTGTCAAGTCGAGGCGGGACATTTTGGACGGCGCAAATGGACATGCTTGAAACAAAAAGGACAGGGCGGTGATTTCTGGGGTTCGGTAGAAAACGGCATGATTGAATGATATCTCTCTTCTTGATTAGCATCAACGTCTACAAGCGTCTTGTTGAAAAGTCTTGTCGCTACGGATCATCAATCTCCAAATCTTGTGCGCCTGGTAGGACTGAATATTGTCGACTGCCTTGTTATGAGCGAGGACGATGTAACACCGAGTTCTCGTGTTCCTGACGCCCGACAAAATGACACCAGCGAATTTTAGATCAGGCGGCCCCAGCCATGCAAGATTCGGTCAATCCTATTATCATTGGTGAGAGAATCACTTATAGATCCAAAGCTGAACTGCAGCGCCCAGAGCTGAAGCTGCTGAGCCCGAGGTGTGAGAGACGCACTAAGCCCGTTCGAGGGGCGTCGCAATTCGCGAACCTCCTTGCGCCGACTGCGACTAAATTGCCAGCACCTTTCCGTCCATCCCAAACACGCACTCCAGTCTCTATCACAGTCCAGCAATCTTAAGCGTTCCAGAAAACCTTTCACCCTAGGCAAAGCTTGCATCAAGATTCGTTCACATATCACCCGCCTCCTAGAGTAGGACTCGTTTCCTGCTCCCGCCACAGCTCGCTACCATGACGCGCGAGTCCTCACCACTCGACTCCCCATTGTCCTCAGAGCAGTGGTCGGATCACGAGGACGAGTCCGTCCAGGATGTCCACGAAGAATACGAGACCCCCGCCCGCCCGTCCAAACGCCAAAAGACCGAAGTCGCGTCAACAACCTCATCCGCGGCGCCTATCGCCCACGAAGCAGAGCCCGAGGCAGACCACATTCAAGCGCCTCCCGATGTGGCCCTCGGGGATGTGTCCGACATATCATCCGACACGTCGGCCGACATACCCAGCTCGCCCCCCTATGCCCGGCCTGATGACGAGGATATGCAGGAGCAGGTCACGGTCTGCGACTGGGACGGTTGCGTAGCCGGCGACATGGGCGACATGGACAGGCTGGTCGATCACATCCATAATTCCCACATTGAGAGCCGGCAAAAGAAGTACACCTGTGAGTGGAACACGTGCTCTCGCAAGGGGCTTCCACACGCCAGCGGCTACGCGCTCAAGGCACACATGCGAAGCCACACTAGGGAGAAACCTTTCTACTGCTATCTACCCGGTGAGCCTCAACCCCCTCGGCGCTGCGGCCTCAGTGTGTTAGACGGAAAAACTGACGAGAGCAGAATGCGATCGCTCCTTTACCCGTTCGGACGCTCTAGCTAAGCACATGCGCACTGTCCACGAGACCGAGACCCTCCGGCCGTCCGACCCCGTCCCCAAATCCCAGGGCCACGGCAGCAAAGCGAACAAGCTCAAAATCATCATCAAGACACCCCAATCCCATGGCAACAACGGCGACGATGTGTCTGACGAGCCCCTCGCCGACGGCAAGGAGGACCCCCATGAAGGCTGCTGGACCATCATGTCCTCAGACCTCTTTAGCGAGGAGGAGCTCAAGGCGGACCGTGAGGCGCTCTACAAGAAGCTGTACTTTGAGGACAAGTGGGCCAAGGAGGAGAACGACACGCTGATGAAGGAATGCAAGGCACTCGAGGAGCAGTACTACAAGGAGTGGCAGGAGAAGGAGGTGCTGCTGTCCCAGGTCATTCAGAGCGAGGTTGCGTGGCATGAGCGGCGCAATGCTATCTTGAGTGGTGCTGCCGATGTCCACATCAGCGGCCCGATGGACAGTCAGGAGACGGAGCCCGCGAACGGCCTGCCGGATCCCGAACCTGTCAATACGATTGAGAATGGTTTGCGGCCGCGGCCAGTGTCGCCTCCGTGAACCGGGGCAAATGCTACGTCCATGCCGCTTTCGGCTACGGGCAGGCTTCTTTAATGTTTCAATGATACGACAAAAGTAACAAGGAGTTCACGGGAGTTTTCAAGCGCTTCGGTCTCACAATTCTATAGACTAATGTATTCAATGTATGCAGCTACAGCGCCTTCTTCTTGGAGCGGTAAGACTCTTTGTTCTTGAACGGGAACCCGCTGGTTCCCTGGTCGAACTTGTGATACCGACTGATCATGGCCTGATCACCCGCAAACATAATGCAATACAGCCCCAGGGCCGCGAAGAAGCTGCTTCCAAGCGTGCCGAGGATGAATCCCGTCTGCCCGGTCCATGCGTAGCGCGAGTATGCGTAGGACGCGGCGGCAGTGTGATGGAGAACAGTAATTGTGAGAGCAGCGCTTGCGTAAGGAGACAGGCCATTTTGGGGGACTGTCCGAGTCAGTTTGAGGGAAGCGCCTCGGGGGAATATTACCTTACCGTCAACTTTGGAGCCCAATGGAACGGCACCAGAGAGAAGGACCACGATAAGACCCAGGGCCAGCAGAGCAAACCCGAGTGATCGAGCAAAGTAGGCTTCTAGCGCTATACCAGGTTAGTAAGTCCACATGTCCGCAGTCAAGACTAGCACGTACAGCTTGTGGTGGCATCTTCAACACGTAGGAGAGCTCCTATGGACGATGGCCAGATGATCAGAGGTACTGCCTGCGTGGAAAGCCAGGCGAGGTTGCCGAAGCTGTAGGTTGAAACGGTCTGCATTGTTAGCGGCATACCACGTACGAAGTGTCTACACGTACATCCATATTGAGAACTTTAGATGGTTGTTGAGGTTATGAAAAAAGTAGAAGATGCCTCCTAATTACTGCGAGACCAGCTCTTCCTTGGTTGCTGGAGTCGTCGCGTCCTACTTGTACATCCGACGACGTCACATCCCCGTCGTCAGTTCAAGGCGGACCCTTGAATTCCACATTGAGCCTAGCGCCACAGGTGGCCGATTTCGCATCCAACTTGCACCGTGGGGGCCCGCCATCTCGAACATTTCTAATCCTCAGCTGCTCATTGTGCAAAATTGCTTTGTCCGTATCCTACATCCACGTTCACCCATCTCTATTAGGAGAACATCTAGTGGCGATTGTCCAAGTCCTCGCCGCATAATTACAACACTTCGCGCAGCGACAACGCAGCTTTCATCCACATCCGTGACTTCTTCGCCACCCCACCCACTACTGCGCGCACATACACAAGACCACTGAATCCCTCGCGCAACACTTGCGGCCTTTTGTGTATCAACGTTCCGATCCGGCGCAATGAGTGCCATCCTATCAGCAGACGACCTCAACGACTTCATATCGCCCGGTGTCGCCTGCATTAAACCCGTCGAAACCCTGCCAACAGCCCCTCCCACTCAGCCATCGAACGAAACAGAAGTCATCCTCGACGGCCAACATCCCGCCGCGCCGCAATCGAATGCGCCTGCCGAAATCTCCTTGACAGATTGTCTTGCTTGTTCAGGGTGTGTCACATCAGCAGAGGCCGTCTTGGTGAGCTTGCAAAGCCATGCAGAGGTGTTGTCGTTGTTGGACTCGGCACCAGCACTGAAAGTGGCGGGGCCCGATGCGACCGGTAACTATGCTGTGGAAGGGTTGGAGAATCCAGATGCCAAACTGTTCGTCGCGAGCGTGAGTCCGCAGTCGAGGGCTAGTTTGGCGGCGGCGTGCGGTGGCAAGTCAGAGAAGCAAGCGGGCCACATGCTCGAGCAACTACTCAGTGGACCAACAGGCCTGCCAAGTGGCGGCAAGTTCAACAATGGCTTCACCTGGGTGTTCGATACCAATGTTGCGCGAGAAGCTAGTTTGGTGCTGGGTGCGGACGAGGTCCTTGAGACCTCCAAGCCTGGTGTCGCGGCTCCCTCCAAGCCCATACTGGCCGCGTCCTGTCCGGGATGGGTCTGCTATGCCGAGAAAACACACCCCCACGTGCTGCCAAATCTGTCAAAGGTCAAGTCCCCTCAAGCGCTGATGGGTACACTGCTCAAGACGGTTCTGAGTCGCAAGCTCGGCATTCCGCCAAGCCGAATCTGGCATCTGGCTGTCATGCCATGCTTCGATAAGAAGCTGGAGGCCAGCCGAGAAGAGTTGACAGACGAAGTCTGGGAGGGCTCAGGCGAGCCTGGCCGAGGTGTGCGGGATGTCGATTGCGTGATTACCAGCAAGGAGATCTTGATGCTCGCTCAGTCCAGGGATACCGACTTCTTCACATTGCCTCCAACATCTGTACAGGCGGCAACGCGCGAAGGGTTTCCCGACGGAAAGCTAAGGGACTTCTTGTTCCCTCGACGAACAGCGGGCAATACCCCTGAATCGGCTGGCTCTTCAGGGGGGCTCTTGTACCACATTCTTCAGACAAAAGCGGCGCAGCTACCAGGCTCTTCCATCCAGATGAACCGCGGCCGAAACACCGACGTCGTTGAATACACCATCACAGTCAACGGCGAGACCGTATTCAAGGCAGCCCGATACTACGGTTTCCGAAACATCCAGAATCTGGTGCGGAGACTGAAACCAGCCAAGCCCTCCCGTATGCCTGGGGGAAAGCCATTCGGTAGCGCACGACGACCAACTGGCAAGTCTTCTTCCCTCGAATACGGATACGTCGAGGTCATGGCCTGCCCGGGGGGTTGTACCAATGGTGGCGGCCAGATCAAGGTTGAAGATCCCATCGTTGTCGAGAGGAAGAACTTGTCGGAAAAGCCAGGTCCTCAAGCACAGAAAGAGTGGCTGGCAGAAGTGGACGAGGCCTACTTCTCCAGCGACGAGACTGACGCTGCAGGCGGCCATGATGCCGGAGATGTCATCGGGGGGGTCTCTCGCGCCTATATCCATGATACCCTGGCGCACTGGGCTGACGCCACCGGCATAAGCCTTGACAAACTCGCCTACACGAGTTATCGCGAAGTCATCAGCGATGTTGGTAAGGATACCACCGACACAGAAAAGGTGGTCCAACTCGCGGGCAAGATCGGCGGTGGCTGGTAGTATATAGACCACATTGGTGTGAATACTCAATTACCCTTTGCACCGCGCTGAGCGAAACCAAAACCGCCTCGTCCGCTTCCATCAGGTCCTCTAGGTGATCGGATGGCGGGCTGCTGCTGCTGCTCTAGCCTCGGTGTAGATAATCTTTGCGGGCTATCAGCGCCTCTCTGCTCCAGTTTAGACGCGTATCCAGGATCGAAGAGCTCCCTCGTCGGTGCCACGTTGTTTGTCTGGTTATTTGTGTTGTTCTGGCGTCGTTTGTCCCCGCGTTGGCCGCCTCTCCCACGGCCTCGTGCCCTCGCGTTGCCGTGCCCATCTGCTCGTGGCGGAGTGACTGTGCCCGCGCCGGACGGTGACGAGGCACCTGATGATGACGCAGGACCCTGGCCAAAGATCTTGGCCCTGGCCTCTTCGTATCGTCGCTGCTTCTCTTCGAGCTCCTTCTTCTGCCGGGCGCGAACTTCTTCTGGCGAAGGCTGCCCCTCCTGTCCCCTGGCGTCCTCTTCTTCGTCCTGCAGTGAGAGGTTCGACATGCCTGTTGCAGGGTCTCTCTTCGCAATGACTGGCTTCCGACTGAGAACTTGTACTTGGGGCTTAAAGCCTGTCTGTAGCGGAACGGTATTGTTCGCCTCGACAAAGTGGAATGTGTCGGGCGTGTCCCTAGCAAGTCAGCAATGGTGTTAGGGAGTTTTCGTGGAGCTGCATACGCCGACTCCCAGAGTTTCCTGTTTGTCTCGACATGGCGTGCGATCCGTTCAGCTTTGTTCGAAGGCTCGGCTTCAGGCTCTGGCGTGGGTTGTCGGAGGTCTATGCTGTCGGCTTGGACTTCCCAGTCATCGTCCCAAGCATCCGGGATGGGGGCTTTCTTAGGCATGTTGACAATGGCAAGTCCTTTCCGGATTGTGATCGCATATGTGGCTAGACTATGAATTCCAGCCGAGGGGACGGAGATCAAAGGTCAGCTTGGGAGCGAAGAGTGGCTGCATCTTCGCGACGTCGAAAGTGGAGCTGAAGAATGGCCAATCCAATTAAGTCTTGCGCGCCGACGTTTACCACCAGACGCTTTCAGACCATAGCACTGTCCGCGAAAAAACACAATCTTCCCATAACTTACACACTGACTTGGCGAAGTTATTTGATAGAAACCAAGGCTCCTCGCTATGCCCGGTCCAATCCATCAGAGGGAACATGCGGCTGGTGAGAGCGCCACCATGGGCGATGGGCCAAGACGCGATGAGGATGCTCTTTTAACGAAACTAGCCCACCAGTGGTTCGACGCTCGTAAGTCCTCACGAAATTCATCCAAAAAGAATTGACTTGCTCAGCCGCTTAGGTACATATAGAGATCCCCTCAAACCTGTCAAGACTACTACATCGTCGTCGAAGCAAGCGATGACCGACCAGGAGAAGCAATGGCTGGAAGAACTACGCGCAGCTCGCAAGTAGAATCACGCTGTGACGAAAACGTGGGATTTTAAACACAGGAGAAGTTATCTTGTAAAGAAATGCAAAGAAGCTGAGCGCAGTTGCCTTAAATTGCTTTCTACAAATGCCCAAGCAGATGTCTACAAGAAATACACCAAGACAGGCCATTGTAAAACCACGTATCCGGCTGTTGGTCTCTTCATGTGGCTTTACGGAGAGACGCACGCAGAAATTACTCGGCGCCAAGAAAACATGCAAGATCATGTACATATACAATGGCCGACAGATGCTCTTTTGGTGTGGGCAGAGTTGAGCTGCGTACAAGAAAGATGCTGGCTGACGTATGAATGGGCGACTGCAAGTTACATGTAAACTACCTTATTTGGCGAGCGATAAAAACAGTCAGGGTCGTACGCTGCAGCGTGACGAGGGACTGATGCTTGTTTTCGCTGGATCCAGTCTCTCCGCGCAACTGTGTCCAGGGATCGGCACTGATCCCCTCGTACGTGATGTTGTCAGTGCGGGGCAGGAGAAGCTCCATAGACATGCAATCATGACATGAAACAGTGAGCAGAGTGCCCTTTGACCGTCGAGAAATTGGGAAACCCCGGTTGTATTTGGCTTGGAAGATCGTCCAAATACTAGAAACTAATTTATCACAAATTCCACGAATAGAATCTGAACAGTCTAGACTACATGTGCCCTCCACATTTGTTGGCCTACAGTTGATTTGGAGCTATCAACAGCCCCTCCCTCGCTCCAGACACGGAGCAACGACAAGGCAATGTCGTGCGTACTATCTTACCAGCGCAACAAAGCCATCACAGAAGATATAGCAGACGGATGAGGTCTCAGGCCCTCCGAAAATGCCCGGCTGGGTGTCAGACTAACGGCAATGGTGGCAGTGGTCTAAAGGAAGAAACATTCCCTTCAGTTCGACCCCGCAAAGTAAAAGTGACCCCACCTCGAGTCAGCTCGACACGCAGGGTGCAGGGTCCTCCAACTTTTCCAGACTGAGCCTTGGCGGCTGGATCATGATCAGAAAGGGCAGATTGAGAACCCGCGAGGCCGAACTAGCTAGCTTCTTTCAACGCTTTCTCTGTACGGGTGCTGCACGGTATTGCGACCGTAAGGTGAAGATGGTCTCAAGGCTCCGAGGGTTGAGCGTAACGTGGACGCCCACTTGGTCTATCTAGTCCACAAGAGAAAGCTGGACCCGTTCAAGAAAAAAAGGCAACCTGGTTAAGTTGAACGGCTCGTGAACGAGCATGCGCTTGGGCTCTTGGCAGAAATATCGACATGCGGATTCGGCCAGCCCTTCCCGATTGTCTAATACTTACCGGGCGATTGACTCTCGCCTGGCTTCAGGGTAGGGCGAGAAGCAGCAAACCTGCATGCCCACAATTTACCTGGTACAAGTATCAACTCCCACTCTATTGCTTGCGACTCATGAGGTATTGTGAAGAAACCAATCAGGGCACCTGGACAGAACGAGGGGAGAGGCTTGACGTACCTCTGAGGCATTGATGAAAGCTGTGTGTCCATAAATATTGACTGTAGGCCGGTTCAGCTTTACTTTGGAATCAGTCGTTGGGGTGCTGTGTCTGCCCCACTGCGCGTGTCCTGGTGGCCACTCAGCAGAGTCCAGTCCGCACAAGGCAACCGTGGGCCACTGATCAACCTGGATCTGGGCCATTCCGATCGTGCGGCTTCCCAAACTGCCCCCTCATTAGTTACTTGATTAGAATCCCTACAGACATCCGCCCGTCATCATTTTTCATCTCGGCATTGTCAAGTTACTTCGCATCTCACGTTTTTATGTCATCCTTGGACATCGAGAATAGCATAACCTCCGCAAGCTTGCTGTCCTAGATCGTGAAAGCCGAGCCGTGAGCCAGCAAGGTCCGGCTCTCCGCATCTTCAGTCGCAAGTCTCCAAAATCCACCTCACGCTTCTTGCCCAGGCGCCCCCATCCTCGTACCTCCACGACAACACTCGTGCTATCCATCATCAACTCGGGGACGATTGCATAAGCATCTTTGCAACAAGCCTCAAAGACTGAAAATGTCGGGATCCGACAGCGCTCACGGACACGCAGGAGGTTATGATCTCCTGCGTAGGGCCACTCAAGCGATGATGTCAAAGTAAGTGACCACTATTCTCCTGTTATTTGTTATTTCTTATGCCACCGTCCTTTTACGGTCGTCACAAGAAACTCTCCTATTCGTTCGACCTGGACGCAGAGAACTGGCTGTGCTCCTTTCTGCTTTTCTGTTCGCCGTCCCATGCCTTTAGCTCTCAGCCAGCCACCCCAACCATCCTCTACTTCACGGCCGCCCTGGTTTCCGGGTGAAGGATGCCTAGCGGGATCAACAGCTTTGTGTCGGCCATGGCTCCAGGCAAATGTCCTTGCAACTTGAGCCAACGCGGACACGCCCACACGATTCTTGCCATCACCACCAGCTTGCCCCTTACAGGCTCCTTACAGGCTCCAGTCTCCAAGCCGTCTTACCAGACAAAGAATGACATGGAAGCCGTTACGCAGACTTCCAAGGCTTCATTATATTGGCCCAGAGTCCCAGACATGTCAGTTTCTACGACTTGGGTAGTCTGTCCGTACACGTACTGCAAAAGCGCCACCATTGCGTGTCGACACCGAGGCGCCAGGCCAGGCGGGAGGCGTTTGACCTACCACGGCGCATTGCGAGCACGCTAGCTCCCAACTTGACTCGCAACAATCCTCGAGAAGTTGATGGCTGTCTCGACACATGCCGCAGACATTTCCTGTCAAGTAAAACACCACGAGATTGCTGCGCGCCTGTTGTGCACTGCTTGAAACCAGCATCATCTGGGAAATCGACTAGTACAACTGCAGGACTTCCGCATGAAAACTTGCGTTTACAACAACGGGACCCACTCTTCCACATGGCGATGTGGATGGATGGGTGCTGAGTCCTGACAAGCCGGTTTTTCTTGGCTCGAGTCCGGACCGCCATCAATCTACAGCGACTGAGGATGGCGATGCATCGAGCCTCCAGAGCGCTCCCGCAGCATGTCGGCGCCCATTTTATGATCTGAATCGCGACCTCGGCATAGTCTGCGACAGCGATGCACGCAAGAGTCATACTACGCACAAATGTGCTGTCGTATACGTCAACGCCGTTGTCGGAGGCGGATTTTCCGCTCAAGGAAGCACGCGGTACCAAACTCAGCGGCTCGTTCGCTACAAGGGTTTGAATTGCAGTGAAGAGCCGCCGGCCGACATTGGAGCCGGCCAAGTCCCGCGAATTTATCGCTGGCTCCGGACACATCGCGAATTCAACAAGCAATTGAAACAGCGCTGTTCCGTCTGCCAGTTCTACGTACCCCCCCTCAGTCCTCAAACCTAACATGCCCGACGCTTCTTGGCAGCCGTCATGAAGTGGCGTACCCACTTGTTGCACTCTTCCTTTCGGACCTTTCCCAATCCCAAGCCCTTGACAAGCCCTCAGGATAGGATCCTTTTGACTCATTCGCTCGTCACGCCCGTTTCTCTGGACCGACGACCATGTCCCGTTACGTTACTGACCACATTTCCAGAACGGCCACGCCTGATGAGGATTGTGGGGACCAGATTGGCTACGAGACCCCACGATCTGGTATCGCGACACCCCAACCCGACCTTCACGACAAGCGCCTGCCTGGAATTATGAGCTATTTCGGCCAGGTTCGTCAAACTCAGTCTTGTTCTACCTCTAATACCAACAACATGCTTTCTTCCTCCCCCTTTACTACGATTCGCCCGCCCCTCGAGGGTGCTCTGCCTTCCGTTGAAAATCCAGCGCCCACCGCCAGTCAGCGGCCACGGCCTCCGTCGCATTCGCTGCCGCGGCTGTCTCCAGCGCTGGATTCGGGGGCATTGTCTCCCAGCGACAGCAGAGGCGGAAAGTTTTCAGATACTGAACTTCTCGAACCCTTGGGCGCTCGATCGCAAACTGCACGCGGGGAACACAGGACGCAGGGTGCCCAACATGAGAATAATCCATACCCAACTCCCCCCACTTCCACACCATCCTCCGGCCTTAGGTCGCTCGAGCAGGAGCGCAAGATCTCGTCTGCCTCAAACACACCTGCCCCTCCATCCCCACAATCAAATTCTATGATTCCTGACCCGGAAGTATCTGGGAAGACGGCGCCCAGCCTAAAACCCGCTGGTGCTCAACCCCCGTCTCAAAACACTGGTAGCTGGTTCTCTCTTGATGGTATCAAAGAGCTAACTCGTGGTGCCCTGTTCAAGAGCGGTCCACCGACGCCGACCCGAGCCTTGTCCGCCGCACATCCCTCGCAAGCAGAGAAAGGTTCTGTAAGCAGCTTGAGCATCGATGGAGCTGAGAAGAGTGGCACCCAGACTCCTCGTGCCTCCCCTTCGACGGGAGGGCAGGTTCCTGCTTCGAAAGGCAAGATGGCAATCAAAATTCCTGAAGCGCGAGGGCTGAGGAGCTGTCGGGATCCTTACGTTGTGGTCGTGTTCCAACGGAGCGAACTGATATCTGGAGGGCCCAGGATATCCCAAGAGGAGGATACTCTAAGCGTGACACCGTCAAGGTTTGGTGGTGTCCCCATTCAGCGCCAGGGTAGTGATTCGGGACGAACTCCCATGTCTATACCCATGAGGAGCAGGCAAAGCAGCAATACGAGCAATGGGGACTCGAACCCGGCGCGTCCCCGCAATGCGCGAACCTCGTTCACAAACCCTCAGTGGGATGCAGAGGCCATCTTGTAAGTTCCTCCGCAAAGGCGATCGCGCGTCTTGCTAACCCTCGCAGCGATGTTGTCGAATCCAACATGTCCGTCGACATTTCGGTGTACAGCCACACGGCAAGCGGCGACGACTTCCTCGGACACGTCCAGTTTCAGGCCTCGAAAGATGAGGAGGGTACAAAGGGCTGGTACGCTTTGCAGGGACATGCAGACACGATGGCCGAGGATGCACCCACTGGCGAAATCTACGTGGAGTCCTATTTCCAGAAATCCGAGAAGAAGCACTACGGGCCCACTGATTTCGAGATACTCAAACTCATCGGAAAGGGTACATTTGGACAGGTCTACCAGGTACGGAAGAAGGATACCCGGCGCATCTACGCCATGAAGGTATTGCAGAAGAAGGTCATTGTCCAGAAGAAAGAGGTGGCACACACGGTTGGCGAACGAAACATCCTTGTGCGAACAGCCATGGCTGACTCCCCGTTCATCGTCGGCTTGAAGTTCTCCTTTCAAACACCTTCGGAGCTGTACTTGGTGACAGACTACATGTCCGGTGGCGAGTTGTTCTGGCATCTTCAGAAAGAAGGCCGATTTGATGAGCGACGGGCCAAGTTCTACATCGCCGAGCTGATTCTTGCTATTCAGCACCTCCACAATAACGACATTGTGTATCGCGATCTGAAGCCGGAAAACATTCTCCTGGACGCCAACGGCCACATTGCGCTCTGCGACTTTGGTCTTTCCAAGGCCAACCTCACCAAAAACGACACGACAAATACGTTCTGCGGCACAACAGAGTACCTAGCGCCCGAAGTCCTGATGGACGAGTCAGGCTACACGAAGATGGTCGATTTCTGGTCCCTAGGTGTTCTGGTATTTGAAATGTGCTGCGGCTGGAGTCCCTTCTATGCCGAAGACACACAACAAATGTACAAGAACATTGCGTACGGAAAGGTGCGCTTCCCGAGGGAAACGCTGTCGCAAGAGGGACGTAGCTTTGTGAAAGGGCTGCTCAACCGAAACCCGAGACACCGTCTTGGTGCCACCAACGACGCGCAGGAACTGAAGGAACATCCGTTCTTTGCGGACATTGACTGGACACTTCTGACCAAGAAGCTCATTTCTCCGCCATTCAAGCCCAAGTTGAAGTCCGAGACGGACGTCTCGTACTTTGACCCCGAGTTTACGACCGCGCTCGACATGAATGGCTCGCTCAATGAACGAGCGGCGGCCTTGGCGAGAGGGTACGCGGCTAGTACTCCGCTGTCTCCTTCTGTCCAGGCCAACTTCCAAGGGTTCACATTTGTGGACGAGAGCGCGCTGGACGACCACATGCGTGATCGCCCCGTCCGAGATGACGAGGAGATGGATGATGCTAGGCGAAGCGACGATGATTGGGACAACCTTGATGATATTGACCCTCGAAAGGCCAACAGGATGAGCGGCATCATGAAGTCAGGTCCACACGATGAACAGATGGTGGGAGGGTCGCATTTCGATATGTAATAGCTGCCTATCTCTCATATTCTGTACATCCTTTCATTTCGGCGTTTCGTCTTTCCCCATCGCCAAGTCCTATCCTGCGTACATTTCATGTGTCCTTTTAATGGTCTCCCACAGCATTTGCATGAACGGAAGGGTTTTGCATTCTCGAGGTTGGGTATGGGTGCAAGAAAGCAATGGGGGCATGGGCGGCTGGTTCTTCACGGAGTGGCGTTTGATAGGCTTTTGCATTAGTGACATGAGCGGACAATATGAGAATAAGTAGGGCCGCAAGTAATCTGAGACTCTTTCACGCAAGTCAACACGATAATTATACATACATGCTCTCTTTGAAACCATGGGCGGTTGCAGGAACTGGCTTGTTGGACGTCAGGGAGCTCATCCGCGGCTCCGCCAAGCTCCCGTATCATTCCGATCGCTTGGTACTTTTACTCTCGATGTTGTGGAACTTTGCCCGATCACAACTCCAAACGTGTTCGACAGCTCCACATACCGCGGCATGAGACACTGGAATTACACGTGTGTGCTTTCTTTCATGGCGTTGGAAGCTTGCTCGTTGCCACGTTCAGAGGTACCCGTTCAAGGCCCGGCCGGTATACGCTGTGAGGATAGAGCCAAGTTCAACTAGAATCAAATGGATTGTAGCTGCCCGTGATTATTCTTCTTATACGTCTTGGGACGGTACACACGTGCTCACTGCAAGCTACGTTGTTCGCCAGCCGCGGAGTTGACCGTTCACATTGGACTCGCTCAAGTCTTGTTTGGCATTTGCGTTTGCATTGAAATGAACTACACCAACAGCAGGCTGCTTCGAGGCAAGTATACACAGGATTACCGACACAAAGAAATCCTCAATCGTTTCGAGACGATTGCTTCGTCTTCCGCGGCCCACGGCCACAGGCACGCCTTCTCTCGAGTGCCGACGTGCCGCTCAATCCCCCTCTCTCCAAGCTAGCGTTGATTCAGTAGCAATAGCTCTGGCGAGTGCTCTTCTCCGTGTCTCTCTTTCTATCAAAGAGCGTACCGTTTAATGAGCCTTGGCGTCCTCCGCATCCTCAGTCTCGAGCCAGTCGGGCAGCTCAGCGGGCTGTGCGGTGGCGGAAACGCTCTCCTGGCCCTCGATCTCAACGGCCATGTTCTCGTACTCCTTGAGGCTGCCGGCGAGATCGGACTCCTCGGGGGAGGAAGGGGTCTTGGGGGTGATGAAGGTCTGGACCTGGCCAACAGAGTCGCTGTCCTTGACGGTGGGGACCTTGTAGGACTTGAGCTCCTTCAGGTAGAGTTCCTGAACGAAGTCGGCTGCAGAATTGAGTTAGCGCCACATCAAAGAAATTAGATAACAATGAGGATCGCGAGGATGCCGCGTGAATGGATTGGTTGTACGGAGTTACAAGCGACGTCGGATATCGGCGTTATGAAATGTGTTGAGTATTGAAGTCGAGTTTGGAAGTGAGTCGCCGCGAATGAACCCATCAATCATCAGGTTTGGTGCTCGAACTGGCACGGGTTCGTTTGTTGAAAATTGATCGTGGCTAGAGGTGTCGTGCTTGGTCGGGATGTTGCATTGCCGTCGTCATTGTCGTTCCGTGACGCTCCGTATCCAACCAGTTCATCGCAACGTGTATCAAGTCGGAGCTATACGGGGAGATCGGCTTACCTCTGCGGGAGACAGTGGGAGCAATGAAGCCCCTCATCTGCTGGCGGGTGATGGCACCGACGACGGAGCGAGCGCGCTAGATGAGGTCAGTACTTGTCCTTTGCGACATCATGCCACGACCAACTACTCCTCGCCTCGCGAGGGTGAAAGGCGAAAAAGTCGCTGGAGAGGGCCGTCAGGAATTGCTTACCGTAGCTCGGGACAATTGGCAGAGCATCTTGGGCGAACGGGATCGGAATGCTCAATTGAAGGCAGGCCCGGTGAAGGTGGTTGGTCGATTGAGGGTTTTGATGAAAATCGTGAGGACGATGCTCGGCTAAGACTGGCGGGTTTCAATTCTGGCCTGAGGCACGCAAAGCACATCTGCAATTGGGGGATGGAGATGCGAGCTTCCCCCACTGTAAGCAAGCTCACGTGATTCAATACATAGCATAAGCAGCGCGGGATGCGATCATCTTTCACGTTCATGCGGTCATGACGATGCACTAAGTGCTGTCGCGCATCTGCTTCTCTCTGCTTGATCGTCGTCTAGCTCGGTGCGCCAAGACATTTTGGCGCCTGTCCTGTCCGGCTCTTGTCGACTCAGATGTCTGGAACGTTTCGCGTCAGTCTCCGACATCCTCATGACGACCGAATCACTGCTCTAGGTCAAGAAGTACTGACCACAAGTCTCTGAGTTACTAGTGCACTATTGACGAAAGGCCCAGTCAACTAGAGCTATAATGGGAGTTTCATAAAGGTGTGTGACACGAAACAGCGCAGGCAACAACCTCCAGAGCCAAACTCCGAATCTATCCCACCTACCAAATGTTCTGGGCGAAGTTGCCCGTCATTCTACTCCACGCTCCTTATTGGCGACATCTCCGTGCTTCCTATTGGTGACATCTTCGCGCTTGAGACGCGTTTTCGTTTCCTCACCATACCCAAAGCAATGAAAGCGATGTAGGCGGCGAACATGACAGCTGCCACAACGCTATAGGCAATCTTGAAGCCGGTTCCCGAGCCCGCCAACTTGATACCAAGCCCGCCGTTGACGACCCCTAATGCCATCAAGATGCGGCCGTACCATATGTGAAGATGGCTAATGATTCCACGTTTTTGGTGGGCGACAAAGTGGCGATGGTGAAGCCAGCCCAGGACGGGCTGAATGCCGAGCAAGGCAATCACTACGGTGCCTAGGATCGTATGGGTTTGTTTGAAAAACTAGGACCTGTAAGCCTGCGCCGCGTTGAAACATTGACCAGATGATAGAACTGACCTGTGCCTGCCTACTGGCGGCCACATATCCCAAGCCAAAGACAGCCCACATGACTAGCCACCCGACATTCTGTGTCATCGAATGTATGTACCACTTGCCGACAAGACGCATGAGAATTGAGCCAATGGGATACAAGAATGCGAAAACAACGAGCGCGATAATGCCGTGTGCGAGGATGATGGCGTCGGTGTTACTGCCACTTCCCCCCTGGGTGTCGACATTGTCACCAGAGTTGTCGCTGCTGGTGACGTCGCTGAGGAAGGGGTTCTCGTCCGACGAGATGCCAGCGCCGGCAAACCTCACCCGCATCCGCGTGGTCCCGTCGTGCTGGGTGATGGCATAGCTGGTGTTTGCAGAGTCGATGGCATTGCCTGATTTCCAGGCGGCAATCCAGCTGTTGGTGCCGGCGAGGTCCAGGTTCTGGCAGTCGCCGCAGCGAACGTTTGCTACCATCTTGCCGTCAGCAACGCCCGAGCCGGCCAGGAGCTCCGTGTCGCGTTGCTGGGTATACTCGGGCAGAACATGGCCTGTACCCTCGCGGGTACTAAGGGTAACGTTGCCGTCACCGTCGGTGTACATGACAAACATTTGCGACCCTCTCATCTGGCTACCAGTACCTAGGGCGACCCATTCGTATGAGACTGGGGCTTCGAGCTGGAAATAGACATTGCCCGAACCAGAGCTGGCAACAGCCTCGGGGATACCCCATTGGAATCGAACGTCGTCGTTGGACCCTGTACTCGTCGACACAAGGGCAGAAATCGAAGTCGCATCTGCAAAACGCTGTTAGATGTTGTTCTACTCCAGAACAGATGCCCTCTTACAATACAAGACAGCGCCAACCGTACCAGCAAGTCCGGAGTGCCCTTTCATCTTCCTCATGGCTCTTGAAGTATAGCGGGGTCCTGGTTACCTTCTGTCGACTGGAGTGCAAGTTATCCGTACAAGGGCTGTAATTATTTTACTTTGGTTACTGAGAGCTTGCAAGAAGGGAGAACGATAGGAGTAGGGGCGAAAGGAGGAACAGCAAAGCCAACCAGTCGAATGTTGACTCAGTGACAGTCTTCTGAGAGGGCGGCTATCCCCAAGCCTATTATAGTCATTGAATCACGGTTGAGGGGATCCCTGATCCGAGGCGCAGCACACGTCGATCTTGGACAACGGTGTAAAGGCTCGTGTTGTGGCTTTCCGAAGTCCCTTAGCTCGTCTCTAGTGACGTGCTGGAAGACGACGCACCCATTCATCCGTGCTATCCCACTTTGAACTAGACTCAATTTTCAGACTGGGATGGCCGCCTTACAAATGTACAAATGCAACTAAATTCATAAGCAAATTGGACATGGGGGTTTTGTGGCTGTCAAGCAATACATGTACAGAATCTTGAAACGAGCATGAAGCATATCCTGCTATGGAGGACCATACGCATACGTGCTACTCCGGTCAATATTTGTATGATTTCAGTAGCTCTCAATGCTACTAGCATGCACCTCAACTTGCTCAGCATGGCGTAGGCACAGACATTGAGGCTATACATTTAGTACTATGCGTGTCGGTAACGTGAGCGATTAGAGGCTTGCGAGGTCTGTTTGCGAGCTACGAATGGGTACTTGGCTACCACGGAGGCCTCTACGCTAGACTTTCGGCAAGCAATACGCTCAAATTCCAGTCCGCGGAGAGTCAATAGATGCCTGGCATCCGACGCGTAATCGCCTACGTACGGCGATATTCGATAATGAAGTGGTTGCCGACTAGAACTGCCGGCTGAATTCTCCTTATCCCACCTAATTTGCGAGCCCAGCATAATAAGGTTTGAATGCTCGACAGGGTGCGGCCGCTTTCACCATCCTCATCCCACTCCACGGTGCGCCTGCTCAGCCCTGCTGGCACGGCACCTGTGCAAGCCATGGCTTGTTTTCAAATCCCGTGGCTGAACAGCTGAAGTTGTCATAACAGCGAGCGCTCACAAGAGTTGCCGCTGCCAGAAGAGATTGATTGGTCCTGTCCTCTCCCGAGCCATACCCCCAAGTTAACACTGGAGTCAGTCTGATTCGAGTTGCAAGGTCGAGGCTTGGCATCAACTAGTCGCTCCCAGACAGTCGTACGTACGTATTATTTACCTCCAAAAAGTTCCTGCGTCTTGCGCCACGATGAGGATGACATTGACTTATGACAGCAACTACGCGGCGTCCGCACGGCGATCAGACACGCACTGCCTTCCCTCTTCAGACCACCTGTTTGTCATGGACGCCGCGAACGCCAATCGCACTGGAGCATGCTGCACCTCTTCTACTTATTACATAGTCCCCACAGCAAACTCTTGATGTACGTAGTATGCTTCAAACACAAAGCTTGACGGCCCGAGCTAATAACGCGAGCCATACCGGGGGGGCTGAGCTGGCGATTCCGGCTCGTGAAACTTCAAAGTCGATGCGTGCTGTTTCCTTGTTGGCGAACAAGTAGTCGAGCTTCGTCATGTGAAACCCCTTGTGCTGCACGCCGTGCGTGACGAAGCAATCTCGGGGCATTGGGTCACTCCCGGGACAATAATTGTGACGAAGGCAACGCCGCGATGCTCACTGATTCCTCTTGAACCGAATCTCTGTATAGATGTATCTGATTCTATGCATACAATTAATGACGTACTGGTCAGTTCCACAGCCGAGCGTGACAACATATGTGTCCTGCAGTTTCCCCATACGCCACATCGCAGCCGCCATGAACAAAATGGACTTCGAGGGCCATGCAATCGCGCCGTATTCAATAATTCCAAGCGCATAGAAAACAGACCGCTCAGCAGCAAGGGGGAGTCAAACGGCCAGGGGGAAGTGGTGCTCGTCCAGCAAGCTCGAAGAGGCTACGAAGCTGAATCCTCCAAAGACGTCGTCCTTTGATGCGCTCAGGAAGCCTGAATCCTTCGAGGTCAACATTGGACTGAGAGCAAGCTCAGTGAACTCGGGCGCAAAATTCTCAGCCAGCTCTGGATCTGTGATCATGGGCTGGATGGGAGGCTCCAATTCTCGTGCCTCGAGCTTCTTCCAATCGATCTTGCGGAAGAAGCGGTGCCTTTTGAGCGTTGTCAGGTCCCTGGGCATAGCAGAGCCGAGTCTCTTGCCCGGCTCTTTGCGGAGCAGACGGGTGAGGAGGTCCTTGGCATCAGGGCCGAGGAAGTACGGCATAACAAGCTTCTGCTTGACAATGTTCTCTTGAATCTTTGCGTGGTTGCCACCACGGAAGGGCGGATTGCCCGTCATCAAGTCGTAACCCAAGGCGCCGAATGACCACCAGTCAACAGCTTTGCCATATTTCTTCCCTAGGATCACTTCGGGGGCCATGTACTCGACTGTTCCCAGCAAAGAGTTGCACTCGTCTGTAGGCTCGGCCGAAACCTTGGACAAGCCGAAGTCTGTGAGAAGGAGATGACCGTCGGCGTCAAGCAGGCAATTCTCCGGCTTCAGGTCCCGGTACACTACACCCAGATCGTTGTGCAGGTGGGAGATAGCCAGCAACATCTCAGCCATGTAGAAGGCAGCGACAGGCTCCGAGAACATCTTCTCAGTATTCAGATGCGTGAACAATTCGCCGCCTTGGCCGTACTCTAGGATGAGGTACAGCTTCTCATGGTCCTGGAAAGCGTAGAACAGCTTGACGACAAAAGGGTGGCGGTTGACGGACTCAAGAATCTGACGCTCCGTCTTGGTCTGTTCGATTAGCTTCTTCTTGAGAACAAGCGAGGCTTTTTTAAATTGTTTCTGCGCATACAGTCTGCCGGTGGCCTTCTGCTTGACCAGGAGCACTGTACCGTATGTCCCTTTGCCCAGACAACGCAGTGATTCGAAATCGCCGGAAGTCATTTTTCGGGTTGGGTCAAAGCTCTGGCTGTTGATGTCAAGATACCCAGAGCCATGATCCTTGACGCTTTCGCTGGCGAAATCAGCATGAAGCTCTATCTCATAGCTGGTGGTCCCGTTGCCTGAGCTTTCACTGCCGGCTTCACTGGGCGCGCCATCGCGACTATGAGAGCGGCTGACGCCGGCGGACTGTCCCTGGCGACTGGTCGTGCGAGATATGGGAGTCGACCCTGGAGTTCCATCCAGGCTGAGAGGTTCCATCTGCATGCGGAGCATAGCAATTCCAGACACGCTGGGCGAGGGGTTGGCTCGCATGACAGGACTACAATGAGCACTGACAACGTCGTCGACACGGCCACGTCCCCTCAAGTTCTTGCGCGATGCCTCATAGCCGTGGTCAGAATCCTCGTCTCCGGATGCTATCGGGGTAGGTTGGAAGCCGCGCACGGTGTTGCGCGCGGCAGATGCTGGGCTTATCATCGCGTCGTGGTGTTGAAAGCAATTGCGCGAATCAACGTGTCTCTTCAAGGTGCACCACGACGTCGCTCGGGGTCAGCGCGAGGCTCGGATTCGTAGAGACGAAGGTTTGTGTAGTGGCTGCTGCTAACACGCATTTGGTAGCGGAAGAAGGACGTGCGAGTGGTAAATGGCCTTTGTATATGCATTGGCAATAGTATCGTCGGGAAAAAAGAATCGAGGGCGTAGGTCGGACGTGATGTGGTTCACCAAGTTGGTGTAATGAGGGAAGGAAAAGGGAAGGTGTGCTCAATGCTGACGGAGGGAGGATCTGGAGAAGGCTAATCCGGGGCAGCGCCCAGACCTACAAAAATCGAAAATTACCTTAGTGAAACGTGGCTCGCGATTGGGCACCAAAAAAAAAATCCAGGCACATGCAAATCATTTCGCGCATGCGGCTCTATTTCAGGTTTTTCTTACATTCTTTGTCAATGCGATGTCAGACGCGACTTGTCCGCTCGTATCAGAGCAGGGCTCAAGCACGTTTTAAATTAGCAGCTTCATCTTCATGTTGGTAGTAGGGCTCAGTCCCAAGCCTTCTACTTGTGCAGGTGCTACGTGAGTTCTTCCCCAGGCTGTTTATACTTCGCACTTGTACGTAGAGGAACTGCCGAACACGGCGCGCCTGCCGCCTGGCGACGACACCTTGAAGTCAATGAAGTGGCAGGTAAGCTCGGCCCGCCCTTTTGATGGCGGGGGTTTTTCTTAGTGGACGATGGCATCCGACTCCAGGCCCCCGGCCACTAAACAATGACCTCAGACCTCGCAGGCCCTGGTCATCGCTTCGGGTTCGCTGACTGGACCCGGTGAAACGCCGGCGCGTGCCGCGATTTGCCATGGATCAATAATTTGTTGCAAAGTCTACGAGGTTCGTCACGACGAATAGCGACAACCCACCACCTCTAAGGCATCCGCTGCTTTTTTTTTCTCCCTCAATCCCTCCCGCTCACGAGTCCTATCACCACACGTGCACATTGTCCAGTTCTACTGCCTGGCCCCAGGGAACAAGAACCTCCAAAATGATGCACCCATCGCGGCAGGCCTATGTCGAAGAGGCCCAGTCGCCGGCCGGCATCGCCCTGGAGGACCTCCCCGATGACCATGACTACCAGATGAATGTTGGAAACTCGGAGAAGGCATCAGCAGTGCTCAACCAGTTCAACCGAAAACGACTTGCCGCGTCTATAGCCGTGCCCACCGACGATGGGCGTGTCCGCGCAAGACTCCGAGACATGGGGGAGCCTGTCACGTTGTTTGGTGAAGGATTGGCTGATCGAAGAGACCGCTTAAGAGAACTTCTGACGATTCAAGCCGAGATCGCGGGGTTGGAGGGCGTCGACACCGAAATGGATGATGCGCCCGAGGAACCAGAAGATGAGCAGGAGGAGGAGTTCTATTCCAGAGGAGGAGCAGAGCTCCTCACGGCACGCAAAAAAATAGCAGAGTTCTCCCTGCCTCGAGCCAAGCGGCGGACGGCTTTTCAGAAGTCGGAGTCTGCAATACCACTACGAACTCACGTCAAGTTCAGGAAGGAGATCAAGGACAGGCTCAAGGAATTCGAGCTGCAGGGCAGTCAGACAGTTGGTGAGCGCCACATCAGTATGACGAGGATTTCACCCAACGGAGAGAGCGTGGCCGTGGGGAACTGGGGAGGCCAGGTGAAGCTCGTGGAAATACCCAGTCTCACGGAGAAGATGACTTTTCGTGGACACACAAACAAAATCAGTGGCTTGTCGTGGTATCCCGGTGCCACGCTCCCAGAATCTGGCGTATCTCCTGACGCGGTTAATCTCGCATCTGGGGGAGCCGAAGGCATGGTCAATCTGTGGTCTTTGAATCAAGATACCCCTCTGACGACTCTGCAGGGCCATTCGCAAAGAGTGTGCCGTGTCGAGTTTCACCCTTCTGGACAATATCTAGCATCAGCGTCCGACGATACATCCTGGAGGCTGTGGGATGTAGAGAGCACCGCCGAGGTTCTCCTCCAGGAGGGCCATTCCAGTGGCGTTTATGCCATCAGCTTCAATACAGACGGTTCCTTGTTGGCAAGTGCCGGTCTGGACAGCATAGGGCGGATCTGGGACCTGCGGTCTGGCCGCACTGTCATTATCCTTGACGGGCACCTGGACGGTCATATCAAACCCATACACGCCCTCGACTGGAGCTCCGATGGACATCGTGTTTTGACCGGCTCCGCCGATGGCTGGATCAAATGCTGGGACGTTCGAAAGGTGCAGAGGACTGGCGGTATCGGCGCTCACAGCAGTGCGGTCTCCGACATGCGATGGTACAAGGGACTCGACGACCCGCTGCAGGGGACACCACCAGGCGCCGACGACAAAGGCCATCAGATTCCCAAGAAGTCTGGTACATTCTTCGTCTCAAGTGGCTTTGACAGGAACGTCAAGATCTTCTCGGCAGACGATTGGACGCTCGTGCAAACACTGAGCGGTCATACAGGGCCAGTAACCAGTGTGGACTATAGCAGAGACGGCAGGTGGATTATCAGTGGAGGGCATGATCGGACCGTGAAGCTCTGGGGCAGAAACGACGGTGCATCACTTTAAGTCGCGAAGGCTGGGGGGATCATAGAAAACTACAGCATCATAATCGCAAGATACCCAGCTTCCGTACACCAATGCGTGTAAGTACTCAATTGTCTGCGAATGCAGAATTGTACAACTCCATGTTCCAACATTGATGCGTTGGTGGAGATGGTCATCATGTGACCGTAAAGTTCGCGATTAGATAAGGCCTTTGAAAGTCCTCCCACCTCCAGTCGTCGACCAAGCCGACGTCACGCCACAACCTCTTACTTCCCTTCCTTCCAACGCCTGCGGCAGCGCGCTTTCTCCGATGCCTCACGACTTTGCTCCATCTAACGCGACACGTTTGCTACAATCGCCATAGCGATGGCCTCCATCGATCGTTACCGCCCGGCTCGCGAAGGCTATAAACCTCCGACTGCAAACAGGCGGGATTACGGGGCCTCGAAATCGCCAACTCAAAGACGCGATGTACCCCCAGCCGTCCCAACTCCGCCTCAGAACAGCTCTCGGAACTCACCACCACGGACATATGCTCGCGCTGGACATCAATCGCCGAATCGATCGGGAGCGCAAACGCCGCTCGCGAATTACAGTCAATGGGCCTTTTCGCAAGATGAAATCAACAGCTCCCCAACGATACTCGATGGCATCGCCCCGTCAGAAGAGAGACTGCGCCGGGCCAAAGGCATCAACTTCATATATCAAGCGGGCGTGGCTCTAGATCTGCCACAGATCACATTGTGGGTGGCCGGCGTTTTCTTCCACAGGTTCTTCATGCGCGTCAGCATGGCGCCAGAGAAACAAGGCATACACCACTATGTGAGCTCCTAGTCCCTTTGCTCGATTAGGAAATGGCACTGACAATTCCCAGAACATAGCGGCGACTGCTCTCTTCCTCGCAAACAAGACCGAAGAAAATTGCCGGAAAACAAAAGATATAATCATTACGGTAGCCAAGGTGGCTCAGAAGAACAACAACTTGATCATCGATGAGCAGAGCAAGGAGTATTGGCGCTGGCGAGACAGCATTTTAACGTACGAGGAGGTCATGCTGGAGCAGCTGACTTTTGATCTCATGATCGATAATCCTTACCGTAACCTCTTCGACCTACTGGGGCAGCTTGAAATTGTACACAACAAGCAATTACGACAAGCTGCATGGGCGTTCTGCAATGACGCATGCTTGACGACTCTACCTTTGCTAATGGATGCCCGAGACGTCGCCATCAGCGCAATATTCTTCGCAAGCATACACACGAATCAGCAGATCGACGACTTCAAGGGAGAGGCATGGTGGAAGTATTTGAAAGGCTCTGAGGACCGCATCACCAGGGCAATCGAGACCATGCGCCAATTCTACACGGATAATCCGCTTAGGAAGCAGAATCCGTCGTTGCCATCACCGGCGTTTGATCTGGAAAGCTCCAGGAGGAAAGGAGAGGCTTACGCAGATAACATGTCGTCAACAGCCGCGACACCAATGGAGATTGATAGAACGAGCAAGAGTCCTCTGCCCAGAGCCAACGGCGCTTCACATGAGAGAGACTCGGAGCACCACGCTTCGCAGTCAAGCAACCGCATACCCATGTCACCGTCCAAACGGAAGATGCCGGAGGATGGATCGAGGCTTCAGGATGAAAGAGAGGAGAAAAGAGCGCGAATGTCAGAGGATGAGGAAGGCGAGCTCGTGGAAGACTAGGAGGGTTACGCATACAGACGCAAGAGGTGCTGACCACATTATACCACACCCCCAGGGTTCAGGGAATTTTCGGGCGTTTGGGGTGACTTCCATCTGTGCTTTAGGGACAGCGAGGGGCAATGGCTTGATTCCCAGTGACTGGCGCGTGAAAAATTAAGCGTCTAATGGGTATTTAATAGCCGTTCTGGTCACGACCAAGAGAGAAAATATGATACACCAAGCAATCAGAGTCTGAGATGTTAGATGAGCGCACAAAGTCAACCAAAGGCTAACTCATGATCGAGCCAAGTATTGTCTAGACCCTACATTAATTCTGGGCGAGGCTACCCTTCAAGCCGAAGATCTCGGAAACACAATTTTGCCGTTCTTTCTCGAGATCCGCGAAGCGCTTTACAGTCCGGACGTTCAGATCCAAGCACGAAACCACCACAGAAGCCTGTCTGGATTTGATTGGATCACATGCCTCACGTCAGCATCGTCGATTCTGCCACCGACGGCAGCCAGGCTCTCACCGCCCAGGATGCGAGTATATATTTCTCGCGCGCCCGGCTCAAGCTTCGCTTTCTTCTTCTCTTTCCCTCCTTAGCTCTCTTTGCCTTTTGGCTTAGATCAAGTGTAGTATCTGTTCTTTTCAGTTTAATCTCTGAAAGGTCTCTAAGGAGACCAATCGTGATTATTCTTATTTTTGGCCTTTGGGTGGTTTCCTCTGTGCTTGCACATGATCCCACCCACAGTGTCCCTGGTATTACACTGCCTCCAGGTGACGCGAATCTCATTTTCATTGCATGTGCTGGCCTGCCGGTGCTGTGAAGAAGATATTTCTTTCTGTGTCGGAAGCACGTATGCCTCTGCCCTATGAGTGGCGCCCTCAAAGATGGCCTCGTCTTGTTATCGAAAAGTGTGGCTGCATCCACGCCCAGACCTTGGCCCGGTGTGTTTCAGAGGCTTCGTCGAGCACACGTGCTCCTACACCCATGGGGGAAAAGGCAGTCTGGTTGCTGTCACGTCGGGCTCCGAAGCAAATTCGGTGCGCGCAGGACAGACCTGAATTACCCTACCCTAAGCGGTCATGACGAATGCGAAGTTCTAATCGTCAAGGCGCTACAATGCATCGGGCTCTCCAATTTAGCTTTGGTAGGTTCGCGAGTCTGGTCTCAAAGCGGCGTACGTGAGAACAGTCCCAAGAAGTCCTTGCATCAGGTAGTTGTCGCTTTAAAACAGCCTCGTGGGGAGTTGTTCAAGGATGAAATCACCAAATGATAGACCCCGAAGATTTGGCTCACATCCAGTAACACCTTGTGTACAAGGTCATAAGTGGATGAAGAAATATCCTCGCAACGCGTTATCTTACGCGAGCCGCGCAGCCACATTTCATTATACGTAGGCCTGTTGTTACCGTCGGATTCTCAAAGAGAATCTCTGTAGATAGCCAAACTCCTGTAGCCACCAAGTATGGGCATATAGCAAACGGACGAGTCAAGTACATAAGGTACATTATGCAGCATCTATTGAGATTAAACAACCAGTCCAATGGACTTCGTTCACTGCATATGGACAGTGGAATTAATAAAGAGACAAAAATTGCAGTAGTAACCAGGCGCACTTGCAGTGGACAAAGTACATACGTGCGATGTCGACTTGAGAGCATCGCAGACCAATCGCGCTAGGTTCTGCGGGCCAAATTCAGGTATGGTGTTGGCTGGACCCCCCACCTAAGCTCAAGCCGAAATCGAATCCACGAACCTCCGCTTCATACTCGACAACATTCGTCACCCGCCGACCACTCGCAGCGACGTCACTGGTGATTCCCGAATCCGTCATATCGATCCAGTTGATTCATTAGTTCACCAGCGGTCGGCCCTGCCGGACGCGCTGCCATGGCTTCTCTGGGAGCTTATATCAACAGTACGTCCACCTCCTTCGACCCAGTAGCCGGGTGCTAATAACACTTTGCGCAGAAAAAGTGTTGATCATTACTGCTGACTCAAGGATACTGGTCGGCGAGCTCACGGCGGCCGACAACTCCACGAATCTAGTACGCAAACAATGACCCGACTGCGCAGGACTTGATAAACTGACAGCACGTCTGTGCACAGGTCCTCAAGAGCGCCGTAGAGCGCATTATCCGAGAACCAGACGATGACGAGGCTTCGACCGTGATTCCACTTGGGCTCTACCTTGTGCGTGGAGACAATGTGTGCTCCATTGGGTTGGTGGACGAGAAGCTCGACGACAGCATCAATTGGACAGAGGTGAAAGGCTCACCGATAGGCGGAATCAAACACATATGATACGCGAAGAAAGTGACAACAAGCGAAATGTTGCATGGAACGGGAAAACTACGACTGGCATTACTGTGGCGTTGGGGAGTAAAACCGAGACAATCATTTCAAACTGGAGGACCTGCAGTTGTCTATTTGCCGAGGGTATGAATTCTGCCTTGGATAGCCGAAACTACGCCCTCACTCTCTTCACAGCTGACATCCTCCTCTTACCAAACTTCTGTGGCCTTTTCTAAGCGAAGACCTGCTTCAACCATATCTCCTTGAATATCCTATCGCCTGGCGAACCAATTACGCGGTAGATTCGATTTCCCTTGTGGGCGTGCAGCCAGCCATCATCATCTCCAGGAATCTCCTCCAACGCCGTGACATCAGCCTGCAGCTTCCTCTCGCGGCCACGACGATCGATAACGTGCATGCCGCGGGTCCATTGACCAGCTGTCTCCACACGGATATCCTCCGGCTCGGTGAGCTTCCATGCCGGATCGTTACAAGTCATGGCGTACCAGACTGTCAGCGGATCATGTAGAGATAGCTCGAGTTCCGAGTCATCAAAGCCCATGCCACCGATCTTGCCAAACGCACCCATGATGAAGTGGGAAGTCCACTGGGCAAGAGGGCTGCCGGCCTCCAGGTACGGCTTGATACTCTCAGAGAAGTACTTCTTGTCAATACCATGGGGCGTGGTGATATCAAGCGGACACAGCACCAGCCGCAGTGGCCGGCTGAGCTTCTCTGGGTAGGCGGGCATTGTCGAACCCTTGGCAGGGATAATGGGCATCGTGGACAAGGGGTTCGGAGACGTAAGGGCGTAGACGCGCGCAGCCGCCACCGCGTCTGCGTAACAATTGAACTCGGCGGTCGGGGTGCAGTTGCCCTCGACGTGGACAGCTCCGCCCATCACCACTAGCTCCTTGATCTTGAGAAAGGTTTCGGGGTCTTCAGCAGCAGCTAGAGCGACATTGGTCAAAGGTCCAACGGCGAGGACAGACACAGTATCGGCAGGGTTCTCCTTCAGGATGCGGAGAATCTCCTTGTGAGAGGGCGTTTTGGAGGGCGTGAAGTAAGGCGAGAAGTTGTCGACTTCAGGTGCAGCATCCGATGTCTTGTCAAACAAAGCTTTCCATGTGTCGGCAGGGCTCAGGTGGGGATGGGCATCATGCACATTGTGCAGACCATCCAAGCCATCTGAGGCTTCTGTTAGTGTTGTTCAGGTAGTGTCTTTCGAGGCGGCTTACGAAAGTAATCGGCCATGAGCTCCTCATCATCCAGGGGATGCTCTGGCCCAACAGCCACGATGGGCTTGTTCTTCCTCATGCTAGCGAACCCCTCAGGCTGCCCCTGCGATTTCCTCCACTCAATCTCCTTCTCGAGAACATGGAATAAGGCCACCACGTTCTTCAAACAGCTTTAAATATCTGTATCAGTCTGAGTTCGGTCAGATTGAGGCGGGAGACGCCCACCTTTGCAGTGGAACGTTGCCGTACGTGACGGACAACATGAGAATCTCAAGCTCCTCCGGCTGAGCACTCAAAGCCATAAGCATGGCCATGATGTCGTCGACACCTACTCCATAGTCAACATTTATGTCTTTCAGGCATCTCGAATAGGACATACCAGGGTCTGTATCGATAATTATCTTGTTGGGCGCCATATTGGTTACGCAGTCGAGATTCTCGCAGAATAGGCAGCAAAGCAACGTTAATGATAGAAATCACTCAATGAAGGCGGCCGCTCAGAGACCACGATGCCTCCAAGGTTGATGAAGAAACGTCGAGTCGTGTGGGGTCCAAGGTAAAGTAGTAGCTTGTGGTCAGTCGTTGCCCCTCATCATGATAGCCACCGCGTCTTACACATCCCAGGTGTCTACATGTATCTTATCAAGGCAACGGCCGGGCACGGCCGTAGAGGAACTTTTGGTTAAGCTGTATGCACACTTAATAGTACGCAGAGAATCTCGCCGGGTACCACACGATTGCATAATATCTCATCGCCATGAGATCTAATTCGTTCCCAGCTTTCGTCATTGTGCCAGCGTCCTGCAAATCGGGGACCCCCACAAGTCCAACTACGTAGCCTGTTCCAAAGTTCATACTCGAAGCAAATATTCGAAGCAATATTTACTACAGCTTGAGGTTCATGCAAGTGGCCGTGTGCATCAGGAACAACGGCTGAGGTGTACATTGCACCGCACAGCATGCTTTCAAGCTCTAGGTTGATTGGGGGCTTGGACAGGCACCTAGGGCCGGTCTATCTAAGGCTACTTACTATGCTATAAGTAGACTTCGTAGTATATTCTGCTGGTGATCTGTGGTCAATAGTTTGATTTGATGTCAGCGCCTCAGTGCCTCGTCCCGTTAGCAGTGGAACCGTGCGTGATCGCTGGTCACGACGGGAGGTCAAGCCACGAACCAGAACCGTACGTGATTGTGAAGATGGAGAGGCCAGGCGCCAAAGCCTTTGATTGTGAAATCAGAATCCAACCCTCACAAATTGAGGCACGTAGTAGAGTTGACGGCACAGCACTGACTGCAATTTTGAAGCTTGGTCACGCAGCAAGCTCGCTGCCCCACCGATCCAAGGTCCATCAAGACTCGAGAAGTCAAGCTGCCTCAGGCCCAAATTTCTGCCCCTGTGCGCTCCCTGGCACCCCTGCAACAATCTCCGGCGCCAACAATCTCCCTCCACTCCCACAGCTTCCAACTAAGAGCCCAGCACGACAAGCAGCAGCTCCTCCGACTGTTACTTGGGCTCGTATTTCGCCATTCGATATTCCCATCTCTCAACTTTGTCCATCTTTCTATCTGATCCCACAAGCTTCAAGAAGCGGGTGGTTAGCCACGACTAGAAACCAGTTCGGTTTGCGTAGTTCAACTTCGGTTCCCCACACAACCGGAAGAACTGCAGCTACGTAAAGACAGCCTGGCCTCACACCTGGGACGAACGAGCAATTCACAATCGACCCTTCGACCAAGACAGCGAAAGCAGCGCTACCAAAGCTGTGAAAAGATTGCCTTTGTGTCCGCTCGATCGGCCTACCATTGGCCCATATTGCTGGCATTTGCTTCCTTACAACTCAAATTGTTGCTCGGAAAGCTGCTCTGGGATCGCTCCCTGGCCTCTTTTGCGACGTCCTCGAAAACCTCCCACCTGTCGATCGCACAGCACTGATCAACTTCTCACCCGTTCGTACAATCAACATTCGCCATGGCGGATCTGAGTACAAGTTATGCTACCACAGCTGCGGGCTATGTTGCTCTGGCAGCTGTAGGCTATGGCGTCTACTACATGTCCACCCAGAAATCTCGCCAGAAGGCTGCCGCAACTCAAAGCAAGCCTGCTGCCAAGACATCTCAACCGGAACCTCGCAAAGAGGATCGCAAGAAGAAGCAACGTCTAGAAAGCTTCACATCAGAGACGCAAGCCTCCAAGAACAAGTCGCACGCCAAGGCTGCCGAGCCTAGCGTAGCTGCGCAAGATCAAAAGACTGAGAAGGTCGTCAAGGAAGACATTGATAACAAGGAATTCGCCCGCCAACTTTCCCAGGCCAAGCAGGGCAAATCATTCACCGGCGGTAGCGAGCCCGGCAAGAAGCAGAAGGAGAAGTCTGTCAAGCAGTCGCGTGCCCAAGAGAAGGTCGCAAAGCCGGTGGCCGCCCCCGTCCCCGCTGCGATCGAGCCCGAGCCCGTCAATGAGGTTTCCGATGATGCTGCCGAAACGACCAACGACCCCAGCGGCGTTGCGGACATGCTCGAGCCTGCCTCTGCGGCCCCGTCTGTCTTGAGGCTGACGGACACCGAGTCGAAGTCCAAGCCCAAGAAGGTTGCCAAGGCTGCAGAGCCGGCCGAGACGAAGAAGCAGCGCCAGAACCGCAAGAAGGCCGAAGCTGCCAAGGCTGCCCGCGAGGAGGCGGAAACTGAGCGCAAGACTCTCGAGGAGAAGCAACGCCGGGCCGCTCGTGTCGCCGAAGGCCGATCTGCCAAGGATGGTTCGCAGTTCACCGCTGCCGCTGTGAAGAACTCTGCGTGGAACCAGGGCGCTCCCAACGGCGAGAAGGCTGCTGCGGCCCCCGGTACGAACGGAAACCACGAGTTGCTGGATACTTTCGAGGCTCCAGTCGAGTCATCCCCGGCAGTTGAGGCCCCCAAGTCTGCCCCCAAGGCCAAGCAGTCGGACTGGGTCTCATCACTTCCGTCTGAAGAAGAGCAGATGAAGCAGCTCCAAGATGCCGACGAGTGGAACACGGTTACTACCAAATCGTCGAAGCGCTCCGCCAAGAAGGCCACTTCTTCTTCTGGCGACGAGGCCGCAGCGCAGCCCTCGGCTCCTGCGCCAGCCCAGGCTCCCAAGGTCCAGGAGGCCGCCGCTGCCCCCAAGACTGCCCCTCAGCCTACCAAGTCCAAGGGTCCGCAGGCTTTTGGCTCCTTTTCCGCGCTGAGCACTAAGGATGACCCAGCCGAAGAGGTCGAGGAGGAGTGGGACGTCTGAGGTTGCTTGCTTCCACCAGAAACACCCCCAGGACCCGCATTGTTGTTCTCTTTCTATGTACGTTGTTTTGCGAGCATTCATTCCAGCTTTGTACCATTTATGCCCGGCCAAGACTAAGGCGGGACCAAAAACTTTATTTTTTCCTTTCCACATTGTTGTGTGTTCACACGGCGGTTATAGAAAAGCTGGCTACGGACGGAATTGTGGAGGGTGATGCAGTTCGAGCTGCCCCAGAGGAGCAACGAATTCAAGCAGACAGTCGACGCAGGAGCGTATGGTTCGATCTTCAAACGACTTTGGAGAAAAAGTTTAGCTATCATGTATTAGTTTGTTCATATGCAGTAAGCTCAACTTGACCCTGATCGTTGAAAGCTGTGAGCCTGTGCCGGAATCGATAGTCTTGCACTAACTACACGTGGACATTGATTCGACCTTTCCTGGCTGTGAAGCAAACAGGATACCTGTTGGCAAACATCTGGAGAACATGGAGGTAAGTGCATTGCACTGCATGAATCAGAACGAATCTGGTGATCCCTGATGACGCATGGGGAACCGGATCGCCACGGGGGTCCTCTCGACGCGTTAGAGCGCCTGTACCAGTGAAACATAGGTCACTGCACTAGCCATAGTGTGCACTTGTGGGCGCCCCGTTATCCAATAGCAGCCCGACTCGCTCATGTGTCAATGTCACCACAGAATCCCCAATCTCTGAGCAGACTCATGAAGAAACGAGACATTGAGGTGAGCGGGCAGAGATGCCAGAGAGGGGTAAATGTGAGGCTATATGCAGATAACTTGATGGTCTCGAGCCAAGAAGTGGCATGTTATGATGTTGACCCAATCACAAGCGCCATGTTTCAAGATGGATCGGAGACACTAAAGTTCTCATGAACATGGAGTGGGATGCCTTTCTCGAGCGGGCCATGGTCGATCCGGCGATAGTAGTGACTAGCTTGATGATGATTTTTGTGGATGGCAATGGACAGACAAGGGCTATTGGGTGCATCTTGACCTCAGAATAACACATTGATCCATGCTACCTTGGTTTACATGAGGTCTACGCAACAACTGGCCTCGGCTGTCGATGTACGTTGGTTGGGCTCGACTCTGGTTCCTCGAGGTCTGGCTGGTGCGCCGCGCGTGCAAAAGTGGAGATGTCAACTTGTCAAGTGGTGGTGGACGGGAACGCAGCCCGTAGTTCTCAAACCAAACAGTAATCGCCCCTGGAACCGTGGAACGTTAGCGCTCTCCCCTTCTGTATGGCACTGGCACCATGGCACTAGCGTCCGGTGCTGCCATTAAGGCCGCGACCCTTGCGGAACGACAGGAACCGCCCTCCTCCTCCGCCTTCATGTCCTCCACCGTCCCAGTCGTTCTTACCCAATTCATACACACCGTGACTGTTTTGGTTTCCTTTCTCCCTCTCTCGACATTATCGCCGCACGGCATACTTTCCTCAATCTACGTATTTTCAAACAAGCCGAGTCGCTACGTCTATGGTGTTGCAGCGACTCTTGATTGGCCTCTACCGCAACCATCTCCAGCCCCCTTTGCCGCTATAGTCGACAGTGGCATCATCTAACCGTCTCGCGCACCTATATCCAGTACTTGACTGCCAACGCTCTCGAAAAGCTGTCGAAAGCTTCAGAAACCGCGGCTTCGAACCATTGCGTCTTAAAATCATACACGGGACCGAATCGATCACACAATCAGTCGACGATAATTGCGCACCGGGAGCCGGCTGATATCGAACACAACCATCCTAGCCCTTGCGCACGCGCACGCGATATACTTGGGTCGAGGGAGCCTATAAAGAAACATCAACCGACCCGGACACTTTACTTGGGGTGGACTTGAAGCTTGCAAACAAAGTCCGTCATCTGCCACGAATTGGTGGTTGCCTCTCTGGGGTTGGGAACAGCCGGCACCCCATCAATTGGCTCCCATGCGCGACGTATAGCCTCTGATGTCTTCGAACAACTGCAGTGGAGCTCGGACATCTGTTTGAGCGTGGAAAGGCCATTTTATACGTCACAAGATGTCACTACCCATAGCGCTCCAATCAGTTGTGTTCTACTTCGTGGCCTGCACACCATGTCGGGCTGCGTTGAAGCGAAGGCAGCAGAAGGAGATGTTTGAGGCAGAGAAGGCTCAGCGGACAGCTCTGGAGATGGAACAGCCTTCTCTTTACCTCCATCCGGCGCCGTTTACAACAAACCCGTACTGGCAAGAGGAGATAAACCGGGGTCCGAGTTTGCCAAAGAAGTCCGCGAGCAAGAACTCGAGTGCCCGGGGCCTCAACAGCTCTGGTAAGGACAGCGATGTTCCCAGGGGGAGCAAAGAAACCGACGCACCCAACGAGTCATTTGCCGATAGCTCGACGGCTGTACCGGAAAGCGAAGCCCCCGATGATTTGAACAAGAGGACGAATTTCCAGCGCGCAGACGAGGAACTTTGGGGTGAATGGTCTGGTCATAGAATCAAGGACGCCTTCTCCAAGGCCAAGGATTCCGCAGGTCGCCTGATGGATTCCAGGCTGTTCTTTGATAAAGAGGTCACCGACGAGGAACGACGAGAGTTTTATCAGGCACGAAGAGTTCCACCGGTCAATGACTATCACCCACCTGTTGTCAGCAACAAGGCGCCTAGTAGAGCTGCGCATCAGTGGATGCTCCAACCTCCGCCCCCAGCCAAAGTCATGGAGGGCAAGGTTCCCGTCAGTCGCAACGTCAGCTCAGGGAGCAGGTCCAGTGGCCGAACGGCCATCGGGGACGAGAACAGCCTCGCGCGTCAGGTGTCAGAGAGACTCTTGCGGGAGCGCACGCTCAAGGGAAGAAACCCTACCGAGGAGGAGTTGATCGAGTCTTTATTGCCTCGCACAAATCGATCGCTTAGCTTTCCTCGAACGAGAAGTCTGTCACTAGATGGCCTTCCTGAGGATCTCGAAGAGCCGTATGCTGAAGTGCGAAGCACTCATCTGCGTATTGAGGTGGAAGCTCAAATAAGAGAGAGTCAGCACCAAACGCCAGCCCCTCGGGCAGCGCGACGACCAGGCCTACGGACGATTGCAGGTTCGAGATCCAACAGCGGCAATAAAGTACCACGGTCGTCGATGGCAAAGAATTCGGAGCTAGAAGCCACGAAAGGTGACACGAAACAGGCGGACTACATCGACGGGCAGAGCCGTGTGGATGGGCACATTAACAAAGGTGGAACGGCAGCAGTCAATTCCGAGTGAATGAGACGCCGCGCGCACACCAAAAGCGATTTTCTTATTATTGTTAACATAGCAACTCGAGCGTTATCGGCTTGGCGTATAGCTGGTTTGAAGACCACTGTCTGTTGGATTTGCAGCATCGGCGTTTACAGGTTTTGGAAAAAGGATCATATAACTCTTCAGAGTCCGGGTCTGCGATGGCCACCTTGATCCTGTAGTAGCACAGCAGCCATCGACTGCTCTTGAATCGATTTTCTTTTATTGTTAGCAAGCCCGAGCTCGTGATTGTCGTCTATCCAGGCGAAGGTACCCATCCTGGTTGACCGTCTGGGTGTTGAACTAACACAGACGCCATATCGGGTTAGTGCGCGATTAGTGCAGATATGATCTCCCATCACTCACATGTTGACGGCTCTGTGCCCCTCCTCCACACCTCCACGCGTCAGGGGTGTGCTATAAGCGACATGGATATTGCAGTCGTAGCGACCAGCTCTCTGTGTTCAAAGATGATGCGACCTCTACGGATAAAGCTCTCATCTTGCGTGCTATTGACCACCGCGCCATGGGATCAGGGTTCCGTAACCTTCTCTCTTGCCGACTTTGTTGTGAAAGGATCAATACCCAAAAAGGTTTAGTGTGAAACCCTGGCGTCCAGGGACCCAAGGACCCCTCTCATTTCCAGTGTAAGTACGGAGTACCTTTCGCTGACTGTCAGGTACCTCGCTTCTGTGATGGATCGGTGCCTTGCAAACCAAAAGCAGGAATAGGGACTACGTACAGCCACAGGGAGGAGGAGGCCTGTGCTGACGCGCGTGTACGTTTTATGCACTTCGCTAATAATAAGGGGTGACTGATGTTATGAAGGGCGTCGCGCGCCTGGCATTCAATACTTCCACGTGCTTTCCATGTTTGTTTTCTTCCTGCCAGGTCTTGTGCAAGCCCCCAATATTAAACTCTCCGATACTTCAGAATGTTCCCTGCAGCCTTCCTCTCTTTCTAAACTCACATCGACGCCGTTTATCAGTCGTACACTGTCGCTCATATACCTCGGCGCGCGTCGCATCAGCTGCTCATCAGGCATTCAGCTCAACTCACTACCAGATAGCTACACTGCATCTTGGCCGTCGCAATGGCTGCTGCCACTTATAAGCAGTTCTTGGCCTTGCCGACCACCTCTGTTCTCGACGACAAGGCGTCGCTGCACTATGTGACCACAACTACTTCCATTTCTGGTGCCACAGAAATCGTCAAGCACCTGACCGCTATCCACAAACAGCTCAAGAAGAAACAGGAGGATATCCTGACTGAGGTTGAGGGACAGGACAAGCTTGCGCTCGAGGTCGACACCGTGATCGAATTCCTCATCAGCGGTGGGCCATACCTGCCCGGCCTTGATGACAACTTCCTCTCGGATCGCACAGTTTACTTGCCTGTGGTAAGTTTCCCCCAGTCAAAGTGCGCATTGCCTCGAGCCTAACGAATACGCAGACACATTTTGTGAGCATCAACCCGGACGGCCGCATTATCCAGATTCGCCTCTCGTGGGACCAAGGCGCTCTGCTGAAGCAACTTGAGGTCATCGGCAAGACTGGTCGCAACTGGCCCATCACAAGCAGCAAGGAGCAGATTTCCCTTATACAGTCTTGCCAGAAGATGGCTGGTGGGTTCTGTACAGCGGCCGGTGAAGGTGCCAACAAGGAGACCGCGAGCCGAACTCGCGGAGGCTCCACCAACGCTCTTCGCGACCCTTACGCAACCCTCCACATGCAACCTACCAGGGAAGAGCTGGAGAACTCGGCCTTCGACAAGGTCGTGTCGCCGTACGGCCAGAAAAATCGACCTCAGCAACGATCTGCAGCTGACATCCTGGGCGACGACCCCACTGGCGAACATTACGATGACCGCCACGCCATGTCTCCAGCTAAGGCTGGTGCCAACCGCCACTTCCAGCCAATTCGTATATTCGAAGGCCAGGAAGACGAAACACCGGACGAAGACACTTCCGAGACCCGACCAGCCAGCTCTTACATCAAGCCTCACGCTACCAAGTACAACCACTTTGACTTGGCGGACGGGTCTGATCCTGCTGATGCGCCCAAGCCTGGGGTCTCGGAGGCAGACCGCCAGAAGACCAAGCGTGACAGCCAATGGTCGTTTGAAGACTTTGTGACTCCGGCGAAGCCGAAGCCATCACGTCTGCTGCGCCATGAAGATGTCCGTCACTGGGACACGCAGAAGGCAGACGAGGATGACTCGACTGCCCCCGCCCAGGGGAAGGGACGTCGCGATGCTGACATTCATTTTCAACTCAAAGATGACGGCGAACGCGCCCCCCAGCAGGCAGAGCGCGGACCTAAAAGAGGCGCGGTGCATAACGAACAGCTCGGCCTTTACAAGAACCAGCTCTTCGACCAGGCCGAGCCTGGTGAGGACCTGCGCGCGCTTGGTAACATCACGAACAACAAGGGCCGTAGTAATACCTTCGAACCTCACTGGGAAGCCACAGACGAGTCTCCTCTCCCCGACAGGACCAAAGCCAAGCCTATGGGCCACCAGAAGGCTGTAAAGATGATGGACTCGACCTGGGACACCTATGACAAATCGCCCAGCCAGAAGGAAAACACTTTCCTAGACGCTGATCAGCCCGAGAATGACACCCGGATCCGCATTGCTGGTGATGGCATGGGTAGCAAGAAGGGGACCAACCGAGACTGGATGTGCGGCGGCGATGACGACGAGTCGCCCAAGCCTTTTGCGGCTCGCAAGTACAATGCGTCGCAGCAGCGCAATGACATGTGGGACTTCTAGCGGCTGTCCGGTCGAGCAAACAAGGAGAATGTATCATTGACTCGCAACTGTTCTATGCCTAGGCCAGGGTGCTGAGGCGGTTGCGTTCAATGACTGTACGCCTACATGTGGCTCATGAATCATGCTTGATAGTATTGTTTTCACACAATGTTGTACCCCAATTACAGACTGCTAGCTTTCACTTGAACATGGGAGCATTCGCGATACCAGAAATAGCATTCAGCATCATGGCGTAATGAAATCAAACTCTGCTATAATGTACCAGATAAACTATGACCCCTCAGAAACGCCAGAATTGTCCCTTCCTTCTTCCCAAATAGCGCACGAAGATCAGCAGATATACTTGTAAAACTTCTTCCAGTTAGGCCAAGTATCCCGCTCTTCCTTCTCTTGCTGTATCAATATCGGTACATTGAAATCTCTCCGCCCCGTATTCACATCCATGTCTCGTAAACGTACGTAGGTTGTCTTGTAATAAAGCTTGTGCCCGGCGTAGAAGAGGAAGATGATGGGTGCACCCATCCACTTGAGAAAGAATTCTCCGGCCACTGCTCCAGTGCTCATATTCCGCCAATTGATGGGGGATGCGCCGACCCAAAATTGAGCAGCGAGAACGAGAACGTTCATGGTGAGGCCAATGTACGATCCCAAGACGCCAACCTGCGACTGGAAGGGCAGCTCGTTCGGTGAGTGACCGTTCAATGCCCAGGCGCGTCGAAATCGGATGTGGCACAGGCAGATGGAGCCCCAGGTGAAGATGGACGACAGGCCAGAAATCGCGAGGAGCCAGTCGAGTACGTTGTTCTGCCCAGGAAGATCGGCGAGGTAGGACAGGAGACCAACGCAGCCGGCGGTCGCAACGGCCATGAGCGGGCGGCCGCGACGGTCGATATAGCCGAGGAATTTGGGCGCCTGGTTCATGTTGGCGAGGGCGGCAAGGGTTCGTGATGATCCAAAGACGGCCGAGTTGCCGACAGAGAGGACAGCAATGAGGATGACTGTGTTCATGACTGAAGGAAGGACTTGGATACCGGCTTCTTCGATGGCAATGACAAAAGGTGAGGCCTTGGCATCTGCATCGTTTCGCTGGTCTGACGGTGTGAGGCGAGGGTCGTCGTGTCGCACGAGTAGCCCCACCAACGTGAGGGCGACCACGTAAAAGATGGTGATGCGCCAGAAGACTTGCTTGATGGCGGTCGGCAATGATTTGCGTGGATTCGCGGTCTCGGCAGCGGCCAGGCCGACGAGCTCTGTCCCAGTAAAGGAGAAGGCAGCCGTTACGAAGACGCTGCAGAGGCCTTTGAAGCCATTGTTGAAGGCACCCGGTTCATGCCAGAACTCGCCGCCAATGTAGCCTCTGTCCGGAGTGCCGCCACAGTTGAGTACGATCCCTAACAATCTAGAAGCATCCAGTGTCAGCGTCCACGCCTTCCATAACTGCATCGCCTGATACCTACATGAAACTGATGACTGCAATGACCTTGATGATGGAGAAGATGAACTCTGCCTCACCGTAGCCCTTGATGCCGAATAGGTTGATCGCAATGATAATAAACAGGAACAAGGTAACGAAGCTGGCCCGCGTTACGTCCTCGTCCCAATATCCTATAGTCAATGATGCGGCAATGATTTCGAGAGGCAGCACGGTCAGCCACTGCATAGCGTAACTGCATCCGTCAGCATGGTGCAACTGGGGGTACTGTGGTACGGCGACGCTTACTTCCATCCCATGGCGAACCCCCAGGAAGGATCCAGGAAGCGAGTTGCCCAGGACGAGAATGATCCGGCCACTGGAAATATAACGGCTAGTTCGCCCAGCGCCTGGCAAGTACAGTAGAGCATGGCGCCGATGATCGAGAAGGCGAGCAATAGCGACGCAGGACCGCCGGCAGCCAAAGCCCTGCCCGATGCCACGAACAACCCAGTGCCTATTGAGCCTCCAATGGCAATCATCTGCAGGTGTCTGCCTTTCAACTTCCTGGCCAACCCGGTATGCGCATTCTCTAGTGTCGCCAATCGTAGATCGTAGTAATGAGACCCATCGTGATCGCGCGTCGAGCTCGTCTCGAGCTGCGCCAGGTGATCCGAGGGGAAGAAGGTCGTGTTTGGATCGCGCCGGAAGCTGTCCAGAAAAGCGCTCAAGCGCTTGGGCTGGAAAATGTCGTCGTAGTCCGGCTCGCCGCGCATGCTGTACGAGCTGCCCTGCGCCAGGGACTCTTCTTTGACCTTGAACTTGTTTACTGTGCCAAGCTCAATGTCGCGGTGAGGCGCCATTGTAGGCTTGACGTGGGGGTTTGTTGTTGCCTTGCCTCTGTATCCGAGGGAGGTTTGTGCGGTGGCTATCGCCAGGCCGCAGAGGGCGTCAATAATGCGATGAAACTGTCACGACAGGCTGGGAAGGCGCTAGTTCGGAGGCAGCTGAGCTGGCGAATATAATTGAGCGGAAGGACACCTGAAAAGTCGCGATAAGAGAGCCGTCTAGGCGTGGTCGGACCCGACCGTCAGTCGTCGCACATGCCTGCCTGCCGCCGTTACGCTCGCAGGGAAGGACTGGAGGGACTGGATGTAATAGTAGTGTTTATTATGGGCGAGATAGCGGAATGGCGACTATCGGTGAAGTTGGCGCTCGATTGGAGGGGCAAGATGGAAAAGGTCGCAGGTGAAACTAAGGTACTAGTGCGAGGAGACGCGGTTCCCAAATAACAAGAGCGAAGTTGCTCTTTCTTGCATTGCTATCATCCCTTTGCTCTGAGGCTGAGGCTGGGCAGCCCGACTAGAGCTGGGGCTGAGTGCCTGACTCTCCAATCCAGTCCTCTGGCCTCTCCCTTCTTGTTGGTGCGTCCGGGTATCGGTGGTGGGCGCCAGGCACCCTTATCTTGCCATCCATCAAACTGGTTACGTACTGGTCTGTGCCTTCTGTAGAGCACGTGCTCGGCCCGGACAGAACACGTTGACGAAGCCAGCGATAACTGTGATTGGCGGGCCATAGTGCAGGCACCAGTTGGTCCCTGCGTCGACCCCAGCCCTGCTTCTGTGATCGTCCCTTGACTGTATGATACGACTCTAAATAGTAATACCTAGCTTTCGCGCCTCACGCGACATCCTGCCTGCCTGGCCTGCACTGGCTTCCACTTGGCATAACCCGGAGAATGATGGACTTCCACACATATGAACAGAGGCAAGCAATTGGTTATACCCCTTAAACCAGGCATGGACTGTGTACGCACAAGCGGCCCATGCCATTGTCATGTGCGTCGTATCTAGCCCCTGGACCTTGAGCCCCAGGAGATCTGCATCAAGTGTGCTGTCGGTATGGGTGAGTATATCTGACACGCATAGAGCACTCCGTATCCCGCTTGAAGGACAGAATACAATTACTAATTAGTATATAGCCTGCAATTGATACTTGTGTTCCACACACGCCTGGCTCGACAAAGGTTTCGAGAGTTTTCATGGGCCATACGACTAAATGTTCCACAACATCAAACACAGAGCACCTACAAAATCTGTCGGAAAGTTGAAAGAAGGTCATCGAAGCTTCACCGCTTGTCGATTCGAGATACTTGTTCTACCAGAGTTAGCATTCGAGAATCAGACAACCAGCAACTAACTCCATCCCCATGCTGCCCCCTTTTCCTTGCAACATCGCGAGCATCCTCACATTCACGTCGCTGACCTCAAAAACATAATCAAACTCAAAAAGGTCGCCATTTGTCGACGCAGGGACAAAGACTCTTTGGTCTGTAAAATATCGATAAACTTTATCGGACATGCTTCGGCCATGCCTCCGCTGCCAGTCGTTCGTTGCTCAATGGGGGGGAGGAGCGATCGTTTCCCTACCTAGTAACAAAGCCTTCACGCACACTTGGGCAACTCATATTAGGTGTCCCTGATTGAAGACTTACATTCACTGGGATTTTTCAACAACAAAGGTATAAATTGGCTGTGCCAGAAGTGTGCGCCACCATTAGCGCCGGTCACCCGCGTGGACAACAACCACATCGCATACATTCTCGTTGTTTGGAGTATGAACCACTTAATATTGAGCATACTGGATTCCACCAAGTTCACGCCATTCACCTTACCAGTCCGCGTCTATCAAGCCTTCATGAGCTCACTCTGTCCTGCAAACCAGCAGCCCACAGGCAAGTCAACAGACCGGACAACTATACCATCAAGCAGCACCATCGAGACACCGGAAAACAATGCTTCACCCAATGCTATCTTATGCTGAAGTGTTGCAAGGTGTAGACAAGAGCGAAGCTTTAGAGCTAAGGATGGCTTCTAACGATCGTCTCGCGAACACACGCGCGCCCAATCATCATCATCATCATCACCATCACTATCACTATCAACACGAAGATGACACAACCGAGTTGCGCGCCACCATCTCACAAAAGAAAGGCCGTTCTGAGGCAGAGACAATTTCTAAGAAGGGAGGGTTTAAGCTGAATGTCCGAGCCAGCAGCTTTCACTCGGATTCTCCTAATGTGAAGTCTACGAACAGCTCCTCGAACTCAGAGCTCAGCCAAAGCTGTCAAGGCGACCACGGGAAGAACTGTAGCCCGACGCCGTCTTCACATGCCCAGCGACGTCCGAGGGCCTATCTCGCAGCTGAAAAAGCTCCTGTTTTCGACCCAGCACTTATGGTCGCGCAGAGTGCCCACAGATATAAACAGAACCGTCGGAAGACAGAGCAGTCAGCTGGTCAAAAGGAGGGCGAGGAGCCTACAGAGACCAAGCAAGCAGATTGTGTGGTTGTCTGGAGGGGTGACAGCGTGGTGTATTTACCGCCACCAAGTTCCGGACAAACGATTGATTCACAGGAGACGAAGGAGGAATAGACGGTTACCCCTGATAGCGAGGCAACGGCCGGAAAGCGACCACAAGTACCCCTAGCTGTGCATCACCTTCATAATATACAATAATGAATCCCATCGTGAATGTACAGCGCTTTTGACGGGCTAGTTATATACATTGTGTCACAATCTTATGTTCATCGCTCAAACCCACCAACATTACACTCTCATTGCGTAGGCTCGCCAACGAGATCACCATTGGCATCGCGTGGCTTGCGCTGCCAGCCTGTTGAGAAGAGGGGACCCATGCTGAACCGGGGGAAAGGGTGTCCTTCAGTGTTGAGGACGACCTTGTCCAAGGGCAACAAGTCGTCAGGTGAGAAAAGTAAGTAGAGATACTTGAGGGATTCGGCCTGTCATTGTAAGCATGATCCGTGGTAAGAGCACAAGGGTGACCCACGATCCAGAAGCTCTCCATGTTGTCCTTGGTGCGCGGTGGAATGGTGTTAGCGTTGGCTAAGCTGGTGAAGCCGCCCTTGTCCTCGACAGCTTCGTACTCGAGGAAGGATTTGAACATCTCCCATCCCCATTCGCGGTATTTGATGTCCCCTGTGATGCGCCACATATAGAACAGGCTCTCCAATGTCTCGGGCCGCTGAAGGTTATGCTGGTCATTGCTTTTCACGATAAAGTCTTTGCGCCAGCTAGCGTCGGGGTCCTGGTCAAAAGTCGCCGGGGGAACGTTATGAGGCTGCCCGTCCATCAGAGGTGGGTTGGCAATGTTGAAGTATGTGATCTCGGCGGCGAGACCCGTGGCCATGTACTTGTACATACCCCAGCAGGTCTGTGTGATCTCGTGCGCAAGCTGCAAGTCATCCTCATCCTGCTGGGACCACGTTGGCAGCTTGCGGGCCTCAGCCACTGTTAAGCCGCCGGTTACAGCAAGCGCGATTGTCCCCGGGTAAAAGCAGACCAGGTGGTCCATCTTGGGAGACAGCGCCTTGTTGAGGCCGTTTGGACGCTCGCCAATAATCGTATACCCGGAAGGCTCGGTGTACGTGACCAGGTGCTTGCGAACACCAGCCAGCGATTCCTTCCACATCTCCTGATAGACGGGCTCCTCCTTGTTGGTCTGCAAGTATTGCTTGATTAAGTATTCGTAATATGAGTCACCACGGCTGCCGAGGCGGATGTTCTCGCCCTTGAATTCGCCATTGATGGGGTGCATGTAGATTGGGACCAGTCCATCGCGCGGATTGTTGTCGTCAGCGATCTCCATGACCTTTTCGACTTTGTCCCAGAAATACTTCTCGCCCGTCAGTTTGGCCAAGTACTTGAATTCCAGCTGCACACTCAATGCCTCGGCCGTAGAGGCAGCGCCTTGATCATCGTGTGACGGAATGCCTTTGAATTTTTCGAGATTGACACTGGAGTATGGCACGCCAGAAGGGCTCTCAAAGGCACTCAGCAAACGATCAGCAAGGTCCTTGGCCTTCTCGAGATAGAGATCCTCTCCGGCCGCGCCTTCATCGTCCTCCTCTAGAGAGGCGAGGTTGGGAAACTCGGTCTGTAGATAGTGGGCCGAGAGCAGACCACCCAGCATGCGGATGGTTGTCTCAAAGGTGCTCACGTCCTGGTTCTGCTCCCACGTCAGACTCTCAGAGATCCATTGCCTTGCGTGTTGCAGACGAGATGTCTGGTTCATCAGAATCATGGTATCCAAAGAGTCAACGATGATCCAGCCGAGGCCCTGAGGTGCCATGTTCTTGCCCGTCTTCGCGATCGGGTGATATTCGTCATAGCCCCATGCGTAGCGCTCGTAGGCATCCCAGCTGACTTGGAAAGCTTCCACGACGGCCTGCCGCCTCTCTTCCCAGTCGACCTTGTCCGAGTTTGACATGCCAATCCATGACCAGGCTGACTTGGCCGTAGCTGGCTGTGACTTGTCCTCGGGGCTCGACCAGAATCCCAGCATGTACAGGGCAAACACCACAAACATGGTGATGCCTCCAAAGAACCTCTTTTTCCGCCATAGCGGTCTGTTCTTATACGACGGCGTGTACGTGAAGGGCTTGTCCTTATACATTGGCAACGAATCCTTTTCGAATATTCCCGTCACACGGGCGCCGGCGCCCCGAAGAGACGACCATGCGTGGTCCTCAAGGTCGCGGTTTTGACTTCCAAAGTCTGGCAGATGGCGAGGAACATTGAACGCCATGGCGCCGAATGTCTGGCAGTGCCTAGCTCTTCAGCCAACCAGGCTATTGAGTTGTGCCCGACACTAGTCAGGCTCGAATTGGCATTCGTGGATTCGAAGGGCGTTGCGGCTCGGTTCGTGCGCTCGTGATGGGCATCAGCGGATCGAATAGAAGTAATGATGCAATCTCGATGCAGCAGGCCCAAGATATGAGATGGGCCTATGTCATGTTTAGACAAGAAACCGGAACGCCTCTCAAGATGCAATGAGTGTAATGA